GGCTTGCTGAGTACTCCCGTACTCACCCTTGCTCTATATAAATAATTCCCCCCCAGTTGCTAAAGAAGATGAAGCGGATCCGGCTGATGAGGAGTTCTTCCAGGAGCAAGCCGGCTACGTTGAGTTTTAGGGTTTCGGCCTAGTTCCCAAGTCGCGCCTGTGATGTTTGGTCCGAGCCCTGGCTTCCGTTTCCCTTTTGTAATGCAGTTGTGAGCTCGGGATCTGTCCGCAGCCCAACATGACTGTACCTCTACTCTATAATAAAGAGACCTCTGTTGCTGTGATATTCTGTCTTCCTGTGATACCAGCACTATTTCCTGGGACTGGTATCGGTTAACAGGTTAATTTGGAGCGTCACGGGCTAGTTCCGGTCGGTACTAGTTCGGGGCGTGACAGCTATCAAGAGTCGTCCCTGTTTTTTTTTGTGGGTAAAGTCCTCCTTTTATAGTTCAAGGAGATACCACATGCACCGTTCATACGTACCCCTCCATGGGAGGGGGGCCCACATAGCCTGAGTCAGATCACTATCCGTGCCTTCAACCGGAAGCAAAGTGGTTGTCCGCCCCTAGGTGGGGCCAGCGCCGTCCTCCACCTGACACGGGGGACATCCCTGTCATTCCCTCTTAAATGTATGGAGACTTTGGTGGATTCACCATGTACAGGGGGTGCACTTGGCAGTGTGCCGATGGGATGGGGCATACCTGCCCCCACTCCGCCTGACACAGGGCGGGACGTGGGGGCACGACCACCTGTCCTATCCGCCTACGACCGGTCGCAGACTGGTCAAGGTCGATTGACATGCGTCAATCAGGCGGCGCCGCACGTCCGCCCACACCGCATTAAATGCAGTGAGGGACGGTTGGGGTGCCGCTCATTTATGACGCTGAACAGCGCCTCCTGCTCCGCCCACTCACCCCGCCACGTGGTGGCCGGGTAAGGGCCTCGGGGCAGCATGCCTCACGGGCCCGAGGGGTGTGACGTGGCACCCCGAGGCCCCCCTGACCACCTAATAACTACCTAACCTCCTCCCGAGGGGGTGGAGAAAAGGCAGGCCGCACGGCCACGTGGCTAGATGGGAAGTTTATTTCCCTCTACCGTGCGTACTCCCAGGGCCATATCACTTAGAAGCATACGGTTCCTCATGTGACAACTTTTTCGGTGAAGATAGAAGCATATGTTTCCTCCTATTAATCCTACAGAACAGTATATAGTTACATGCTACAGAACGTTTTGTCGGTCCATCAATTTTCATCCAAAATATAGCAACTTAGTATTACAAGACGCAACATAGTATTATGAATCTAGATAGCTATATGGCTATAGAAACAGGTTTAGAAGGTACTGTGACCATCAGATATTCAGATTAGCTGGGCGAACTCTTGTATTTTGTATTGGAGGTTGATTATCTCTTACGCTGGTCATTGTATGATTGAGAATCAAGTGGCTTCGTGATAGAATTCCTAGCTTAAATTTAGCCGCTTAGAAATGTACATAGACAACACAACACAACCAAGTACTCAATGCCAATAGCTATATCAGAGTTTTCCCACAAAAATACCATGGGGTACCATGTTGGGATTGCGTTTATGAAAAAAAAACTCAAAACAACAAATTGAAAAGCACCTATTAGAACAGAACTTGTTGACCGAACTATTAGTGAAGCTAGGGGATGTCTTTCTGCAACAGGACGGCTGAAAATTTACCCAAGCAAATGCAAGCTGAGAGCCAAATTTGAAGTAATAACGCCATGTACCAGGTACTGCCCTCAGGCCCTGAAATGCAAAATTGTTTCAGTAAACTTGTCGAGAATCTAATTGCCTGTACACACAATGCAAGATTCATCCAAAAAATAACAAAGTATATAGTTTATGTAACTAGAATGTCAAAATATGCAAATGGGCAACGTATCAGGTGCACTCAGCACTTACCTAGCACATGATTCCCATATAACAAAGTGGAATTAAAGATTTAGGTTTTGGAAAGAACGAATAGGAGAAAGAAGAATTTTAGGAATGATAAAGTGGATACCTATTTAGCACTTGATTCATTGTTTCTATGGCCTAAGTCGATCGCTGTTTCGTATCAGCTTTCTTGTGGGTGTGGTGACATCATCGCCATCGTTGAGCAGCTTTGCGTTACCGTCTTTGTGGGAGAGACGAAGATTTGTGGTGGACCGGGTGATTACAGGGGGTGTGGATGCGAAAAACACACACTGGCCTGGGAGATCTGCTTAGCTCCAGTGCAGGTCCAAAGATTGATGAGATGCGGGTGTACCAGTCAGTTTGATCCTACAAACAGTAGATCAAACAGCCGATCGGCTGACAAGTCGATGGAGTAATTCCAGCCGATATCTGATAATAGCCGATGTCGATACCAGCCGATAGCGATAGGGTTTAAGCAATCGGTTGTATGTCCAATGTAGATAATGATATAAAGTCAATCGGCTGATGATGATGTAATAAAATAACAATATAATCCAGTATAAACCAATTGGATAGCAATATGATATAATAGAACAAGCACTGATCCGACGGTTAAAGCATACATCGGCTGGAGGTCCCATGTCATAAAATCCACAAGATTAGATTAAACAGTGAAGTCTTTGTTGTCATCGGCTAAATCCAACTTATATGTATATGCAATCCTTATAAGCCGATGCAACGTCTAGATAACTTATCGGCTAGCACCCCGATAAAACACTAGCATGAACCTATCGGCTTAGCAAGACTTATATTATCAACAACAATCTAGTAGGTCGAACCTAACCGATGCAGCACGAGATTGTATATGATAATCTAATACTTGATGAGCTGATAGATCTATCTAATGTGATGGATATAACAAATCTATTTAGAACAACATTGTGATTTTAGAGATATATCAGCTAAGACAGATAATCGGACCTAACCGAGACAGTCCCAACTAAACCGATGTGTCTCTAAACACAATGTAATTAGAGATAGAATTGAGATATCAGGTAGGCAAATATATCAACCAAACCAGAGCGATCCAAGAGATCGAAACGATGCAGTCTTGAACAACACCAACGTAGCCGACAGATTCACCAGGGCCAGCGGAACGTAGGACTTACCCCTTCACCGGAGATCGAAAGCCGATGCAGCCCCGCGTCAGGTGCCAAATTCCGCCGGATGATAAGTAAAACCTCAGGAAAGAGGGTGGCGATGCGCCGAGAGTAATTGTATTGATCGAGAGATATTTTACAATGACCCCGGGTGTACATATTTATACCCATGGAGAGATACTAGTCCTTGTAGGACAAGAAAGAAACTTTCCTAAAGATAAAAGGAAAACATAAAGTCCTTATCGGACACTAAACACACTTTCCTAAAGATAAAAGGAAACTAGCAAATACTTCCTAATTAATAGATAAACCGCCATGCCATATCCTTCTTGAACTCGGACTCTTCTGGATAAATTTCCTTTAATTGATCCAACTCTACCAAAAATACAACTGTTGGCGATTTGACGACTCCCATCAGCTGATTCTAAGACTCTGAAGCCGATACTGACTCTAGGCCGATGATAACTTCGGGCTTACCAAATTTTGGCGTTAACACAGGGAAAGAACATGAAACCCATGCGCCAGGGGGATTTTTACAAAGTTCATATTTGTGTTCCATTTGATCCCAATTCTCTCCCAACACATTACACTAAAAGGGCATTGAAAAAAGAGATGGATTAATGTCTCTCTGATCCCCAAAGGACAGAGTAAACATGATAGACCAACATCTTTTAGGACACAATATCGGACATGGATCCTCTGCAGTACTGCAGCCTATCAGCCACTGCTACTGCAGCTGCAGTACTGCAGACAATCCCCACTGCACAATATCGTCTATCAAACATGTCTTTGGTGTTTACCTATCAGTAAACATAAGCCGTATAAAAACTTTTGGTTTTCATGACATTTGTTTTCCACAACCAAATGTATAGCCTGGGAGGGGTAGTTCCTAGAAAGTTCATTTTGTAAAATTTCTGTGAAGTATAATTCGGAGAGTTCCAAATATAGCTCCATTTATCCTCGTTTACATCCAGTAATTGTAAATCATTAACCTCTATCTGAAGAGCCTGAAACTGGACATATGTTTTCTCATTAAGAGGTAGCCTGAAGCAATCCTCTACAGGCTTATGGCCTCATGTTTTCACTTAAGCTCATGCTTATCTGCTAAAATTCGAATTTTAACCTTAAATTTGAAGTTGATTTTGAGATTTTTTGTTTCATCAAAGTTTAGTTTTAGCCTTTGCTTATAGATCGCTAAGAATGCGTATATAAATTTTTTATTCACAAAATACTTTTTATTTGCAAATATATCGTTTGGTTTATTTCATAAATAAGCCAAACGATGGGGCCGTTATAGCATAACTTGGTTACAGAGATGCTTCTGTCTAAAGAGTGAGCACATAATTCTGGATGTGTTTGGCTTCCAATAGACCCATTCCAAAGGTATCCCAGAACAAGATGTCCGAAATCACTTCACACCTAGCAACAGCTCTGAAAATAATTCTAGAACTTCTTGTTGAATACTGAATTGAATGGAAGATGATTGTAATTGGTTGGAAAGAGAATGTTGGTGAAGAAATTATTATATTTTACGTTAATTTTTAAAGGCTAGAAGTTGTTACTCCTTTATATTTGGACGGAGAGTGGTTTCTATTAAGCTTCCAGTAGATGAAAATAGTACTAGCAATAAAATGATTCCTCTTGTGGATTACACACTACGGCATGTTTTGATGCTGTCAGCAATACGGACAGTGTCTGTATAGGCTCCATCTTCGGCCCACTGCAGATATAATAAGTTGGTTGCCACGCTTGAGCTTCGCACCCGGAAGCCATGGCTCCCTTCTCCCTCCACCTGCTCTTCCGGGCGCGCACTTCGCTTCCTCTCCGCCATGGCGTCCCTAGGCCACGCGCAGCCAGTCTAGCGCCACGGCGGCGGCTCCGGCAGCCGAGATGCACCAGCACGGGATGGCTGTCGTCAATGCCGGCGCCGTCGGCCGAGACCGAGACGGTGGCGGCGCCGCCGGTGGTAGGGGCGGAGGAGCGGTTCGAGTGGCTGGACCAGTGGTATCCCGTGTTGGAAATATAGTCATTATTCGGCATATTTTAATCCAAGAAATTGAAACTATGATCATGGCATAAGCAGTGTAGGGTGATCTTAACATAACCAGTAGCATACTATGCGCATCATGAATGTCAGAAACAGGAACATACCAGTAATGCGATAACATGCTAGAGGCATCATGTAGAACAGGAACAAGAACATAGCGCACACAGTATAGCGCTAACAATGGGAACAGGAGTAGCGCTAACAGCAGTAGAAGGAGAAGATTATACCCCGAGAATGGCCCTCCGCTGGATGGTGAGGCAGAATTGCCTCCGTTGTTGTAGTCGTTCACGGCACCTCCTCCTGGCGCACCAGCTCCGGATCCAGCTCCTGTCGGCGTCGGCGGCGGCGCAGCTCCTGTCGGCGGCGGCGTACCACCTCCGCCAATAGCGGCGGCAGCAACTCCAGACATGGCGATGAGCAGTCGTGCAGGAGGCACTCCCCAAAAACCTGATCACCCGCCTACCCGGTGCAGATCTCAGGCGAAGGTGTGGTTTCGGAGGCACTGCTTCTTCCAATCTCTCGTGCGCGCAAGAGATCAGAAGCGGGGAAGCGGAGAAGGAGAAACTAACACCTGGAAAGAAGACCTGGAAAGAAGCGAGGAACTCGGATCGGACTCGCGGCCTCCTTATCTATCAGGAGAAAGAACGTGGACGCGCTGTTGCGGAGGGAATCGTGGGAACGTGGGTTAGTGGCTGCAAAAGGATAGCGACGTGACGCACGCTGCCAGCCACGGCCCGGCGCGCGCGCGCGTGTGGCATTCCGACCCCCACCTCAACTGGTCAACAGGGAGCCTCTAATAACTCCCTATTTAGGTTGAGATATTTCTCGCTTAAATCCAGAGGTGGTATTATTATCCTCAACATTTATTATGGGCCTTTGAGATTTAATATTATAAGTTGGGCCTAGCCCAATTATTCTAACATCCCGTGGCTCCGGTGTGCGACCTCGACCCGCGCAGGCCGCACGGGAAGATGGTGATGGGCCTCAGCGTCGTGGCGTGGCTCGACGGCGGCGGCGAGTGGCGCGTGGTGGACGACGCGTGCCCGCATCGCCTCGCGCCGCTGTCGGAGGGACGCGTCGACGGCAAGGGCCGCCTCCAGTGCGCCTACCATGGCTGGTGCTTCGACGGCCACGGCTCCTGCCAGTTCATCCCCCAGGCTCCCGCCCTCGGCCCTCCTGTACTTTTTTTCTTCCTCTCCTCGATCAATCAGCAAAGTGAAACAAAAAATATATCAAGATTTTCTTAGGATTAATTGAGTTCTTGGATCAATTTATGGCAGGTGCACAAGAATAGCAAGGCGTGCGTGGCGTCGTACCCGAGCGTGGTGCAGAACAACATCTTGTGGTTCTACCCGAGGTCGGAGCCGGAGTACTGCGACGTGCTGAAGAGGAAGCGGCCACCCTACGTTCCGGAGATCGACGACGATGACCCGTCCCATTTTATGGTCTACGGTGTCAGGGACCTCTTATACGGGTAAAAAGAAGAGAAAAAAACAAATCCATTATTCTCTTCTCTGAAATACTCCATCCGTTCCCAAATATTTGACGCCGTTGATTTTTTTAAATATGTTTGACCATTCGTCTTATTAAAAAAAATAAGTAACTATTAATTTTTTTTCCTATTATTTGATTCATTGTTAAATATACTTTCATGTATACATATAGTTTTACATATTTCACAAAATTTTTTAAATAAGACGAACGGTTAAATATGTGCTAAAAAGTCAATGGTGTCAAACATTTAGAAACGGAGGGAGTATTTCTTGTCGCGCCATTGAGATGTGCTTGACTGCTTGTTGCTCCATGAAAATATATTACTCCATCCATCCACAAAAGTTACACCTATTTCACATTTGAGTTTTTTTCAAATAAGTTGTTACTATTTGTAGTTTTTATACACTCAAGATTTAAATGAAGAGATAAATTAAATGTTTTATTAAAATCTAAGGAGTCATCTAAATACTTATTGATTGCATGCTTGTATTCACTTCTTGATTTTTTAATATTTAAGATGATTTAATTTCTTTTTAGTCTTGGTGTCAAAAATACTTTTATGGATGAAGAGAGTACAACGCACAAGCGCACATCAACGCGTACGTCCTAGTTGCCAAGAACCTGGCCGGTGAATCGATAACTATCTCAATTTCGTTCCGACACGCGAGAATTTTTTCTTCTGAGCAAAACAACAAAGAATCCTCAAATTCGTTGATGGATGTACACGACTGAATTAGGTTGTGTTATTCCTAACTTCACCCCACTTATTTTTCACGTTTATGTTTTCCAAATTGTTAAATGGTTTGTTTTTTGAAAATAAAAATATAGGGAAATGGTAGGCATTTTTGGCTAGTCTAAAATCTATATTAAGCCAGCTTGTTTAAAATGTTAGGGACTAAATTAAAAGCTGAAGCACCACATTAGCCACTCACCCTATCCCAATCAGCTCCTAATAACCAGATTAATTAATGGTAAAAAAAACTAATCTGACGGCTAACTGGTTATCAAGCACATATTCATCGAGAATGATTCAATCCGGGCGACCGGCGCGGGGGAGCCGGATCGGGCGCTCCCCCGCACGCCCCTCCCCCCACGTGCATACATGTAGGCCATAGGCCCCACCGCGTTCTCTGTTCTCATCTACCATTGCAACAAATCATCCACATATTTTGGAAACCCTCTATTAAGTGAATTTGGTTTATTTTTTGTTCCAAAAAAATGTTTCACCTAGTATACTCACAATGTTTCACTATGTATAGATCTAATGTTGCAGTGAACTGAAATATTCCATTGCCACAAAAAACCCACATATTTTGGAAACCCCCTATTAAGGGAATTCGTTTTATTTTTTGTTCCACCGAAAAATATTTCACCTATTGTACTTATAATGTTTCACTATGTATAGATCAAATGTTACAGTGAACTGAAACATTTTTTTCGCTATTTGCTGAAACATTGTTTTTATATAAGGTGAAACAACACCCGATTTAAACGAGTGAAACATTTTCGATCTACTTAGTGAAACAATTCCGATATACCTAGTGGAACATCGTGCAACATTTAAAAATAATTCAATAATAATTTTTTTCGTCGGAATATATCAATGTGTGGTCTTGTTTTGAAGATTTAATTGTAATGAATTTAATGGTGCAATCGGATCATGATTTGGATAGGTAATTTAAGAGAAAAATCAGTTTAAAATAATTTTGCACGTAAATTAGACGCGGATGCTGACATCAGCGTCCCATTTTTCCCCCGCATCATCGGAACGTAGACTCATCCCATATTCATGCCTAACTACTGTTGTTCTAAATTTGACGATCAATAGTACTACCATGGGTTTGCAGGTATGAGTTGTTGGTGGAGAACCTCATGGACCCTGCTCACGTCCCCTACGCACACAAGGGGCTTTTTGGTGAGCTCCCAAAGAGAGAAGATCCAGCCAGATATGTTCCTCATCTGTCGTGATATATATGTTCAGTTTTCTCCCCAAACTTTCATCTTGCAATGATCAACTGCGTTTTACTGGTTCAGACATTCATCTTAGCTTCTATCTCCACAGTTGAGAACAGTATCCTTGCCTTTACAACATAGTTAGACATAAGCACGCTACAGTTGCACAAGTCTTCGAAAACAATCCTTCATCTTTTTCATGGCGAAGAGACCTTATAGGATCAAAACTAGCGGCGTGGAATAATTTATCACCGCGCATCACTGGTTTTCATTTAACTCAGGAGCAAGATGAGATTCATTGGAACTTAACCTCAAATGGGGAGTTCTCGGTGAAGTCTCATTATCTAGCTCTAATTCACAGCAATGTTCCCAACATTAATAACCGTCTTTGGAAATTAAAGATACCCCTAAAAGTTAAGATTTTTCTTTGGTACTTGCGCCGTGGAGTGGTGTTAACGAAGGACAATTTGATAAAAAGAAAATGGCAAGGCAATAAGAACTGTTGTTTTTGTTGCAATGACGAGACAATTAGACATCTTTTCTTCGAATGCCGTTTTGCCCTTTCTGTTTGGTCCATCATCCAAGCAACATCTGGACTTCCTCCACCACATTGTGTAGCGCATATGTTTGGGAGCTGGCTTGATGGAATTCATAATAATGTGAAATCACATGTTCTGTTAGGAGCAGCTGCTACTTGTTGGTCGCTTTGGCTATGCAGGAATAATGTGGTTTTTGATAAAAAAAAGTCATATCTTCACCTTTGCAGGTTATATATTCTCTTATCCATTGGCTTTGTATATGGGCTATCCTACAGAAGCCTGATTCGCGGGATATGGTAGTTGCGGCATGTCAACATTTGGAGAAGGTGGTCAAGGAGTTTTTTACCCAGGGATATGGGTGGCGATCTAGTCTTAGAATTGGTGGTCCTTAAAACTCTGTGCTTTTGGAGGAAATGGCCAAGGAGTTGTTCATGAGTGGCAATTTAGTCGTTAGATTGATGGTCCTCAATACTCCATGTCATTCTTTTTTTCTTTCGAGTGTGGTTTTGTTTGTTCGGCTGTGTATATCTTAGTTATGTATAGACCGGAAGTGTTCTCAGGATAATTGTATCACCTTGATGTAATTGACTGAGTTTAATAAAAACTTCCCTTATCTATAAAAAAAAATCTCCACAGTTGAGTTTGATCTGGAACACGGCAGCCCGATGAAGATGAGGATAGAAGAGGCCAGCATCGATGGGTTCCATTCGAACCTGGACGGTGATTGGGGCTACTTCAAGTTCGTGGCGCCGTGCACGCTCTACGGCACGCCGTTCCGGACCGACCTAGAGGTATATATCGATCAGCCTCTCTTCACTTTGCCATTGCAGATTTTTGGTTAGGCGTGTTCGCTAATGGGGGTTGGGAACCTATTTCCTCCACACGGAAAACGGAACCATCCATTAGCACGTGATTAATTAAGTATTAGCTAATTTTTAAAAAAAATAGATTAATTTGATTGTTTTAAACAACTTTCGTATAGAAACTTTTTACAAAATACGCACCGTTTAGCAGTTTAAAAAGCGTGCGCGCGGAAAATGAGGGAGAGAGGTTGGGAACCCAGGACAAAGAACATAGGCTTATAATACACTCAAGGCACCGGCGAATACATTCCTTAGCACACGCTAGCTCAAATAAATAGAAATCAACGGCACATCTATGATCGCACTAAATTGTTCTATACTCTTTCCGTCCTATAATACAAGTGATTTTGGAGGGATGTGAGTATGTGACGCATTCTAGTACCATAAATTTGGACATGCTCAGAAATGTGAGGCATCATAGTAGACTGTCCAGATTCATAGATTCATAGTATTATGATGCGTCGCATTTCTCTAAAATCTATTATATTTTGGGATAGAGGGAGTATTGAAAGCTAACTTAGATGTGCGTTATATTCCTGAACTTGTTAAGAGGTTTATACTCTGATGATGCAGGCTGACGAGGTGAAGAAGAAGAAGAAGAAGAAGCCCGAGGTGAGGGTGGTGTTGTTCACCGTCCCGGTGGCTCCGGGAAGGAGCAGGTTCATCTGGGCATCCAGGTATAAAGTCGGAGGATGGCTCGACAAGATCCTACCACGTTGGTTCTACCATATGACGTCGAATACCATCTTGGATTCGGATACGTACCTCCATGTTGAGGTGAAATATTTGGTCTCTTCTGCTCAAACCAAATGATTTTTTTCAGGCTATCTGTAGGCTGATTTAACAGGTGCAATTAATTAATTAGCCCATTCTCTCCTTTTGTCATTCTTAACACGAATAATTAATTAATCATTTTCCCAGGACCGCAATATCACAACAGTTGGGCTTGATAACTGGCACAAAGCTTGCTATGTGCCAACATCATCTGACAACTTGGTCATCGCCTACAGAAACTGGTTTAGAAAGTACTGCAACCATCAGATTGGCTGGGCAAACCCAAATCCAACAGTTAAACAGCAGCTGCCACAAACTCCTACCAGAGATCAGCTCTTGGAGAGGTAAACAAGCTGTCTACTGATCTTCACGCAATCAATCTTCAGCTCTTGGAGAGAACTCTCAGTGATCATCTAACATGAATACTTGTTTGGATACCACAAACAACAGGTATTGGTCGCATGTCATGCAGTGCACCAGTTGTAGAGCTGCACTGAAGGGGATGAGGGCTCTGGAGATCACCTTGCAGGTGGCGGCGGTCGCCGTCGTCGGGTTCCTCGCCGCCGGCAAGGAGACGGCGGTGATGTCGGGTGTCCAGAGAGCTTCGCCGCCTCCCGCTGGCTCGCCAACTTCATCGAGAAGACCTTCTATTTCCAGGATTATGTCCATGCTGACAAATGATGCGTCCATCCAGGAAATCTGTGATGTGTTGCTGTTGCTAGGAATTTGTCATGAACCTGGGCTCAGGAGGGGCTTTAGACTGCACCGTTTGGCTGTCTCTTGGCCTAGTTGGTTCAGGGATGCAGCTATAAATCAGCAGCCAAAACTCGAAACTTTATGGCCATGTGTGTGCGTTATACATGCAGAGGCCAGGCCGGGGATACAATCATTTTCCTTGTCTAAAAATAAAAGAAGTCAAGCAACAGCCAAAGGCATCCATGAAGAGACTGCATCAGCCTAATCCCATCATCCATTCTACCTCCCACTGAAAACTCTAATTCTCTAGCCCCCAAACCCATGCTTCTTCAAGTCTCATTATCTAAAAAAAGTGCTTCTTCAAGTCTATACTTCTATTATCTCAATTTGTATCCCCAAATACTCTTGTATTTTGCATTGGAGTTGGATTTCTCTCTTACGCTGGTTGCTGTATGATTGAGAATCAAGTGGGTTCGTGACAGAATTCCTAGCTTAAGTTTAGCAGCTTAGAAATGTATAGACAGCACGACACAACCAAGTACTCAATACCAATAGCATATATATCAGAGTTCCCACAAAAATTTCATGGGGTACCATGGTGGGATTGCGTTTATGGTGGGAAACAAAACTCAAAATGACTAATTGAAAAGAAGAATCTATGAGAACAGAACTTGTTGAATACTGAATTATTAATGAAGCTAGGTGATGTCTTTCTACAACAAGGCGGTTGAAAATTTACCCAAGAAAATGCAAGCTGAGAACCAAATTTGGAGTAATAACACCATCTACCAGGTATTGCCCTCAGGCCCTGAAATGCAAAATTGTTTCAATAAAGTTGTCAAGAATTTAACTACCAGTATGCACATGGCCATCAAAGTCATCAATGCAAGATTCATAAAAAAAAACAAATACCGAAGTATATAGTTTATGTAACTGAAATGCCAAAATATGCAAATGATGCTCTCAGAACTTACCTCGTCATATATGAATCATCTGCAGTACTAACAACAATTTTCTCACCGGCTTCTACAAAGGGTGGTACCTAAGATAATCGCAGAAGGGCAACAGGAAGTAAGAACTATTTCAAAGCAGCAGACTCATCAATGTTTTCTAATTTTCAGTACTAATCTATATGTAACCAGTAAATTATTTCACGGCAAAAGCAAGGTTGATTTCAGTAGTGGCACGTGTATCCCAACTTTTGAGTAAGTCAGATGTAGAACAAAACAGAGTTGATTTTCAGTAACTCAATCAGAGACATATGTATGCTGCAAATGCCATTTTCCACACATTGCCACAAATAAAAGGATATCAAAGTGATAGCACATACAGCAACCATTCTTAGATGTACTTCAACATTTATATAAAAGGATAGGTCAATAAAATCTAGGAAATGGCGCATCAACTTACAAGCACTGTAAGACCATTATCCAGCAATACCCTTTTATATCTGCAGTGCAAAATGAGCTTAGTTACCCGCATAACATAGCCTCAAACATCTGGTGACGAAAGATTATGAAGCTCATAATAGCAAAAAAAAAAAGTCTTTGTGTGTAGTGCATAGAATGACAGATACAGTTCCGCAGCCTCGCATGTCACAGATAGTGCTGGGGAAACAAGCCTGAGCCTTACAAGCTGTGAACCAGCTTGGCTCAGTTGTTAAATGAGCTGAGCTAAGCCAAGCCTCCTTCAAAGCCCGTCCCTTAATGAGACAGCTCACAAGTATTGGACAAATGGACCTAAGCCCGTCCCTTAATGAGACAGCTCACAAGTATTGGACAAATGGACCTTGCAATCTAATGGATCAATGCTAGAAGGTAACTACAAAGCTATACATATACATGTAACAGCAAATAGCTCGTCGGTTATATAAAAAGGCCTACTAAAATGCCAAAGGCCTACCCCATGATATCAGTATTCATTGCGCAGCTCATAAACAATAGGCCTCAAGCCATGCCAAATTAAGTCTTAACACCCTAATGACCTAATCCATCAGGCATAAACTGTGAATAGCAAAGAAAAACCTTTTAGTATATAATACTAGCCTTATCTCTGAATTTCGCAAAATGGCTATTTTGATCCACAAACTGTGAACAGTGACCAGCATCAGCATATCAAAACAATCTAGTATCAAAGTCGTAAAAGGTAGTAAGAGCAACAGTTAACCCAAAAGTCATAAGAACATTAGAAACAAACATTACAGTAAAAATAGAAACGAAAATGATCATGTGAGACTCACTGAGGCTGTGCAGTTATCCCTTTTGAATGAGGTTGTGCTTCAACAACCGTGCAAGTCACGCGTGGAGGCACTGATGCAGACATAGGTCGGCCATCAAAGTACTGCAGAGTCACCTTCATTTCATCTGTTGTAAGTGAGGAAATTGGGTATGATGTCATGACATGACAAAACGCATCGTGAACCACCACTGACAAAGATAAATTACGAAACCTTGTGATACAAGGCAGCTAACCCCCTCCCTCCTCTCAAGTCTCAACCCTTCCATCTCTACCTCTTTCCATCGCTCCCTCATGCCCAGTCTGGTTGATTATGAGTTTATGACAACAGTAAATGCCAAAAGCAGTGCGGCGAGGAGCAACGACAGTCACAACAAACAAGGACTACTTGTCACGAAACTGCCGCTTTCTCACACTAGGTCTGCCTCATAAAACAAGGTAATATGGTCATCATGACCTTGCTGCACCAAGGCATCCCCTAGGTGATGCCTTCGATAAAAGTGAAAAATACAACCTCGCCATACAGAAGCGAAACCATAAGCATATTTTAGCATTTAGACTTGTGACAACCAGTGTTCCTGCTTGTCGTAGATTAATATTGTTAATCTTTACCTTTCAGATATGCTGCAGTTTTGCCAAACAGTTCCTTTGAGACCTCAAGTTGCTCAAACGTTTCAGGCCTGACAACAAAGGTTTCAGGTGAAATCATGGTTAAATGAAGTAAAGTAAATACTCAGATAATCACTGTATAGCATGTCAACTGTTTAATGATAGGATAACAGGAAATAAACGTACTCCATAAGAGTCACATTGTCTCCTTCCTGATAAAGATATGTGAATGACTTCTCCTCAACAAAAACTCCTGAATGTTTTGGAGAAAAAATATGTAATGCCTATCAAAAAAAGCATGATTACAATTTATATGTTTAACACTCTAAATGAGCTGTGACTGCCTAAAATTAGCTTGACACATGAATGTAATGTAATAACACTTCAGAAGAATGTATTGCTTTGATAGTTAGATCTGTAGATAGAAATATAAAGAGATTAACGTTTAAAATCACGCTAGAATATCTCAAGAACAGGTAATATATGATATGATCGTAAAAGGAAAATTAGTCTGAAAAATAGAAGGCATATATGTCTTGGTTTTAAAGATGTTCATACTCTCAAGAGCCTCATCGGTACGAAATCTTTCAGTTATTTTGTTGCCAGTGTCAACATCCCTCAATTCCACCTGCAGCATCAAAGAATTGAAGAAAAAATATGATCGGGAGTATAATAAGATATCCATATTTTGTTATTTGATTAGCTTTGCAATATTCTGTTATTAAAAAAAGGGGTGCTCTAAAATTAACTATTTTGGCTGTTACTTGTTACTTGTTACTTATTATTTTGATGCTGAACTATACGGTGTTGTGTGCTGCAAAAAACTAAAAGAACAAAACGAGATGAAAACCTGTATAGTGGCTCCTCCTCTACCTTGATGTGAATGTTGTGCTTTTATCACCTGCCAAAGCACAAGCAAGTTAAGAAAAGAAATAATAGATTGCTTGTTCTTATAAGATACATGAGCATAAAGTATAAACCACAAAACTCATGCAGAACCCAAATAGCAAATGGGCATACCTGATAAATGCGACCTTGAAGGTTGACCAAAGGGATGGGATAAGTAGTAATCCACAATACTTGAAGGCAAAAATAAAACATAACTACATGTAAACACACACACCTCTTCTCTGTATTACGTTTCCAAGCTTCACCTACAAATGAAGAAAGCCCTGAATTAATTAATGTAAGCATCATTATGCGTGAGAGAGGGAGAGAGAGAGAGAGATAATTCATGAATTATGCATAATTATGTCCAAGTCCTGCACCAACGGCAGCAACACTGCAACAGTACCACTTAGTGTAAACATAGTGAATGCATGACTGCGTCGACGAATTTGTTAAAAGCACATACTCAGCAACACTGCAACAGTACCACTTAGTGTAAACATAGTGAATGCATGACTGCGTCGACGAATTTGTTAAAAGCACATACCATTAACACATTTAAAAAGCCTAACAAGAAGTTTAGAGGAAACCAACAGATGCTAGACCAAATTACATCCTGCATAATCGTTAAAAAAGAGTTTCTAGTGGCCTCAACTGAGTTGATTATCCAAAAACACATCAACAATGAACTACTACGTTACCAAACCAGTTCCTCCCACAAATTTGAAACGAGCTAACCGTAACGGGGCAACCAGAGCAGATATTTGCAACTAGCTTAGAACCCTAAATAAACCCTGGAGACAGGTATACGTAAACAGATCCAAGGAGATAGGGAATTACTTCGGAGCCGAGCATCTTCGCGCCGCGGCGCTGGATGGCGGCCCACGGGGCGGCGGCGAGGGAGCCGGCGGTCTGGTCCCGCAGGACGGCGGCGAGGGTGGCGACGGCATGGGCGTGGCCGCGGTAGTGGGCGGTGGGCGCGGAGGGGAAGTAGAAGGGGAGGCGGCGGGAAGCTTCCAGAAGTTTCCGCCGGAGGATCTGCATCGCGGCGGCGGGCAGCCGGGAGTGGGGGAGTTCGCAGGTGGCGGGCTGGCGGCGAGGAGGCGGAGGAGAATGGTGAGCTGCATGTGCAGGTTGGGCTGTGGGCGTGGACTGGGCCGCTCCTAGAATATGGGCTTAATTTAGGCCCATGTATTCTGTGTGGACTTACTTTAGGCCCACGTTGAGGCACATGTGATTACCTTTTTTTTTCTTTTCAAAATTCACGAATTTATCAGAAGGATTTTTGCTATTGATAGATACATCGTTTATTACTGAAAGAATAATTAGCAGTAAATACGAGCACACGCGTGTCAAGTTTAAAACTAATCCGTGAACAGGCTGTATCACTATAAATTTAACATATTGTGCTACGCTCAATATATCGTTATTAACACTATTGTGTGTTATCTCATTTTACACTTTGAATATCTCTCCCTTTTCTTTTGAAATTTTGAATATCTATCCCATTTGTTAAGCTCTCTCCTAAATCCCATCCAATAAAAAAAAACACAATGAAAAGAACTGAAAAAAAAAACAGTACAATGATAACAACAGGCCCATGCAGAAACAAGAACCGAAACAAGCGAAAAATCAGCCCACGGTATCAGATTTTTTCCAAATACAGCCACGTAGGATGATTACAACAGATCACAAACCAAGATTAGAACGCCCGTCGGTCGTCCATATCCACCGTAACAAACCGACCTACAGCCACTGACATGCGGGCCCCGCCACCCCCCGGTCGGCACGCGACGATGCCAGCCAGGCGAACCGTCGCGCCACACGTGGCCCACCACAACCACTAACCACTATAGACCCGCACGGCCTCCCAAAATTAGCTCATCTCGCAAAAAAAAGGAGAAAAAAAGGGAAAAAAGAAAAACGAGCAAATCCAAATCCAAATCCACCACCACCCACCCTTCCCGAGGAGAGAGAGAGAGGCTATGACGCGCTGCGCCGTCGTCGCCGCCGTCGCGGCCGTGCTCCTCGTCGCCGGCGCGGCGGCGGCGGGGGGTGGGGAGGAGGAGGAGGCCCCGTCGACCTGCGCGCGGAGGGGCCCGGGTTTCGTCGACGCGCTCGCGTCGCGCTGCCCCTGCATCCGGATCGAGCCATCCCCGCCTGTAGAGGTAGGTGTTCCCCAATCCCCACCTCCTCTCCGGCAGATAGCTTGTCAATTCAATTATCCCATGTTGTTCTAGAAGCAGCGAGTATCTGCGCGTGTTCCTCTTCGTGTGGAATATCTACTTGTCAAAATGCGGGCAAACGACAGTGGCGTATTGTGTGTATCCGTTATCAAACCACCGGATAGATGTGCGATTTGTGGTTAGAAATATATTGCACCATTAATTTGTGCATATGTGCGTTTGTTTGTTGCCAACAATTAGCTGATTAACGGGGGAATTGATTGAGGGAAGGTAACAAAACAATGATTGGCAGCGCAAACGACATTCAAGGCGCCCAGGTGCTAGCGGTAGGGAGGGACTACATCATAGGTGAAACGGGCGGGCAGGACTCAGGAGGGATTTTCAGTGTCTTATGTAAGATTGGAAAGGCAGACATAGGAGGAAGTAGCTATTGAGATGATGATGTTAACATAGTTACGAAATATAAATTCACTAAAGTTCCCAGATCGATGGGTTGAGGAATGAGATCAAGGAATATTGTATGCTACTTTGAAAGGTTTTAACAATTGTTCCTGGGACGGAGACGACGATCCCGGGCCAAGTTATGTGGTGTCATTTCATGTTCCGGGTGAATAACATTAGGCTGACTGGATGCCCCAAAGCTTAGAAAATGTTAAATATCTTGTTGGAGTGTTGCTATGTGCTGTATTTCTTGTGAAGGCGCTTCCTCAACGTGTTTGAAGGATATCTTGTAGATTTGTTGCTTTTCAATATGCAGTCTAGGGCAAATTTGGCATTATCCTGCATTTCCAAATTTCTTATGGGTAGTCTTTAAAATTGATGAATTGTGCAATGTGTGTTGACCATATTAATGTTCCTCAGGATATCTCTAAACCAACTTTAATGTCAGTCACTATTGATATTTTTTTTTCTTAACTGAAGAGTTTGTCCCCATTTGATTATCTAGCAATGGTAATTAAATACCCTTCCAGGCTGGCACTGTAAATAATGCTCGATAGTCCGTATTGCAAAGTTTGCAAACCTCTGGATTGTAGTTATTGTTTATCTGTAAATAACTTATGCATTTTTCTTACTGAAGGTGAGAGGAGAGGCTATTGCTAAAGAGTTGAACCTTCGCCACAGAGGTGTTACGTACTCCGTTCTCTTCTATGCTGCTTGGTGTCCATTTTCAAGCAAGTTCCGGCCAATATTTGAAGCTCTCAGCACTATGTTCCCTCAGATATATCACTTTACTGTTGAAGAATCATCTGCAATGCCTAGGTATGTAAATGTTGACTCCTATGTTGTCTATATGTCTCTTTAAGTGAGGCATCATGCCCCCTTTTAAGTCGACTCGTCTGCTTATTATGCTGTTTCTGCTTATTGTAGTTTGTTTTCAAGATATGGTGTCCGTGGATTCCCGGCCATTCTTCTTGTAAATGAGACTACAATGGTACGATACTGGGGCCCAAAAGATCTCAGCTCTCTGGTGGACTTCTATAAAGAAACTACAGGTACAAGCATTGCTCTTCTTTTCCTGCATACAAGAATCGTAACAACTTTCAAATATATTAAACCCAGAAATGAGAACATAGCCTTTGGGTGCTATTTAGTTTGGAAACTATACAGTTCCCTCGCTGGTAATTAGCTGCACCTGTTAGGATTGCCATGATGCTTTCTCGATATTACACACCAGGATCTCCATCTTACTATAATGTTTTAATCTTTCGAACCTTTTTAGTATGAAATATTGATGCTTGTGAATGCAGACAACCATTAATTGTATAGAATCGATTCCATTGTCCAATCAACTAAACAGGGATATGCTATTGATGATTAGATTTTTTTGGGTTGCCTTTGTTGCTTCAGAGCATTTCTTGAAGTAAATTATTTATATTGCAGGCTTCGATCCAATTGCATATTTTGATGTCGATCATCAAGACAGTACTGGAGATTTCAGACCAGTCACACCAGGGGACCGATCTCTGCGTAAAATTGCAAAAGATGAGCCATTTGTGTTGCTTGCGGTGCTTTTTATCATCCTGAAGGTTGCAGCGCATTTCGTCCCCATCGTCGTCTCCCATCTGAAAACGTTCTTGGTCGTGCGTGTTCAGAACTTGAACTTAGGGATCCGTAGGGGATCAAGCCAACTGTTGGAACGAGCGCTGAATGTACTTGATGTGAAGAGGCTTTGTAGCAAGCTTAGACTGAGCAATAAGACAAGGGACCTTAGGAAAGGCGCAAGCAATGCTCGAGCTTGGGCTTCCTCGTTTACTTCTGTTTCACTGGGTGAATCATCATCCTCACGGCAAGCTTAAGTGCTTAACCTTTTCGGGGCTGTTTGTTTAGTGTAGCTGCACATGTGATCCAAAGTTATTTAATCTTGCTTCCGCATCCAGCTATATATGATAGTTGCTTTGTTGCGCCATTCAGGCATGTGGGAACCTCATGGTCATGTAAATTCTGAGGGCCTCACCTTGTTGTATACTAGGAATACCTTTTGCGTTGCGGATGCAATGCCTAATCTTGTTGTCAAGATAACTACTGTAAATTTGAGATGTGTGGTGCCAGTTTGAGTAGCCTTTAGATGAATTTTTGTTGCTCCTGCTGCTGTATGAATCATTACAGTGTTAACCTTTGAAGAACTCTTAACTTGGTCGTTGTCTGCACCAGCCTGAAGCTGGGGCCGCCGACTCATGCCTTATTTACTGTGATTGTTATATGTACATCACCGTTTATAAGAAGCTAACAAAATGTTTCTGGAAGATGCTCCTTTTGTATGTGAATCTATTGTTTACTGGAGATTTGTGAGTGCGTGCCCTGTTCATAAATCTGCTTCTATAAAATTGTGGGTTCTATCTATGGTCTCATCTGAGCTTTCCAGAGTAAAATTTCTGTAGAAGTTTCTGAACATGTGTCTGATTATCCTATGCCTGCCGTGTTTAAGTGGTGTGTGTCACTATCCTTCATCAGTTCCTGTTTATTTCGTTTATCAAGTCCTTTTCTTATCATCTACACAGTGTTACCAGTCTACTAACCAGTGCTGTGTCAAATTGACTTGTATATTGGACCTGTATTTTGGAAACATTTTTCGTAAGTCGACTGAAAAGGATTGACATTCCAAGCCTTTTCAGATTAGGTGGCACCCTAATCCTTCGACAGCTACTGTCAAGATATTTAATGAAGGTTTGTCTGCCGTCCAGGTAAGATTACTGAGTAACATACTGCTGGTTCGTAGGAATATTTTGAGTTATTATCATCAGATGTTCATTAGAGGAATTAATTAATCTGAATGCTCTTTACACACGAGATGTCTGAATGTGAGGCTCCAGCTGACTTCAGACTAGTTCACAGTTCTGCACCGACACTATATCCTATCTTTATAGAAATCAATCTCTAATCATGTTTGCTGAATAATTAATTGTTTGCCGTCTGCTAATCTTGATTCTTGCACAAACCTAGAAAGAATTGAGTAGAAAGGAAGGAAACTAGGAAAGGAGGAGTCATCACTGGTAGGCCCCAGGTAACATTTTCACCTTTGTCACTTAGCAGAAAGACTAAGCCAATACACACACACAAACCCCTCAAGTTGGATTGCCACCCATCTCCCCTGGTGCAAGAAGTGTACCCTCTTGTTCCATTTATTCTCCTCCAGAAAAAAAGAAAGTATCCTTCCTCAGCACTGCTGGTATTGATTCTTGGTGAGCATCCATTCTTGACCACTTCCACAGTATCAAGGGAGTATCAAAATTAAAAGCATTTGGGCAGCTATATATCTCTCTGTGATCCAAGCTCGCTTCTGAACTAGTTTGACATGAGCAGAGGTACTGCTTCCATGGATGCAATCAGCCTAGATGAGTGGGAGCTCCTGCCTGACAACAAGAGTTCCTACTTCATGGAGGAGTTCACCAGTGACCATGGCACTGTTGTTGGTAAGGATGATCAGTTCTTGTTTGGTGCCAGTTTGATCATGATCAACATGGACCATTTCACCCCTGCATCTCACCCTTCTCCCTATGATTGTATCCTAGATGATGAGACCAAGAATATATTTCTGCCTATCCATCTATCAGAAGAGGTCTATGTGGGTGATCCTGTCATCAAGTTCAAGGACATCGATGTCGTGAAGATTGAATCGTACCGAGAAGAGTTCGTGCCTAAGGTGACTGAGATATTTGATGCAGAAGAGGAGGCAGAGATGATCAAGAGTCCCGTCAGTGCAGAGGAAGTTGATGTCGACGATGATGATGAGGTGATGGCTATGGTTGCACCTGATCAATGTGTTGAAGAGGAAGAAGGTGCCCAGAAAGACAAGGAACACAATGGTTTCAGTGTGGGGAAGCTGAGAGTGAATGGTGTTGGGGCACTCTGCTCATTTGGGGTTGCGGCTGCCACCTTGTGCATCTTTCTGCTTGGTGGCAGGCAGCAGCAGCTGCACAAGACGCAGAATCAGAAGACCCCGTTCCAGATGTATGCTGATAATGAGGTTGGTGGCTATTTCCTTTTGCTCAAATTTCTTAATCCATGCACTGTCTCAAGAGCATGTTTTAGAGTAAGACTTGAGCTGGCCGCTGTCCTTGTGTCTGCAAGTTAGTAGTTGAAATAGTTCGGCGAAATTGCATCACTCTGCCAATTAAAAATTATAAAATTTCACAATATTTTGATTGGATTAGATCAAGTGGAATGATGATAATGTGTAGGCTAAATCACCAGTCGGTAGGGGAAAATTCCAACTGCTCCTGACGATTTTGCCTGTCTGAACTGCAGAGAATTCAGCAGGTTGTGCAGCAAGCCTCGAGACTGAATCAAGCTGTGTCAACAGTAATGGGAGGTGCATCCACAAGGGCAAGCATATCATTTGGTGGCTACTACGATGGATTTTAATGTGTTAGAAACCTTGATAGAATATTTCTTTTCATAGTCAAGTATTAGATCCAGGTGTTCTCTATGATAGCCATCTATATTCTCATATTCTTTATATTGGTTTGGTCCAAGTGTTCTTCATGTACAATATCATTCAACCAACCTCCTGTATATTTTCAGATCTACTAGATGTGCATATTTTGGTTGATCAAATTGCAGAAATGAATAGATACTACTAGATGCAGAATTTTGTTTTAGGATTCCATCGCTTGGCTGTGCCTGACTGAATCTGGCCAGCATTTGCGACTGTTCATTTGTCGATTAGTACACGACACAGCACCTTGAAACCGACAGTGATTTCTTCCTCCTCCTTTCCTTGATCCAAATTCCAAATAAAATGACAAATTAATAGCCGAGTGAAGAAGAAAAAAAGAGAACAAATCTTACAGTACAACCATATCAGATTGTCAGAAGAGACCATCTGTAACCAGTGTTCTATGACAGCAATGGCCGGGGATCAATCCAGGAAGATGACTTTCACTATGCTTTTTACTGACGCTGACACACTGGAGTGGAAGGAGGAGAAGGCTAAAAGGATTTTGAAAGTTCAGAGATTTTTTTTCTCGTTTTTTTTTACATGAATAGTTTCAGGTGAAATTTCCTTTCTTCCAAATGGGCCAAATATTTTAGCAGATTTTCACAATGTGGCACTCTGATGTTCTGCTAGATGGCCTTGGGCTTGTATGGGATGGTCCATATAGGCATTTTCGACTTCACTTCCATAATTTTTCTAATTGATTCAGGTCGCAAACTGAAGATTTCAGTTCAACACAAAACTAACACAAGATACAATTGTTGTTCAGAAAAAACAGAACATGCAAATGGGAGAATTACAATGAAAACTACAAAGTGCAAACCAAGCTCATCTGTCCTGGCTAAAAATCAGCAATCCTTCTTTCAATTTCTTTTGTACTTGTTTAAAAAAAAGCAATCAACAGGTTGCTTGAGAGAGAGAGAGAGGAGGGGGGGGGGGTGTTCTGTTCTTCAAAATAGCAAATCTGTAGCTAAGTTAAAAAAAAGTAACTAAGTAACGTTGGCAAGTCTGTTACATTTTTTTTGGCAAACCTGAACAAAGGGGGAGGAACAGCTCGCGTCCAGTGCATACTTAAGATCGCTCGTCAAGTTGTCATGGCGGCTCAACAGACTGAAAGGACTTCTCCTTCAATGCAAGACTGCAATGGCGTTCGCCCGATCGAATCGGAGATCAGGAGTTACTCACATCTTCGCTCCAGCAATGAATGTCGACCTGAATTCTCTGAAATTCAGTTAGAGCAGAAAAATAATTTTGCTGACAGAGACAGGACTTAGCACTGGTTTTCAATGCACCGTACTGAACATGATATCATATCATGGTATACATATTCTCATATCAAGAGAATTAATTATCAAAATTGTATTTCAAATGTTGCGTCTATTGAGTTGCCAAAAAGCTTAAACTACTAATCAATTTAACCCAGAAGCTTAAACTAATGAGAAAAGACGGACAATTCACTTATACTTCACCAGTGCTGAAACGATTTGTTTTTCCAAAAGAAAGGACAAATGGAGAAAAAAAATTGAATTATTTTCACCAAATTTATGCATCAGTTAGCTAGTCCTCCCCTTTCATGATGCACAAGAAGACCACTACGTACGAACAAGGAATCCACCATGCATCGTTTGCTTCCATATGAGAGAGACAAATCAAAATCCAAAGCGTGCAAAAAGAAATCATCTGATTGAAGCCACCATCCACGTGTGCCTGTCCACGCACGGGTGATTGATTATTCCTTTCGGTTTGGTCGATCCGATCGAAGGAGAAAGCTCCATCTAACGAAATTTGTTAATTTAGGACATCAGATAATTGATGTGCTGCATGTTTTTGGTTAAGTAACCATCAGCAGGGTTGTCACCTGCAGTACAGCTTACCTAGAAAGCACTAGCTGCATTGCTCTTGTCTTGATCATCATGGGTTCATTCATGGGGAGTGGAATTGAATTTGGTACACAGAAGCTGTCCAAGATGTTATCACCTAATCGTATCTGGATCCTTTGAATGCACATGCACAACGCAATGACATGAAATGCAGAGAGGTGGGTAGGTTGGTGATCCATGGACTTGACTTGTATGAAATGTTAACATAATGATCAACTTCTAGAAATTTATATAGTTTGTCATAATAAAATTTATGCTTTTAGATTCACCATAAGAAATACTTTTACAATAATTCACTTGACGTTATAAGACAATATTTCAAAAAATTGATGGTTAGAGATAAATGTGTTTGACTTAGGACAAATCTATAATAACAAGTAATTTGAAACAAAGGGAGTATTATAAATTTTGATACCTCCCGATAGTATCTCCTTTTTTTTTTAGAGAAGGGTATTTTTACTCAGCCTTTACATCCAACCGGATATATACAGTTTTTTTAAACAAGGGAAGTGACTAAGTTTGGCTTCCTGAAATAATCTCTAGTATGTGGTACTTCCTGAAAGACCGCACAATTGCACGAGCCCAAGGGTGATAAAAAAAAAGGGCTATGTGATATGCACCCGGATTGGAGTAGGTATTGGCACTTGAGATTGAATGCAAGTGAGCCATCCATAGCAGAAAAGACCTGTGCAGTAAGGTATGCGCTATATATGCTGATAGGATGATAGGAGTGAGTAGAGAAGCCAGGTAAAGGAGAGACCAAGCAACTGAGCCGAAAGAGCTCCTTTACTAGATGCTTGAAAAGTGAAAATTTCATCTTCTCATGCTCTATGATAGTGTTGCAAGGCCGCATCATTTCTGAAGACACCTTTTTCTCACGTCAAATCGACGTATTTTCTTGATTGCAAGCATTGTGTCCGTGTGTTGCGATGGAAATTTTGATTCGGGCGCGTATCTTGTAACTTTTGGCCACAGAGATAATGAAATTGTCCTTACAGTAGTGTGAACTTTTTTTTTTTTGATGTAATTGAGTTGTAGAATAGAACCAACCATCGTTAACACTTAACACTAGATATGAAATGAAATGAAGAAAAATAAGAAGTGAAAAGAAGACATTGCAAGTTCAGAAGTGAGAACCCCCTTGAACTGCAAACTAACTGGTTTTGATCTCCTGAAAGAACCTGAAACAAGCTGTTGATTAGGTGTCATTCAACTTTTGCTCTGCATATAATATTCCACAAGCTAAAGCCAGGCCAAAACAAGCATCACTACGAGGTTAAGTCCAGCACAAGCAAGTGTCTCACATTGGGATTCTGACAGAGCATGACAGTGCCAAGCATTTTGTCCCCTGGGCTGGATACTCAGTGTTGCTACAGCTAGTAGCTCTGCTTTATGATGCCATGCAGATGCAGGCAGGCATGCAGCTGGAGCATAATCTTCAGCCTAGTACTGATGAGAGAAAAAGGGCATTGGAGGATAAGTGCAGATCAAGCAAAGCTCTGGTCGTCTTCGTCCTGCTCCTCCTGCATTGCATGAGTTTGCATGATGAGGTGAAAGCTGTTCACGCCGTGTGCGTGTGAGTGCCTGTGCCAGTGACAGACAGACTAAAGAAAAAAAAAAGAGATTTGAAGGGGAAACGTCGGCCAAATATTGTTTTTAAGTAAAAATTATGAACGTGTTGAGGACTGAACATTGGATTTCAGAGTTAAAATCACACAGACCTTGCCACTGTACTATCAATTGCATCTCAGTGACAAACAGAGACTAACTAACAGTGTGGGCCCGTTAGCTAAATTGGTGTTTGTTGGTGTAAATATGTATTGTACCAAGGACCTATCTGTAAAGTGTTATGCTAATAGAATACATGAGGAAGGGGTGAGCTGAGTAGGCTAACCCTAGAAAAATTCCCCAAATTGAACAATATGGTATCAGAGCCGAGCTCCTGGCGACCAGCGGCGGCAAAACCCTAGCCGGCGGCGGCGCTCGTGCCGGAGCAGGACGAAGTGGAAGACGGTGTGGAGGCGACCGCTGGGACTCGCGAGGTGGCGGCGCGACCTACGGCGACAGCTGCTGAGCGGCGTGCCGGGGTGGTCGGCCGGTCGCGCGACCGTGGCGTGGGGGCGACGGCGCAGGAGTGGTGGCGGAGCTGCGACCAGGTGAGCCGGCTGGCCGCTGTTGCTTGCTGTTGGTAGTGTCTTGTGTGCTGAAAAATTACAGGAGCAGAGAGCAGTAGCAGGTGAGGACTAAGGAAGCTTAGAAAGGGGGAGGGGAAATGTCTTCAGGGGTTGGAAAGGAGGTTGTAGATGCCTCCTCGGTGGTTACTAAGGGTGATATGAAAGATTTGCTAGAGAATTTGTTGAAGATGGGCATGATAGGTCCGAAGAGTGTAGCAGGGGGATTCGAAGTGAAACTAGAATTGATGCCAAATGAGTTGAGGTTGGAGGGGAGCAAAAATTATTTGAGTTGGTGTAGGAGAGCCCAACTGATGTTGAGAGCAAAAGGGGTGGATCATTTTTTACTAGAGAGTTGTGAAGAACCTTCTGATAAGGAGAGCCAAGCATGGAGGACGTGGAATACTACAAATTCCACTGTGGTATCTTGGCTGATGACCTCGGTGGCTCCTTCTATTGGCAGGATGATAGAAGCTATCCAGAATGCTGCAGTTGTATGGAAGACGCTGAGCAACATGTATTCAGGAGAGGGAAATGTAATGATGATGGTTGAGGCTCAGAACAAAGTGGAGAATTTGAAGCAAGAGGGGAGAACAGTCCAAGAGTACGCTAGCGAGCTGCAACAGTTATGGGCAGATCTTGATCACTATGATCCCCTACAATTGAAACATGAGGATGACATTGTGATTGGAAATAAATGGCTGCAGAGGCGAAGAGTCATTCATTTCTTGAAGGGGTTGAACAAGGAGTTTGAGGATAGGAGAGCAGCTATGTTCCACCAAGCTACATTGCCCACTATGGAAGAGGCCATTTCAGCAATGGTGCAAGAAGAGATGAGATTGAGGTTGATGAGAGGTACAAATCCTATAAGATCAGCATACATTGCAGCTGATAATAGGGAATGCTACAATTGTGGGCAAGTGGGTCATGTGAGCTACAATTGTCCCACTTCCCGGAACATTGGTGGTAGGGGATCGATTCGAGGAGGGCATGGTGGAACTCGTGGTGGATTTAGAGGAGACCGTGGTGTTTTTGGGGGAAATCGTGGTGGTAGAGGAGGTGATCGTGGAGGTCGTGTTGGAGGTCGTGGTAGGGGCAGAGGTGTTCCTCAGGCCAATGCAGTTAAGGAGGATGGGAAAGCTGTTACCCTAATAGGTGAACAAGTGACACAATGGGAGGAATGGCAGAAGAACAAGACCAATGAGAGCTCTAACACCACCACTCACTTTGGTAACTTCGCCAACTACGCCCAAGTGGGCGAAGGTACTCAGGCACAGGCACTTGCATCTACATATAGACATCCTATAGATTGGATCATAGACTCAGGAGCATCAAAGCATGTCACAGGATTGCATAATACTTTCACATCATACACCCCTTATATCCACTCTGAAACTATCCAAATCGCTGATGGTACATCCAAGCCTATTCATGGTATAGGGTCGGTAGAGTGCACATCATCAATGAACTTGTCTTCTGTTCTGCATGTTCCTTCCTTTCCAGTTAACCTTCTCTCAATTAGCTCGGCTATTGATCAACTCAAGTGCATTGTTGTATTTGATGAGAATTCTTGTCTGTTCCAGGAGAAGGGGACTGGGAGGAGGATTGGGACTGGAGTCAGGCGTGATGGGTTGTGGTACATCAATCATGAGGAACTGGGACTAGCTGCGGTGGTTGGAGATGTTGAGAAGGAGATCAGTTTGCTTCACTGTTAGTTAGGACATCCATCTTTTGAGATTTTGAGTAAGTTGTATCCAGACCTCTTTAGTAGAGTGGATAAGCATAGATTGGTGTGTGATGCTTGTGAGCTTGGCAAACATACTCGCTCTACATATGTTGGAATTGGTCTTCGTAACTGTGAGCCCTTCATATTAATACATTCTGATGTTTGGGGACCATGCCCAGTTACTTCTGTGAGTGGTTTCAAGTGGTTTGTCACCTTTATTGATTGTCACACTCGTATGACTTGGATTTATATGCTTAAACACAAAAGTGAGGTCCTTCGTTGCTTCCAAGACTTTCATAAATTAGTGAAAACTCAATTTGATGCAAAAGTTAAGATTATTCGGACTGATAATGGAACAGAATATATCAATAATGAATTTGTGTCATATGTCTCAGATGAGGGGATTATTCACCAGACTACTTGTCCTGGCACCCCTCCTCAAAATGGTGTAGCTGAGAGAAAGAATCGGCATTTGCTAGAAGTGGCAAGATCTCTGATGTTCCAGATGAATGTACCAAAGTATCTATGGAGTGAGGCTGTGATGACAGCAGCATATCTTATCAATCGCATGCCTTCCAGAATACTTGGTATGAAGTCTCCTGCCGAACTGTTATTGGGTAAGCGAGAGTTCAAGGTTCCTCCAAAGGTGTTTGGCTGTGTTTGTTTTGTGCGAGATCACCGACCTTCTGTTGGCAAGTTAGATCCTCATGCAGTAAAGTGTGTGTTTGTTGGCTATGCTTCGAGTCAGAAGGGGTATAAATGTTGGGATCCCATTGGGAGAAGACTGTTTGTGAGTATGGATGTGACATTTCGTGAGTTTGAGCCCTATTATAAAAGTAAAGGAGATCTTGATCAATTTCTTGAGGAATTCTCGACTGTCATGGAGGTTGATAGTCGAGAGGGGGAGAGAGAGAGAGGTGACATACATGAAAAAAATGTTGGTGACAAGAATGGAGAGGCAGTAGTGATTGGATCAATACCATGCTCTATTGATGATGCGAGTAAAGTAGTGGAAGTCATTGAAGATACACAAGATGAGGATAGAGAAATGGTCCCTCATGAAGAGGATGGAGAAGAAGGAGAAGTAGTTGTTGGGACAATTCCATGTCCTATGGAGGGAGCCGAAAGGGTGAAACAAAAGGATGTGCTGGTTTACCAAAGGAGGCGGTTTGATAGTCAGGGGGAGAAAAGAAAAGGGTTAGTGCAAAGTCAAATTGAAGAGTTACCACACCCAAAATGTCCAGTCCCTGAATCCTCCCAGAGTCTCTCTCCTCCAGCCTCCTTGGCTTCTCTTGAGACAATTGGTAATACTTCTCCAACTCTTGAACATGTAGAATTACCTCTTGTACAACGTAGAGAGACTAGATCCAATGCTGGTAGACCTCCTATACGTCTTGGTTTTGAGCATCTTAGTTTTATGCATGACATTGCAAACTATATCACATATTCTCATGTTTCACCAGCATACAAAACATTTATTGCATCATTACAGACAATGCCTATACCAAAGGATTGGAAGTGTGCAAAGCAGGATCCAAAGTGGAAAGATGCAATGAAAGAAGAGTTGAATGCCCTTGTGAAGAATAAGACTTGGGAGCTTGTAAAACTTCCACCAGAAAAAAGGGCAGTGGGATGTAAGTGGGTCTTTACAGTGAAGCAAACCCCTGAAGGGAAGGTGGATAGGTATAAAGCAAGGTTAGTCGCAAAAGGCTATAGTCAAACATATGGAATTGACTATGATGAGACATTTGCACCGGTGGCAAAAATGGGTACAGTGAGAGCTTTGGTATCTTGTGCGGTGAACTTTGGGTGGCCCCTTCATCAGCTTGATGTGAAAAATGCATTTCTCCATGGTGATTTACATGAGGAGGTCTACATGGAGATCCCTCCAGGATTTGGGAATAGCCAGACAGTTGGAAAAGTATGTAAACTCAAGAAATCCTTGTATGGGTTGAAGCAGTCTCCACGTGCATGGTTTGATAGGTTCAGGCATGCAGTGTGTGATATGGGGTATTCTCAGTGTAATGGAGATCACACTGTCTTTTACAAACATAGGGGGACACACATCACCATCTTGGCTGTGTATGTTGATGATATAGTGATCACTGGTGATGATGTAGAAGAAATCAGGTGTCTAAAGGAAAGGCTGGGAAAGGCATTTGAGGTGAAGGATCTTGGTCCTCTTCGCTACTTCCTTGGAATTGAAATTGCTCGTTCATCAAAGGGGATTGTTCTATCTCAGAGGAAGTATGTTTTGGATCTGTTGACAGATACAGGAATGCTTGGGTGCCGTGCAAGTACTACGCCTATTGATAGGAATCACCAATTGTGTGCTCAATCAGGTGATCCTGTTGATAAGGAAGCATACCAAAGACTGGTGGGACGCTTGATCTATCTTTGCCATACAAGACCTGATATTTCCTATGCGGTTAGTGTTGTGAGTAGGTATATGCATGATCCTCGAACTGGTCACTTGGATGTTGTTCATAAGATTCTCAGATATCTGAAAGGGACTCCTGGAAAGGGATTGTGGTTTAGGAAGAATGGGCATCTAAATGTGGAAGGATATTGTGATGCTGATTGGGCGAGTAGTATGGATGATAGAAGATCTACATCAGGTTATTGTGTGTTTGTTGGTGGTAATCTTGTTTCTTGGCGAAGCAAAAAGCAGGCAGTGGTGGCTCGGTCTACCGCAGAAGCAGAATACAGAGCTATGGCTTTGAGCTTGAGTGAGATGTTGTGGATGAGGAGCTTGTTGACTGAATTGCGAGTGCTAAGAAGTGACACTGTGATGCTTCATTGTGACAATAAATCAGCCATCAGCATTGCAAACAACCCTGTTCAGCATGATCGCACTAAACATGTGGAGATTGATAGGTTCTTCATTAAGGAGAAGATTGATAGCGGGGTGCTTAGGTTGGAGTATATTAAGTCATGTGAACAACTAGCTGATTGTCTAACAAAGGGGTTAGGTCCTAGTGAGATTCAATCAATATGTAACAAGATGGGTATGATTGATATTTTTTGCCCATCTTGAGGGGGAGTGTTGGTGTAAATATGTATTGTACCAAGGACCTATCTGTAAAGTGTTATGCTAATAGAATAGATGAGGAAGGGGTGAGCTGAGTAGGCTAACCCTAGAAAAATTCCCCAAATTGAACAATAGTGTTTTTTGGGGGGCATATTTTGATGATTTGATATTACTTTCCGAATGCGATTTTCTCTCTCAGTTACATGTGGGGGTCATCTGAGTCACTGAATGTGGGTCGGGATAGAAGGTTGTCATATGTGTTGTTTCTCTCTCTCGTGTGGTGAGTCGGTGAGTAGGTGGTACCGTGGTAGACTTGTAGCACTTTAGTTCAGGCCTGGTTTCAAACTTGGGAATTTTGTATCATGTTGGATGGTTTGTAAATTGTAATGTCTCTTGCAAAATTCCAAGAAGTTTCAAAAACTTTTTTTTTTCGCCGGGCCAGCGATAGCCATAGCCGGTCGAAGTATATTAAAAGTTTTAGAAAGAATTTACAATATGCCACGGCCGCTGCAGGTGCTCTCCCGCATTACAATTTACAACCACATTTACAATGCTCTTTTATGGAGCTAACAAGGCCCACTGTCCTCCATGAAGTTTCAAACACTAGTGGAGATGTTCTGATGCGCATAAGGAATATGTATGATTTTGAGATAATTTTTTTGCTATCTTTACTCTGATGCATTAAGGCATAGCTCCTTCCATTTCATGAAAAAAAATAAACATTTCTTTTTTCATGGGGGATAGAAGACAAAATGAGCTAACATATTTTTTTTAAAAAAAAAGAAGACATTATCTGTTGTATTTCCTAACTTTTTTTCCCCTTAAGTAACCACATTATTATAATTTACAACACCTGGTGCTCCTTGCAGCTAAGTACCATGAATACACCATCCTTATCATAACTAAGCCCTTATTAGTTGCGACTGTTACTTTTTTATCCCTAGCTGGTAGGCTTTTTACCTGTAACTAAGGTGTAAAGTATTCTACTACCTTTGCCCTTTTCTTGTGATCATTGCAACCGAATCAGAAATAAATTAACTTGGAAAATAATATATCCTATATCTTTTGGTTGGCTGAAATATAAAGAAAAGCTTGCATATTTATAATAACTTCAGTACTCAGCAAAACCTAATAATCCTTTCTTAATAACAAAGAGGATCCTCTTGAAAAGAAGTTAAATAGGTACTACATAGTACTAGTATTCAGATAGTTCTTGTCCATTCTTTTTCTGGGAAAAAAAAGGCTTGTAAGACAGTGATGATCAATTGTCACAAATCAATCATTCTCCCTATTATTTCAGAGGATCAAATATCAAGATTAAAATGGCATACATAATCAGATAACTTCTTGCCATCACCAAACAATTCCTCTTCCCTTACCTTTTCCTAGATACCAGTATCTGAAATGGCTCAGCGGCACACAGATTTTCTGGGCTGTTCATCCAAAGCTTGGCATGGACATGATAATGTGCCAAAATTGCCAGCAGGTCAGAAAGCAAAGTGACAACCATAATGAACATTATTCTACTTGGAAACGGCAAATTCTAAGATCAACACATGATGTGTCATGATCTGAAGCTTTCCATTTTTCTAATGCTCTCGAGCAAGAAAACAACCTCGTAACAGCACAGCACAAGCTACAATGCTGTGAATACCACTAGAGATCTTCCTTCAGGTGGAGCTTGAATCCGAGAAAGAGGGGGAGAGAAATCCTATTTTACAGTTTCGAATTTCAGGCAAGAAAAAAATATAGTTGAGGACTTGAACTGAATCCCTCTTTGTTTACATTTTTTTTCAGAGACAGTGAGCTTAAGAATTCTCCACTCCTGCATCTCTGGAACTAACCTATTGGTATTTGACAGTATAGGAGTAGCAAAGGTTAGGTCAAATTCCATCTACTATATGCTACTATTACTAAATAATTTCCAAGTACATTCACCTTTGACTCCAAATAATTTACTATTGGTGTTTTCAGCTTTGAGACTACGGTAGATCACATTAACACCCTGTCAGAGAAAAAAGAATTGGCCACTGAACACCACCAATACCTACCATTATGTTGGTTGGTTCTTGGAGAGTAATTGGGCTGGGGCCCTAAAAACAGTATTTTTCTCCATGAACAACCAAATTTGTACCCTCAATGAGATATGGTATGCTACTCCACATTAGTAGTGATATCACTTTAGTTCAAGTGAAGTGGGTGCAATATAAAGAAGTTTTATTAAAAGACAAAGTGTGCATATACCATGTCACTTTGAAAATTTAAGCTTGTTCCACTGAAAATTTGAGCTTGTTCCTGTGGACCTGAATTAATTAAGCTCGCCAAGATTGATTCTTTAAGTCCAGTAGGCCAATGAACTAGTCGAGTAAAGTTCATTATTCAGCTAAATATACACAAGCATCAGCAACTGGAAATATTAAATTCTCTAAAACATATGAGTGATGCTAAAAAAGAAAAGAAAAGCAAAACACTTGACTGCAATTCTATATAATAACATAAAAGCCTTTTAAAAAAATTGTTTACATCTTTGGTCTCTGCCGACAAGTGTACAACCAATAAGTTTTATTGTTGAAAAGGAAAAAAAAATATCGAGTGAAGGGAGTAACATAAAGAACTAGCATACCATTTCTCAAATTTCTGAAAGAGATACTCCAGAACTGTGCTGTAGTTCATCTTTAACTGAAATATTTTTTACCAAAGTTTTGGGGTACCTTTGCTTGGAGACGAAGCAGAATGGAAGAGGAGGTGTGGATGGATCTCCAGGAGGTGAATAAATGCGGCCTCGTGGGCGTGCAGTTAAACAGACGAGAGATATGAGATGGGGTCCCTGATCCAAAGGAAACCGTTGTCCTTCTCATTGATTTCAGTTGCCTTCACCACTTGCCATGCTGTAGCTACTCCAGCATTTTGGATCCCTACATTCTTTACTTCCACATGTTGGTAGCATACGGCAGAGAAACCCCTAGTGGTACTGTGCTACTTGCCCTACTTTGCTGCATCTTTTTTTTGTTTTTAATCTTCCTACTGGCCAGGAATATTTGGAGAGGATCAACTATATTCAGTATTTATTTAGAACAATTTTCTCTACTACTTGAAAGCCAAATTGTCCCTCCTTCCTCTTCTCCTACCGTCTATAAGCGGTTGGATCTCAATTCTCCTTTCGACCCCTTCTCCCACCCCACCGGAGGAAAGTGATTGGATTTCAATTCACATGTTTAACCTATTCCTAGTCATATGGGCTCATACAACCTCTATTGTAATGCATGGGTATATTACTAGTTTTAAGGAAAATAAGCAAGTTTTTTTTTTCATTCTCAATCATGCAAGATTGAGAATGATTGAGAAAGACATGATTGAGAAAGCATGTATTCCACTTGAATATTTGCAACAAAGTCAAGCATGGCAAAAAAATACTACGAACTAGTAAGCTAAAGGCACTCAATTTGGCTCTATCTTTTAGTAAACCAAGCAAGAAAACCATTAAAATGGTAGTAGCGTATATACATACGCATGTCTGAATTTTTTTTAGTGAGGCTGGGAATAAATCAATGAATACAATTTCATATCAAGACTTGTAAAGGATTGATGGTTCTGAATCTTGTGATGTCTTGTTAAGAACCACTGAAGATATCATGAACCTGTTTTAAACGAGATATTTAACCATTTACCACTTTTAGATGTAGCAATTAAAATCTAAAAGTGATAAATAGTTAAATGCCCTGTTTTAAACTAGTTACATTCAGGTGATTGGGTTATCTTTTCGACATTTTTATATAGAAAAGCAAGCATAGTATATGCTCTTTTACACGAGACAACAAAAAAGGATGGGGCTTCCATGGAGTAGGCACTGGAGTGCTTGTAGCAAGGGGGATCAAATACAATCCAGTCATTTTCCACTGTAACGCATGTGAACTGGTCCAGAATACATACAAGAGAGAGAGAAAAATAAAACTATTGAGAGCTGGTATTCTCATGTCAGTGACACAGAGAAAGTAGAGCCGTAGTAGAGCTAGGCAGTGGCCTATGACCAAAGAGAGCAAGTACCACCTGGAGCCAAAGATTTTGTGCAACCTCTACTACTACAAGAAGGTGATTTTATTGAATGAGAATTTGAACCCAAGAGGGTGATTTTATAACTGAATCTTAGTTCAGGCCTTGTTTAGTTCCAAACTTTTTCTTTAAACTTCTAACTTTTTTATCACATCAAAACTTTTCTATACACATAAACTTCCAACTTTTCCATCATATCGTTCTAATTTTAACAAAACTTTTAATTTTAGCATGAACTAAACACGCCCTCACTCTTTTTTTTAAAAGCTTGCAAAGAAGAAATGGTAGAAACCACTCCATTCATTGCATGAATGAAGAAAGAACAGCTAGTGGTATGGTAACAGTAGTAATGGCAGCAGTTAGCCACAGCAACTGCTCCCCCTCCTCTGCTTGCTGCTGCCACTACTGCCCTGCCCTCCTTGAGTTGGGTGAGTGAGTGACAGTAGTGTGTGTGGTGTAGTGGTAGGAGAGGAGGAGTATCTCTTGTATGGCTGTGGCCTGTAGTAGGCTGTAGCCCCAAACCTCTTGTCTCCTTTTCCCCTCCTCTCTCTCCCCCACTCTACTTCAGTTCTTTGCTTGTTTGCTAGCTTCTCTCATTGCCTCTCTTGTTGCTTGATGCTTTTAGGGAGAGTAGAGTGGTGTAGTGTAGTGTTGAATCCTCCTCCACATCTTGGAACTTCTTCTTCTTCTTCTTCTTCTTCTTCTTCTTCTTCAAAGTCTTCAAAGGCTTATCTTGGGTGAAGAAGCACCTGAAGCTTCCATCATTTTTGCTTTAATGGTGGTGGTCTTGGGGAAACTTCTGAAGAAATCTCCGGGGGAAAGATTGCTGCTTTGCTGCTGGTTTCGCGGCAAATCTTGATTGATTGCGTTGGAAGAGGTCGGCTTCGTGAAGGAATCTTGCTTGCGGGATCAATCGCCTCCGCTCGCTTGCTTGCTTTTTGGGCGGTTCTTGGTGCTGCTTTATTGGGGTGAAAGGTTGGGGGATCTCGCGGCCACTCGAGGTAGCGAGCGATCTCCCCGCGGCTTCTCCTCGTTGCCGGCATTGCGGGGGAGGCGAGCTCGCCGCCGGGTCGCTTGTTGATGCGGTGAGGCGGCGGAGCGGAGCTTCTCGCTGTGCTGCTGCTGCGGCGGCCGCCAGGTGTTCGGTGAAAGGCGCGAGCAAGCGAGCATGAGGGACTTCCCTTCCTGCTTCGGGGAGAGCGGCGTCCAGATCGCGGACGCGTCGTCGTCGTCGTCGAGCGCCGGAAAGGGCGCGGCGCAGAATCTGGTGACCTGCCTCTACCAGGCGCAGTTCTCGGGCCGGCCATGCGTGATCTCGGTGACCTGGAGCAAGAGCCTCATGGGGCAAGGGCTCAGCATTGGCGTGGACGATCTGTCCAACCAGTGCCTGTGCAAGGCAGACATCAAGCCATGGCTCTTCTCCAAGAAGAAGGGCTCCAAGAGGCTTGACGTCGAGGACGGCAAGATTGAGATCTTCTGGGACCTGTCCGGTGCCAAGTTTGGTGCTGGGCCAGAGCCAATGGAAGGGTTCTATGTCGCCGTGGTGTTTGACCTTGAGCTGATACTCCTGCTCGGCGACATGAAGAAGGATGCATACCGGAAGACCGGCGCAAACCGGCCGATGCTGAATGCTGCATTTGTGGCTAGGAGGGAGCACATATATGGGAAGAAGATTTACACTGCCAAGGCACAATTCTGTGAAAATGGTCAATTCCATGATGTTGTGATAGAGTGTGACACCGTCAGCCTCAAGGATCCATGTCTTGAGATACGGGTCGACAAGAAGCCCGTCATGCAGGTGAAGCGTCTGGCTTGGAAATTTAGGGGAAACCAGACAATTCTTGTGGATGGTTTGCCCGTGGAGGTGTTCTGGGATGTCCACAGTTGGCTGTTTGGATTGACGACAAGCAATGCGGTGTTCATGTTTCAGACATGCCAAGCACCTGAGAAGTCGATGCCTTGGTCATACTCGCAGGTTTTTAGGGAGTCTCAGTTGCAGGGTCTTGGTTTCTCGCTGATCCTATATGCATGGAAGCTTGAATAGGTTCTTGCAGAATCATAATTTGCTTCTGCAATTGCCTCCGTTTTAGTGCTAACGGGATGTTTATTGAGTGTCAATTCTTGGAAATGTTATGGAGGCTCTCCAATATATGTTCTTTCAATTTTTCTTGGTTTTGCCATCTTTTATAAACACTGTTTGAATAGTTTGGCAAGATTCTGTGACAATCCTGTGATTCTCAAATTCCCTTCCTTTTGCTCCTAATGCTCTCAATAGTTTACTGTGGCAATGCTCCAAGAAAGAATGTTGTCATGATGTAAAGTACTTCAAAGTTCGGATATAGATTATTTGTTAATAGCAACATCGTCAGACGATTTCTACTACTTGTTCTTCCCTGTATTATCTTGTGATCAGTCACAATTGTTACTTGGAGATCAACAAACTTGTAAAGTTCATCATGATATAACTTTGATCCCTGTGGAAAAGTGTGGATTTTGAGGAATCAAGACTCATGGAATACGCGCGCATCAAGGTCTATTTACCCTAATGGCGGTCCTTTTTATGCTTATCTACAGACATCTGATTGTGTCTGTCTTTTTCAGGAAACATATCACACCAATGAGGATCCTGAAGTTCAAATGCTGCAACTCAGTGAAGAGACTTCAAATTCTGTGTAATTTCGTTCTATACATCTACTAAAGTGATGATCTACCGTTATTGTTGCTGTTCTTATCACCTGAAGTGAGGTGGGTTTCAAAAAGAAAAAAAAACAAACTGAAGTGAGGTGCCTCAATGGCCATTGGCTAACCAGGAAGCTGGTTGGCTTAGCTCTAGTGTGCTTTATTTAGGAGATCGCATTGACATTAGCAATGATGAACAATCAAATTAAACAGCCTGTAGCTTTCCGAACTGTTGGACCACATCAGCTTTGACGTTTTAAACATTAAATAGGACATTATCTTGTCATCTATGATGAATTTAAATCTCTTTTTTTTTCCTGAAAGGTACACCATTTGTATTGCTTATATAATCTTTTAACTCTAGTGAGTGTATCTAATTCCATTGATGCTTCCCTTTGAACAGAAGATCGTGGAAATTCATCATTAACAGTACACAACAATGTCTAAACTCTGATCAAATCATGAATCTATGAAATGGGCTAATATTATATTATTTTAATCATGGTATCATTGGTTAAGTGGTTAACTGAACAAGTCCTTTCTTTAACCATGCTGTAAGTTGGCATTTTTATCCATCAACTTATTTTGTGAGTAGTACAAAGGAACAGACTGAACTATCGTTAAAATCAGAAAAGCTCTTGGTTTGCAACCAAAATTACCAAATGGAACTGGAAATTTCTTGCCTTGAGCTGAGTTAAGATCCAAAGTACTCCTTAGGGTCTTACGGCCTTGCTAGACCCCCAAATATACAGGCCATCCAAGATATACTTCAGTAGAACTTGTTTTGCTCAACGTAAATTGGGTTGCAAAGCCGGCTTACTTTGCTTCCTTAAATCAATCTTGTAGTCTTCATTGATTCATTGTTGGTAAATTTAATTAGCCTTCCTACATTATTGGAAGCATTTCATATATGATATTTTGGGAGTAATATTCAGCTCTCTGACAGTTGGTTTTCACTAGTTTCACACAGACAGACAGCATTCTGTCTGTTAGTTCCTGTCCATTCATTCAGTAATTTCTTGTAGCTACTGTTTGGAGCAATACACAAGATTGCATTTCTGGTCAATGCAAACATAGTCCTTTAACAGTGACATTTGAGAAGAACCTCACAACTGATTCTAGTGATTGTCCATTGATAGCTACATCATATGAATGGAATTTTCTGTCACTATAAGTACTGACTACTACCTACCGGATTGCGGTGCTAGTTTAACAAGGAACTGTTCCAACTTTTCTTAGTCAGGTACAGTAATATGGAGGGATGACTTTAGTACGGCAGTAATCTTACTGTGGCTTAATAGCATATGAATACAATGGAAAGTGACCATGTGGTGTTTGCCTGTTTGGTACAGTAATCTTATTTAGGAGTATAAATTCTCTTCCAACCAAAAATAGATGATATCCTGTTCCAACTAGAAGAAGAAATGGAAAGGAAAGAAAAAGGATGTTGATCTATCTAAATGGAAGACATTGCATAATCAGTAACAGTATGCAGTAGATGTACCATTTATTGTCATCGTCTCCATCATCTTGCTGCCTTATTTTTAGAAGAAGTCTATGTAGATTATTGTAGATAAACTCCAAATATTGGATTTGTAGGCCATGCAGATTCTTTATTTCTTTGGTTATATACATATTACAAACGATATCCATAACTTCCACCTTTCATATTACTGTATCCTCTAAGAAGGAGCAATTCAGATAATTGACAGGTTTATCAAGTTAGTGAGTCCATGTTAGGAGAGTACGAACATCAAAATTTTAAGCATTTGTGAGTGCAACATGGGCTGGGCCAGGATTGGCATTTGCCTTGTGGCAGCATAGAGCCTGAATAGGCATCAACAGGTAGGGATGCCTATTTTATTTCTATTGTTTTAGTTGATGAAAAATTTACCTGGTTGGTGCTCGACTGCTCGTGCTTCCTGATTTTCACATGTTTTCTCCAATCTTCTACTCAACGAATTGTTGCATGTCATAGTTGAATACAACCTTCTCATTTTGCTGGTGGAAGAAGCCGAGTCAAAGATGTCTATCCTTATTGACAAGGGCGGCATACGACATATCAACAGCAGGTCAGACAGTAGCAGAAAAGGTATGGTTCTTGTCGCAGAGCATAATATATTCAAAAGTTACATGTTTACTTTGAAGCTGGATTCGTGTTAACACACATATGCTTTGTTATGATGGCCAGTTACTTGAATCTTATGGTATAAATGTAAATATAACACTACAAATTTGTAATGGTGTTCGTAAAAGCAGGCAAGATAATGTTTGTGCTGACTACCTATAGTCTTAAAAACCATCCAAAAAGCAGGCAAGATAATGTTTGTTTTGACTACCTATAGTCTTAAAAACCATCCAAATCAGCAACAGCTTTCCTGTACGAAAAGCTAAGAACATTGAGTTAGTGCTATACCCAAATGTCCAAGCAAAATCTACTATAAGTTTAGCATAATTAGTTCATGTGATACATGTGAGTTTGCAGTTAAAATCTGTGAAAAATGTATTTTCATGCTATGTTTTCATGATATCATTAAGACCAAATGCATTTCCTCTCTCTCTCTCTCTCTCTCTCTCTCTCTCTCTCTCTCTCTCTCTCTCTCTCTCTCTCTCTCTCTCTGTCTGAAAATGTCTTTTCCTGCATTATATATCCAACTGGACCCAAAGGCCGTTGTGAAGCCCATTTTGTTTAAAAAAGGGAAAGCACCTTAGTAATGCACAAAACACGCGAGCGGATGCAGGTTGAATTAAAAAAAATGTCCCTCAAATTTGGTGTGAAAATCTTAAGCTTGGCAGCACTCAGAAGATACAAACAAGAAATGCTATGGATGCTATGGTTGTCATGTACCTTGAATTATTCTGTAGGTTTGTTTTTGGGGGGGGGGGTGTAAAAATGCCCTCTTTTAAATGGAGAAAAGAGGTAGGAAGAGTAAGAAGTGGAAAGGGACAAGATACCGGAATAAAATTTCTGAAAGCACTATGATTGGGTTGCAAGGAAGCACAATGTGGCAGAAGAAGGGTACAGTGCACTAAACTTCACCTCGTGCCAAAAGCAAACCTGATGGTTACTTCCTCTCTAACTACCCATCCTTTTATTTCTTTTCTTTTGCATAGCTTGCTCCATTCCTCCTTTCACCTCCTCTCTATGAGGCCATAGCCGGAGGTCTCAGCAGGGCTTCCTCATGGGGTGGCTCCACTCCCTCTTCTCCCCTCTGAGGAAGCTCTGGGTTCGTGCGCATTCCGCACGTCGAAACCGTAAGTTGTTTCTGAGAACTCATTCTTTCAACATGCATCAACTCCTCTTGGTGATTTCCGCGATTGCAAAGCCATTTTCATTGATCATTTTACGCGGTGAAATCGACTTGTTTCTTCCTTCTAACGTTGTTATGGCCCTGACATTGCTGTGCTTGATGCTTTCTTGGCAGGGAGGGGAATGCACATTCTGTACAAGGATGTCAAGTCTTGCCAGGATGAGGATGTGCATGTTCTATGGTCCATATTGGTGGATTCGCACCGTCACCCAGCTCTGATGAAGCTGAAGCTCTAGGGTTCTTGAAGAACAGAGCAAGGATGATGGCAGCTATGAATTTTCTGTGATTTTGCCGTTTACTCGGCCATTACCTCTGTATAGAACAGCATGATTTCAATGGCATCAAGATTGAAGGGGCAAAAAAAATAGAAGGACAAAATAGGCAGATGTTTATATGCCTTTCTTGTGTGTATTGATGTTTCTGTCTTGTGGCTTTGTGAGTGAGGTTGAAATGTCACCTTTGGTTGATGTGAATGCGAGTGAGGTTGAGTTTAATGTATTTGTATATACAGATGCTCTGATGCCTTACCTAATGGTATGAAGTTTGGTAGCACGTATTTTTCTCTCCCTGTTTTTTTGCTGATTTATTTTTTATAGGTTCAATTGTGTTTTTGGATGTATTGTGTCTGGCCAATTCCTTCCCACTCCCACACGTGTTCATAGTGCCCATAAGAAAATAACTTGGAAGGATATGTTTATATAAAGGCAAAATTATAAAGGTTCTGTACCATATAATACTGCACATCAATGTCAAAACTAGTACTATTCTTGAACCAATGCAGTGCTTATTGGCAAGTATTCTATATGAAATAATCCTAACACCAACAGTTTGGTCTACAATTGAAAAAATCTAGCTACTAAGAATTTGAGGACTTCAAAAGGAAGAACATAGAATAAACAAAATTAATTCCTGCCTAAATCCTAAATCATTCTGCAGGTGCTACCCTAACTCAAAATTGCATCTTAAAAGTTCCCTAGCGTGCTCTTGTTAGCCTATCCTCCACACCAAAATTAAAATCTTGGAACATAATCTTTAGAGTTGATTTTGAGGTTTGTTCATGGTTGTCTATTTTCCAGTATTAGCTTTTAAACCATTACTAATATAAATACAAAAGTTTTTACCCATAAATTATTTTTCCTTTCTTTATGCATATTTTATGGCTTATTAAAGCCATAGATCTAAAACTGATGTTCATCATGTCAAAAAAGAAAAAGAAAAGGTGTCGCTCAAATAACAAAACCCTACTTGTACAATATAGAAAGAGAAAATTTAACTATATGGGCCCTCCTCCTTCGTCGGCCCATTTGGCCTATTACAATTCACAAATCTGGCTCATTTTTCCGAATCCTCCCTACGACTTGGGCCCGAGACTGGTCTCCTCTCTCTTTCCCCCACAAAAGCGAGGACGCGAAGGAGGCCGCCGCCGCCGCAGAGAAGGAAGAGAGGGAGAGATCGCCGGATCGCCGCCCGCCGCCGCCACGATGTCGTCGATGCTGTCCGCGTTCTCGCAGTGGTTCGTGAACCCGCGCCGCAACCCGCTCGCCCGCCTCCACATGCAGGCGATCTCCTCGCGCCTCCGGAAATACGGTAGGGTTTGCTGTCTCGCCTGGATCTGGGTGTCTCGATTCGGGGGGGGTGGGGGGCTTTCTTGATCTGGAAATTTGATGGGATTTTGTTCTTGTTATTCTGTATGTGTGATTGATCCGTTGTTAGGCCTGAGGTACGACGATCTGTACGACCCGAAGCATGATCTGGACATCAAGGAGGCGCTCGAGAGGCTTCCCAGGGAGGTGGTCGACGCCCGCCACCAGCGCCTCAAGCGCGCCATGGACCTCTCCATGAAGCACCAGTACCTCTCCGAAAACGACCAGGTCCGTTCATTTCCCTCCTGCCCTGATCTAGTTTTTGCGGCGATGGTGTGCAGATTAGGGTGGCCGGGTTTCTAGGTTTGTGTTTTTTGAGAGCCCACGCAACAAATACGTAAATTATAGGTTATCCCGATTATTGCCTGTAAAGTGAAATGAGTGTAGAGCAAAGGGGATCGATGCACTCATTTTGGGTATAGTATGATGTTGATGATTCTTTTAGGCCGGAAGGTTGTGGATGCATGATTCGGGTTAACATATGTTACAAAACTTGTTCCTTGTTTGTGAAGAGGGTGTATATTCGTCCTACGAATTCTTGATTTCGGAGTTACAGCTTGTTACACATGTATTCTTGTAAAATTTCTTACCTAAGAACCTGAATACACAATTAGGCCATCTTTCATCTTTAGCAGTGAGCCAGTGATTACCATTACATTTGTCATTATCTGTACTAACCCGGTAAACTGATGTGCTTCTGAAACATTCTCTCTATTTGCACAGGCGCAACAGACACCATTCAGAGGCTATTTGAGTGACATGATGGATCTGGTAAGTGTATCTGAAGATGCTCTTTGTCATTGCACTTGTTCATTGCACAAACGCTCTAATTGAATGCCAAGTTACATTAAGCATTACCCTTATAATTCTTAGTATGAGGTCTTGTTGCATTTGGTTATACATTAGCATGCCATAATGTAATCTATAGCCTTGTAATTTTCTCTTGTGCTGGGTAAAATGTATTCAGATTAGTTTGAAATGGCAGTCTATTAAATTCATGTAAAAAGGGTTTTCCTCTTGACGCCACTCTAAGCTGAAGATATTGTGTGTTTATAAATTTGCTTTTGTTCTTGAGTATCCTCGAGGGTGCATGTCGGCATGAATATCGATCACCTTTTTTTTCTTGTTTATTATCTTGCTGGGCATGGTCGCTTTTAGTATTACTGGGTTACAAGAAGCGTGATCCCTATAAAATTTGCAGTCATGGGTTGTGACTATTATTTTCTAGTATCCTTCTAACTCCTCAGGGGTTGTATGCAATCTAACCATGCAATACCCACTGCATTCAATTAGTTGTACATAGAAAAAACAACTGAAATAACTACCTAAGAAATTCCTAGGCCTTAATTTTATGGTTTGCCATTACCCATTAGCCATTTATGACGTGCAGCTAATTTTCATTTGAAGCTTGTGCTAGTCTAAATGCCCTTTCCCCCCCTTGTTGCAGGTGAAGAAGGAGAGATTAGAGCGTGAAGAACTGGGAGCCCTTCCCCTTCACCAGAGGACCCTTCCCTGAAGTCTTATCTTGATAGGCCCTGCTGTTTTTTCCCACCACAATGCATCAAATAAAATGCAGTGGATGACTCATGATACTGTCTCTCATTTTGAAGTTCCATTTTCATATATATTCGTGTGTGATGCATTGGTCGTCACTGATTACTTCGCATCCTTTTCAAATATGTTAATTTAACAGCAACAATTTTTCTTTTACATCATTGTCGTAAATTCTTCATGTATTGTGCTTCACATGAGAAGAATGTCTGTTGTTTGCTCAGAATGGCTTTTGTTTTACCACCTATTGTTTTGATTATGCCATGGTTCTTGGTCATGGTTGTTTGTGCAGAGTCGCATTTGAGCGATTATTCATGTATATTGTGCTTCACCTGAGCAAAGAATTGCTTTATGTTTACAACTACACCCACTGTTTCATATTATAATACGCTTTGACTTTTTTTCTAATATAAAAAAAATGTATAATCTCTTACAACACCAAATTAGTTTCATTAAATCTAACATGAAAAATATTTTGATAATATATTTGTTTGGTGTCAAAGGTACTGCTATACTTTTATAAACTTAGCCAAACTTAAACAATTTTGACTTAAATAAAAAAGTTAATATGCCTTATAATGTAAAATGAGATAAAAATGGAGAGAGTATTATTTTGCATATGTCATGGATGATTTTGCAGCCTTTCATTTGAGCAGCTACTGGTTATGACAATTGACGAGCACGAGCTAGTATAGTAATAGAGCTTCCGGCTTGTTCTTCCTAACGAGTTAGGGTTCCTCTTATTATTTTTGGCGCGGTTACCGCACCCCCGCGGTAAGTCGGTTACCACGGTAACCACGAGACATACCGTGGTTTCAAAAACTGAAAAGGTTACCGCGCGGTTTTGTAAACCCCTAAAATAGCATTAGAGCTCTCAGCTTGTTCAAGTCCATGAAAGTATCAGCTTTTGGTTGTCAAATATACTCCGGCACGATCTAGAATAGTAATGAGAGCGTAATAGAGCTCTTGGCCTGTTGAAATCCATAAGAGCTAAAATAACTTCGGGCTGTTTTGGTTTAGTGCCAAATCTTGCCCTACCAAATTTTTTGGTAGCCTAAATAGTACTTGTGTGATGTTTGGATTGATGCCAAAACTTGCCAAATCAATAGAAATCTTTGCCAAAATATTGGTAATGTCAAAACTTGTCTAAAATTTGACACTACCAACAATTTGGTATGATAGCAATCCAAACATGCCCTTCTACTCCTATTAAAAGGAAAAAAACAACTTCAAGATTTGAATATGGATATATAGGTGCTCTTGAGATGTACTTAATAGCGCAGTGACAAGTAGCACATGGTTTAAACCAATTTCAATTACCAATTACTCCCTAATATTAGCTAGGGTTCATTATGCAGTAATCTCAGCTAGAATGCTTTAGGACTCCTTTACTAACGCAAGGATTTTACAGATATTTTGCAGGAAATAGTTTAATTTTCACAAAATTCCCGTAAAAAATGGAATGAAAGATATTTTCTCCGCAGAGCCATCGCGGAGATCCGAGCGTTCCGCCCGGAAGAAGGAATATCCCACCGACATGTGGGGTCCACCCGTCGCCGTCGGCCGTCGAGTCAACCTCCCCCCTAGTCCACGTGCGCATCCGAGTAGATAAAGTTGGCTACCTCGCCACGCCAACCCAGCCACCGTGATCGATCGATCCAACGACGGAAAACCGCCGCCGCGGCCGAATCCGAGCCCCGCCGGCGAGATCCTCGCGGCGGCCCGGCGGCCGGCGAGGCCCCACGCGCGCTCGCGCGCTCGTGCCTTCCTCGTCACGACACCCCTAGGTTCATCCTAGGAGGAGGGGAATTCGGATTTTGGATTTTGGGGCATCGTGTTAATGGCGGTGCGGCCGGGGTGGGCGGTGGCGGTGGCGCGGGCGTCGGCGGCGGCGTGGCAGCGCGTGGCGTGCAACCCGGAGACGCTCCCCGCCGACCAGGTCCTCGGGCTGCTCTGCTGCGCGCCGCTCCACCTCCTCGCCCGCCTCGCCGCGTTCCTCTGCATCCCCTTCGTCCCCGTCCAAGCCATGCCCCGCCTCCTCTCCCCTCGCCTGCAAGGCCACCCGCGCCGCCTCCTCCTCCTCCCGCCTCAGGAGTTCGTCGAAGTCGAACCTATGTACTCCCCTTTCCCTTCCTCCTCCTCGTCCTCGTCGGATGACGATGACGACAGCGACATCGAGGACGGGGAGATTGTTCATCTTCACTTCGATTGAGGTTCGCGGCTGGTCACTTACCGCCTTTGATTTCGTATCCATTTGTTCATAGTCTAGCAATCCTAGCGTGTGGAAAGGAATTGTGAATTGTGGAACTCTGGATAATATGTAGCTCTAGTGACAAATGACACAAATTCAGCTGAAATTTTCACAATTTGTCCCTTTGCAAAAACTTTTTTTACAAATGAACCGCTGCCAAAACTTATTTCAAAAATGACTCTTTTGGTCAGCACCAAATCACCTGGCGCTGAACTTAGACACTTCAGCGCCATGTCAACTGGCGCTGAATGCCGTGCCACCGCGGATGGGAGACTAAGTCAGCATGCCAATGCATATTTAGCGTCACGCTATTTGGCGCTGAGGTGTCTAAGTTCAGCGCCAAGGGTTATTTTTGAAATAAGTTTTGCTGACGGTTCATTTGTAAAATAGTTTTTGCAAAAGGGTCAAATTGTGAAATTTTTTGCAAATTCAGGATCAGTAGTCTAACTACCCGAACTCATTGGGCATTCGTTAGGTCGCCCACTTGAACAAACCACAGTAAAATTTAAAGTTCAAACATGTGATGTGATGACTCAGTTATGGGGACCTGCTTACTAGACAGTATAACTTGTAAGCCGCTGAAATTTATTTATATGATGCTAATCCTCAATATGTCTGGAGGAGATATCTCACGTAGGTCAGTAGGTCATCATGTGCTGAAATTCTGCTGATATTTGGTTGGATTAGTGTGCATTTTCATTGTTCGATCGGTATTTACCATCTTCTACAGATGCAGTTAGGTGTAGTTTAGTCAAATTAGTCAGCTAATATAGTTAAATGAGACCCGAACCATTGATAACATCAGAATGAACCTAGAATTTAATTACCTTTTTTGAGTTAATATTTTCTTTTTTAAAATAATTTTCCATCCAACCTCACTACTTTAAGTGGAGAGAGTGATTCTATAACACTATGCACACTCAATTGATTTGTACCATGTTGACTTATTAGAAATCTGATATAAGGTTGTTAGACTGTCTGTTCCGTGAACTTGCATAAGATTGCATACCGTGTTTTACTTTAGCCTATTGTTGTGGTATTATTCAATCTATGTTGGCATCTATAGAAACTAGAAAGTAGTGGATACAGTTATTTGCGTATGCCTCATTCCTGTGCAATCAATGACAGTTGGCCCTGACAGACTTGAAAGGTTAACCTGATAGTGTTCAACATTCTGGCTGACAGCAGTTTGATAGCTATAAGATGATGATGAGAAGGACATAGTTCTCAAACTTCTGTCTGCATCTGCATAATTGCTTGCTGTTTCCACCTTCATTGTGATGATGGGTGGTGCCTTGTATGGTCAATCTGCTGGAAACATTAGATGTGCCGTTTTCTTAAATTGGTTGATGGGCCTAATTCCATGCTCAGGGAGGAAGTATGCTTCTGGAATAAAATCCTTTTGTTGAATGCGCTCATTCAGTCATGCAAAACAAGCTAGATGGATCTCTGGCCACTCCTGAAGAAAAATGCAACATTAGTTCGTGCAGTTTGACTGTATTCATAATTTGTTTTGAACTTTTAGAATATATATTGTGCTTGCTTCATTTGGCCATTTGGGTATATTTCTTGAGTAGATTTTTCTACTCAACCTTGACAGTTTTCTAGCTTCTAAAAGATGGTATAGAACTATATATTTTGGGACTATTTTGTGCGCAGTTAAAGTCAAGCTGTAGCTCAACTAGAATGCATCATTTTTTAGTGAAAGTAATGTGCTAAAACCATTCTTTTTTGCATGGGAAATAAAGTAACCAAGTGAAGAGATTTACAACTTACAACTTCCATATTTCAGTGCACATTGATCTTTTAATATGTTTTCCGTCACCCTCACAAAGCAGGCGTGCATGTTTGAGGCTTAAGAATTGTGGTTCATTTCTTAGGACCTCTTCTGGATTTAAAACTTGAGTTGTTTTGTTGATCCCCCATCATCTCTAATTTTCGTCTATTTCAGGTTGCTTAGGAATAAGGCTCTGTGGGAGGCAACTTTTGGGCTTTCAGGTGCAAAGATTGAATGCATACTTGCATTCTGTACCTGATGCAAAATCATTCGCCCTTGCATCTAGCACTCAGAACCTAACACGTTCTGAGGTTGTTCATTGATAATAGTTCCATAGGTTAGAAGCTCTATTTTTATGATTGCATTGTTTTATTGTGGAACTCATCACTGGGTAGTGCTGATGAACGCCACACACTGTATTTAAAAGTTGAAATGCAATTCCAGATATTGATTGAAGATGGCTGTTTTCTTTGTTGAAAATATGTTATGTATTATACTTGATGAATGATGACACAGCATTGTGAAGCGCCCATCTTCGTTGTGAGTACACTGGTATTTAGCACATCTTTCTCTCTATAAGGACAGGACAGAACAAGGAAATGGATCTATCATCTTGTCATCTTTTGCTGTCTGATGGATTACTTTTGCTGTCTGACGGATTACAGCTGTGCTCTGTACCATGTCGGTTTTTGAGTAAAGGTAATGTTCCATTCTTCCTATACTAAAATAGGTTGCCATAAATGTTGGTAATAAAACGATTAATATAGTCTTAAAGAAAGAAAATAGGTCATATTTTTTTTGTTCAGGAATTGAACATTGTTGTGAAGACAAGGAGAATCTTTGATTACAGAAAACTTTTGTTTGTGCTTCTGTCTGTGAAGTGGATTTTAGTCAGAAGCACTAATTCTGTAATGATTCAGCATTGCATTTTGGCAACTATATGTGTAGTCATCAATTTTTTTGTGTCTGCTTAGCGACTTATTTAGTTTGTGGAATTGCATTTCCCAAGTCAAGAAATATTATAAGGGCTTTGGGCAAGGTGGTGCAGCAGAGAGAGGGAGGGAGTGAGAGCACATATCTGATTCATCGCATGTGAGCACATCTCTGATTCATTGCATGTGATTTGTGCTTCTGTTATGTTACAGTGAAAATGGTTCATCCTGTTTATTGTGATCACCTATCAAGGTAACTGAAGATCTTATGTCACCTCCCTTTTCCAGCTTTACTGCCTCTGGATATCCTCTTTTTCTCTCGGTTCAAGCTTTGAAGAGGCAAGAGATATAAAATGCTATATTCCATGAAGGTATGTTTGTTTCCAACTCTATAATGAAGTGTATGAGGTAGCTTGTTTATATCGTTCTGTTTCAATCTACTCACTATTTGTGTAAATTGCTCACTGCCTAACTAGAAAGCATCCATTTCCTATGTGACCAAAGATTGCCTTTCCACTTATCCGTTATCTTATACGATATCCATGATTTAGGTTGATTATATCAAATTTTTCATAGAATTGAGCATGTCCGTAATCATTTAATTCTAATAAATTGTTTGCTAGAGTTGAAATGTAGCGTTCAAATACCTCGTTAGCTGATTAAATAGACTGGGAGAAGAAACAGGCCCTCATTGCAAGTGTTGAAGTGTGACCAACCTCGCACATGTCAGTGGCCTCATGAACCGTGAACACGTAGGGTCCTCTGGCCCTCTGCTTATCATGGAAAGGCAAATGGTGCTACCATAGTAACACAAGCTTTTTTAGCCATGGCTCTATTATTGCGTGTCTCTGCTCTTTCTGTCCTGTAGACACTGGACGATAGCCATTAATCTCAACTTTGGAACCTAGAGGAGTACTGATAAATAAGCTTGGTTGGTAGTCTCCTAGGCAACTAATTGCTTCACGGGCAAGCGATATGCCTGCCCAATAGAAACTATGCCGTTCTGGCCTTGGGTCTTTTATACTGTTACGATTTATGATGCACTGAAAGTCTCTTTCTGCTCTCTGTTTGAAGGCTGAAAAGTACTGCTAAGTGGAACTAGGGTCTGGGAATCTTCTGTTACAAATAGGTAGATTGCCTGGCATTAGTTGCTTAATTAAGCTTTCATTGAACTCGTCTGGTGGCATATTGCAGCATGAGATCTTTCTAGAACTGAAACCCAATTACTTGAAACCTATTCACAGTCAGATTTAAGTATCGGGCTTGGAAGTTGGAACACACTGTACCACGTTGTGTTGTAGTTTTGTGGTACAGGAAAATCATGCCTTAGTTAAGCAAGTAAAGTTTAAGAACCATTCATGGAATTGCGGTACAAACTAGAGAGGGCCATGTCCAGCACGAATCACCGTTCATATGCCTGATGCCTGGTAAAGGCACATGCTATCGTTTGGTGAGGCAACTGATTTGGCAGCTCAACCACACACAGCAGGAAAGCACTCAAATAAATGAGCTTACAGCCCAAAGACCATGCACGCAGTCCCGTTGGATGTAAATTACCCTTTTGTCTAAGAAAATGACCCCTTGAATGTTGCTGTTGAGTAATGTCCTTTTAAGCTTGCGTAGATTGAATTTAGAGTCGCAGACCCATGCATGTTACTACCTCCGTTTTTTAATAGATGACGTTGTTGACTTTTTCTCACATGTTTGACCATTCGTCTTATTTAAAAATTTTATGCAAATGTATAAGATATAAATCACACTTAAAGTACTATGAGTGATAAAACAACCTATAACAAAATAAATTATAATTACGTAAATTTTTTAAATAAGACGAATGGTCAAACATGTGAGAAAAAGTCAATGGCGTCATCTATTAAAAAACGGAGGGAGTATCTTGGTAGGTGATTTGTTTTTTCAAGAATGATAGCTGATGGAGAGTGATTAGGATGGGGGCAATCCCTGAATAAATGTATGTAATGACACTGATTGGAACTTTAGAGTTATTAGTACGTAATCCATCTCTGTCAATACAGGCTAATTTTAGCTGGTTAGCAGTAGCACTTAAATAGCAGCTGTTACAATGTGACTATTTGCTCAACATCTCAAAATATATATAGTACCTTTATGGAGTCCTAGCTCCTAGGATCAACCGATCAAGCATGTCACTTGTGAGTTGCGACCCTATATTAAAAATCTGCTTCAGGAGTTTATGACATTAAACAATTGTTCATACGGAGACTGAAAATGATGCCCTGTGTGTTTATCTGTTTAGCCTCTTTATCATAACTGGACAAACCTGCCAGGGTGGCTCACTGAGAGAAACAGCGAACCATGTGATATAACGGCTTTGAATTGTGATTGTGCCCATGACTCCTCTACTGTTCTTACCTGGTATGCATTCCTGTGTCCAAGGCTAAAGCTGACGTGTAATGGGTTTCCTTATCCCCAACTTGTAGCCTGCTTTGTACTTTGTCCCCCATGCCCTGATGCTAACCGATCAGCCCCCATGCATGTATCCACGTATAATTGTTCGTATCCATCTTGGTGCGTGTGTGTTGCTAGTACACAAGCTGCATTTTTGCACATCCTCAGTGCGTTGTTGAGCTAGCTATGTTGGATAATGATTCGATTCTTGCACCGCTTGTTGGGAAGTGACCATTTGTATAGAATCACTGGCTTTTGGTAGCCTTGCTTCAATTCTTTGTAGTTTGGAAATTGTACATAAAGGTGCCCTTCAACTTCAAGTGCTTGTGCAAGAAAAGCCAGTAGAAGAGAGATGGATTCCTCCTTCTCTGACGTGGTTATATGCTTTTATATTCGCGGGCGATTCAGCTTGTGGATGAAGTAAAATCTATTAGTGTCTATTTGAGCTCATTATTTGTATAGGTGTGCCTCGAATTATTATGACTGTCTTCTGAGCCGGTGAAAAAAATTTCAACTACTACGGACCAAACTGAAAACATCCAAAGCCTGTCCTAATGCAAAGGGCCTACTGACAGGTGGGGCCAGTATGGACCGCACGTAATACTACTCCGATACTAAATAAATTTTGTATCCATCTGTTTAGCATGTTACTGCTGCTGTATTTCTAGGTTTTTTACCCGTTTACCAAGAGGTCCGATGCTGTAAGATCCGGTCAAGACGAGACCGGTCAACGGTCGTAGCATTAGCAGGGTCTGGATTGACCAATGCATGTGATGTGCTGTTGTTACTGCTTCGACAACCAGCCATCGTGGCAGGCAGGGCGACTGTGCAAGCACTATTATTACTGTTGTCAGGTTGTTACCAGACGATGTTTATCTTTTTAACCCTCCACGTTTAGTCCTCACCCTCCTCTGATTAGTGTTACTAGCGTGAAAAACATTCTGGAGCAAAGGCCGGGTTAAAAAACGGAGTGATGAGTGCACGGTCGCGGTTAGTTTTATACGTAGAACTGTACCTGCTTTTTGCTGCTAAACGTGTCATACCGGTGATCGTTACTTTTTTTTTATAGGATAGGTTAACATTTCGGTCTTCATTTCACCAGCCATTTTACAATGTTCCTTTTATAATGTACTCCTACTACTATCTTATCCAGGTATACCGTATAGTGTATTTGTGTGGGGTCTATTTGAACATACCTCCTCCGTCATAAAAAAAAGACAAACCCTGGATTTTCGTGTCCAACTTTAACGGCCCGTCTTATATGAAATTTTTTTATAATTCGTATTTTCATTATTGTTAGATGATAAAACATGATTAATATTTTATGCGTGATTTGTCTTTTTATTTTTTTTTATAATTTGAAAGACGGACGGTCAAACGTTAGGCATGAAATTGTCTTTTTTTTTTGGACGGAAGGAGTATCTGAAGACGGGACAGTTGAGTTACTTCTCTTGCGTAGACCTGACGAATGTCATTAAAAACTAGAGTATACTAGTATACTAGCTCGACACCATTAATACGTATTAGCATGTCTTCGCATGCGGGTAATGATAAAAACGACTTAACTGCAATATCAGTACTGTACTTACCTACTACTCGTAGTACTACCGTTAAACAAAATGACTTAACTGTAATATATCAGTACTGTAAGCATGGTGTGCACTTTGCAGGGTCCCCTTTTCCAAAGCTCACCGTACCTTAAGCACTGCCTAATCACTTTCCTTAAAACTTTCGTTAGCCGGTGCACGGAGGCACGCGTGCGCCCCCCGCCGGGATCCAATGCTGCGACCGCCGCTCGCGTCGCGCGTGCGAGAGAGAGAGAGAAGCGAAAAGCTCACGCGTCCGGTCCCACCACGTAAGATGGGACCCACTGGTCAGCGGGTGGGGCGGTGGCACGAGTGCCGGCTGCTCCCACGTGCCGGGCCGCGGGTGGGGGGTGGGGCCGTGTTGGGGGAAACGGAACGGGGGCCCGGCCGCGGCACAGTGGGCAGGTTGGTGGGGGCCCACGTGAGTGGCCCGAATAAAGAAAATTACCAACCATACCCAGGGTTTTGCCCCCCAAGAGGAGGAAGAAGTCGGGTTTAGCCGTTTGAACCACCGTGCAATGCGTGCATAAACATCTAGGAACAAACTGTGAAAGACAAACGTATTACGGATTTGAGATGGTGAGAGTCAGCTATGACAGAAAATCTAGGAAGCACTACGACGAACTGTAATAGTCAAAGCTAGATCATGCTAGCTATAGATCGTCTGGCATGAAGTCCGAAGGAAAAAAAAGTCTCATTGACTTAGATTAATTAATCTTATGCCAGTGCATATTATGGATAATCTTAGTATAATTAATACATTTAATGCATGTTGTCATGTTGATGGTGTGGACTTTTCTAATGTTTAACTCTTATTATCATTGTGCGACATTACAGTCAACTGCCCATTTTCTTCACAACAACATTTATATTTATTACAAAAATTATGTCTAACTACCTATTTTCTTCACAACAACATTTCCATTTATTCAAATTTAAGCCGGATTGCGAAACGAATATGAAGGTTTCAAATATTGACGGCCACCACTCGATGTTGTCTGATACATGAAACCACTCGATTAATTGGTAAGTTCAAAAAACAAACTAATATTTATACCTTATCGTGGGAAGTGGTTTTCTTGAGCCCCAATATATTTTGTAAAAATTTGGTGGTCACTAAAGATATAGATAGTATAATCTTTAAAGTATCACTCACTAATATAGATAGTGTTGGATTTTATATCGCAAAACAACATATTTCCTCGGTTTGAGAATGTAAGTATTTTCTAGGTAGACACATGTATTAATAAAGTAGATAAAAATGATTAGAGAATCACAACAGAATTTAAGTATATTTTTAGTTGGACACGGCTATTAAAAAGTATATAAAAAATGATCGAAGAGAAAGTAGGTAAATAAATGAATGAGAAAATGATTGTGATTGATTAAAAAAAAGAGAACAGATAAAGAAATAATTTTATTTTAAAACAAGGTATACTAAGTTAGAAATAGCTGTAGTATAATTTAGCATTGGAACGGAGTACATTATTTTTTGAGTTAATTTCACTTTGGGCCATATTTTATTGCCAAAATTTTCACTTTGGACTACCATTTGTCCAATCTTTTCACGTTGGACTAGGTAACTTTACCTTTGTTGCACAATGAACCACCCCAAAACATATCTTCAGTTCTTCGATGACTTCGAGCAAATTGTTAACGACATGCCAGTAAACTTTCATACCAATATGCATGCCATACATTTGTCGAAAGAGACGCTAGACATCACTAGCGAAAAGATTTATGGTGGTCCATTATGCAACAAAGGTAAAATTATTTAGTCCAACGTGAAAAGATTGTATACAGGGTAGTTCAAAGTGAAACTATCGCAATAAAACATAGCCCAAAGTACAATTCACTCTTTTTTTTTTTCACTAACACAGCGGCTATTACTCCATTTCTTGAGAAAGGCTTTCCTCGGACCCCACAAATCAGTGGGCGTTACCCGTGGTCCTGGCGTGGAATGCCCGGTACCCGTAATAATTTGCGAATCATGGAGGGCATTTTGGTCCAGTCCAGAAGCCCCAAAAATAAAGCTCGTAATCTGCGAAAGCTGATGAAGCTGAGAGAGAGAGAGATAGAGAGAGTGTGTGTGTGTGTGTGTCTTCGCTTCACTGCCCACTTGGATCCTCGTGGCTGCTGCTGCTGTAGCGGAAGACGACGAGCCGCCCAAGAATCCAGCACCCACCCATCCACTGCTGCTGCTGCTCCTGCTGCTGCACCCCCCGCATTGTTTCGAATTTCTCAAATCGGCCCTCGGGCTGCGGCGGCGCGGTCACCGGCGGCGAGGTGAGTTCGTCGGTGAAGAGGAAGGGGGGGGGGGGGGTGTGAAGTGAAGTGCGATTTGAGGAGGGAGCGGTGGCGGCGTGAGGAGGCGAGAGCCGCACATGGCCACCGCGCGCGGCGGTGGCGGCGTGGGGTGGCTGGTGGTGGTGGTGGCGGTGGTCTGCCTGTCGTGCGCGGCGGCGGCGGCGAGGTCTCCGGCGGGGAGGGCGCACCGGCACCTGAAGCGGCTCAACAAGCCGGCGGTGAAGAGCATCGAGGTGCGTCATGTGTGAAGATTTTGAATTTGCTTTTTTTTTAATTGGTATCTATCATGGGTTCGTCGTCCTGGTCAAAGTTAAGCGTGTGTAGCTTCATTTGGGGGGAGAGGATTTGGGAGGAAGCACGAGCAAGGTGGTAGGTTTGCTCTTGGGCTAATCGTTCAAAGTGCAAGGTGGTATTCTGATTCAAAAGAGAAGATGTCTTTTCTGTGGCTCTTTGTGGTTGATCTTGGGGGAATTCACTTTCTCTCTTTACCATTCGTTCAAAACCTTTACCTTCCTTTTGGCTACATTGGGTGAAAAATATGCAAAAAATTGTACCAGCAAAGATTTTGTGACTTTCCTTTTGGCTGTCACTTTGTGCTTGTTCTTTTCTCAAGTTCTTCTATCTTGCTTAACTTTGTGCAAAATTTAGCAAGTTTTCATAGGGATACCCAAGCAGCTATCTCTGGCAATTCTTACCCCACCAAACACATCTGATTTGTGTCATTTTCGAACTGTGGAATCAAATAGAGCCCAGATGGGGACATCATAGATTGCGTGCACATCTCACACCAGCCAGCTTTCGATCATCCCTTCCTCAAGAACCACACCATCCAGGTAAACCTTCAGCTGCAACAATGGCATCTACAAACCTCAATTCGTTGGATTCCGCAACAATGGCGGTGACCATCATCATGCTCTCCGCAGATGAGGCCGAACTACCATCCCGATGGCCTGTACGACGAATCCAAGAGCGGCGGCGGCGGCGAGAAGCCCATGGTCCAGCTCTGGCACCAGGGCGGCAGGTGCCCGGAGGACACCGTCCCAATCCGGCGTACGAAGCGGGACGACCTGCTCCGGGCGAGCTCCATGCGCCGCTACGGCAAGAAGCGGCACCCGGCGCCCAACCCCATGTCCGTCGACCCCAACCTGCTCAACGAGGGCGGCCACCAGGTACGTCACAATCACATATTCACCCAGGAATGAGAGGGGGTCGCCATTGATGCGCTATGACCTCCATGCTTGCAATGTTTGTTGTTGCACTGCGGGTACCAGCAATGGCTCATTTACTGATTTGCCTGGGTGAAAATTTATCTTTCTTTGTTTTGCAGCATGCCATCGCGTACGTCCAGGGCGACAAGTACTACGGCGCCAAGGCAACCATCAATGTCTGGGCGCCCAAGATCGAGCAGCCCAACGAGTTCAGCTTGTCCCAGCTCTGGATCTTGGGTGGCTCCTTCGGCGAGGACCTCAACAGCATCGAGGCTGGATGGCAGGTAGCAATCCGAAAGAAACTAATCTCATGTTCATGTTCATGATTTCATCTCATCTCATGCGTGAGCTTTTGCATTGGCGAGTAAATGCGGCACCGTTCTTGCGGTTGCAATACCCCCTTTCTGCCGCGATGCCCCGCGTGCTGTGTCACTCACGAGCTCTGAATCTGCTTTTGTGTTTTCCTTTGATTTTCTTCAGGTTAGCCCCGACCTCTACGGCGACAACAACACGAGGCTGTTCACTTACTGGACTGTAAGTTTTGTTTGTTCATTCCAGAATGAATTAAAGCCTGAAGAATTGGTGAAATGTGCTTGTATTGATGTCTAATTCGTTGTGTTTAAACCTGGGTTTCTGCAGAGCGATGCATACCAGGCAACAGGGTGCTACAACGTATTGTGTGCAGGATTCGTGCAGATAAACAGTGAGATCGCCATGGGAGCCAGCATCTTCCCCATCTCAAGCTACTCTGGCTCCCAATACGATATCAGTATAATGATTTGGAAGGTGAGCTAGAAAATTAAACTAGAAATTCAGTTACTCACCACATGCCCCCGCTTAGTAGTAGTAGTAGTAAGTTCAGAGTTGTCACAAAACATGCAGGCCAGAGAATCTCTCTGCCCACTTGCTGCTGTGCTCTTACTCGTGCTCCTTGGCTGATACCCTTTGGGCTTTGAAAATAGTTTCCTCCTCACCCTGTGCCCCTGTGGTAGTGTGGTCATAATACTTTTTTTTTCTTCCTCAACAGCCTTTCTTATCCTTAATGATTACTCTAGTTTCATTGTTTTCCAAAAGAAAGAACCATTGCTACTTTTCACCTCAGCAAGCAAGCAAGTGCCGAGCAAAGTGCAAGATAGAAAGCAAGCTGTTTTTCATTTCCATTGAGCACGAGTAATGAGTGCAAACATAGTTTGCTTAGTACAACATGAATGCGAGGCATCCTATTGTAGTACTAAATGGGCACAATGCCTGTGTACTGAAGTCCAGATATGTCGGTGCAAATGTCTTAAATACATCTGTATATTGATAATTGAAGACATCTGTATATTGATATATTGGTTTTAATGTCTAAATACATCTGTATATTGATATATTGGTTTTAATGTCTAAATACATCTGTATATTGGTACATTGGATTTTTTAGTAATGCACTAATGCATTGCTCTAATGAAATTTGCTGGACATATATATGAGCAGGATCCAAAGGAGGGGAACTGGTGGATGCAGTTTGGCAAGGATTATGTTCTTGGCTATTGGCCATCCTTCCTATTCTCCTACCTTGGCGACAGCGCGTCGATGATCGAGTGGGGCGGGGAGGTGGTAAACTCGCAGCTCGATGGCGTGCACACGTCGACGCAGATGGGCAGCGGTCACTTCCCGGAGGAAGGGTTCAGCAAGTCAAGCTACTTCAAGAACATACAGGTGGTGGACAGCACCAACAACCTGAAAGCCCCCAAGGGGGTGGGCACATTCACTGAGCAATCGAACTGCTACGACGTGCAAAACGGTAACAATGCCGACTGGGGCACATACTTCTACTATGGAGGCCCTGGAAGGAGCTCAAACTGCCCATGACAACTGAAAACTGAACTGAACACCCTGAGCAAGTGTTTAACCATTCAAGTGTAATACACCATCTGCTCCAGTTTTTTAGCCCTAGATAGTGTGTGTCATGTGAATGGGTCCCCGGTGTTGCTTTCTAATCTCTCTCTGCCTTGAGCTTTCTTTCTTCCTTTTTTGTAATGCCAAGTCTTCTGAAGAGAAGCAATGGCATCTGGTGGTGGTTGTGGTGATGGCCTACCTCCTTTTTCCTATATGGTAGATTCACTTGTCTTTCTGGTTATGGAGCTTCTCTCTTGGGCTTAACTAAAGGGTCAGAGGGCCATGCTTTATTTTTCTCATGTCACCTTTACCTCCTTTGAATGTCAGTGGTGTATAGGAAAGAGGAATTGGTAGGATTCAGTTACTCAGCAACTTGTATGCCATTCCCATGGAGGAGTATCTGGTAGTAGGCTATAAAAAGCACAAAAAATAACTAAAATGTTGTGCCATTTATCTCTTCTGCCAACCATGAAAGCATCAGACCTAAATAGTAGTATGTTGAATATTGTGAGTACTAGTATTCATGGGGAGCATAAATGTCAGGTATATTTTTGTCAATTGCAGATGAAGAAGGATTTGTAAGAGGTACTGTACATTGCATTGACCATCTTAATGCCATCAACAGTCATGTGCAGATGAACAAAATTGGTTGAGGAGTGTTTCTAGAGGTCTGGTTTGTTTGCCCTTGTTTCATAGTATATGCTCCAGTTTGGTGGGTTGGAAGAGAACCCATGCTGTTTGACAGGCCAGGACCAGATTCAGAGACAGTTTGGGGGCAGAGCAGCCTCAACTCAAATGTGCATGTTTGTATATGCAGGAGTTTGTATATGTGTCATGTGAAGATGCTTGAAATTTTGGGCCATTCTGAAACTAGGTCCATGTTTGCCAGTGCCATAACTCCTCAGGCCAACTTCTTCTCCTTAATTGTTTCTGAATCTTAGGGTGTGTTTTTTTTCACGTTAAAATTGGAAGTTTGGTTAAAATTAGAACGATGTGATGGAAAAGTTGGAAGTTTATGTGAGTAGAAAAGTTTCGGTGTGATGGAAAAGTTAGAAGTTTGAAGAAAAAGTTAGGAACTAAACAAGGGCTTAGCCTCATCGGTGCGCCTAAAAAAACAAAATCAAAGCTAAAATTCAAATTTTAAACTTAACTTTGAAGTTGATTTTAACATATTTTCAACATAGTTTTTTTTTTCAGTATTAGTTAAGTCATTAAAAACATATATGTATATACATTTTTTTTTATCTCAATAAGCTGTTATGGCTTATAATAAGCTTTTGGATAACTAATGAGGCACTCGGTGTTGGCTACTGGTGATGAATGCTCAAATCCTGTAGGCAATGGTAGTTGTCCCTTTGCTTCTTTGATGTGTTTTCTTTTGACTTGGTTCGAAGAGAACTACACAAATGTGGATCATCAACATTTGCATTGTACAGTAGTACTATATTTCTCTGATGAATCTGTGTTGAATTTTGAAAGCTCTGAACCTCCCTGAACAGAAGGATGGTGTACTCCTGATCATAGGTGAGGTCACTGAGGGGGTGTTTGGGAGAGAGGGGCCCCCTCAGTTGTCTGTTCTCTGAAGAAAAAGAAACACTGGAAGTAGAGATGTGTCACTGTCCAGTTCCAGTCAGTTATTAGACCCTGTTTAGATCCCTGGCAAAATTTTACACCATATTACATCAAATGTTTGGACATATGCATGTAGTATTAAATATAGTCGAAAAATAACTAATTACACAGATTGCGTGTAAATTGCGAGACGAATCTTTTAAGCCTAATTACGCTATGATTTGACAATGTGGTGTTACAGTAAATATTTGCTAATGACGGATTAATTAGGTTAATAAATTCGTCTCACGGTTTACAGGCGGATTCTGTAATTTGTTACTGCGTTTAATACTTCAAATATATATCCGTATATCCGACGTGACACGCCAAAACTTTACACCCGTAACCTAAACACAGCCTAAATTAGTCAGAAGTGAGATGATGCACTCGCAGACCCGGACACTGCAGGAGCCTTGGTGGTGCTCACATGCCAAGCAGTTCCTGTCTTGGACGTGTAGCAAGCAAAATGATGACGGAGTGGCGTACACTTGCCGGTGCCGGAGACGACGGACTTTCCGGCGAGCGGTTGCCATGGATCGACGGACTTCCCGATGGCCGAGGATGGCTGAACAGTTGGGCTCCAACTCGGCCTGTCACGCTAAAAACGGCCCACGACGACCCACTTTCTAAGCAGGCCATTTGGAGGCCCAAAATAGTCCGACAGCCACCATTTCTCGGCGCGTGAAATTGCTCTCCTACTCCACTCTAGGCCCAATACGGATTTCTTGGTGGGCCAAAACGAACCCAAATTTGTGAGGTGGGCCGCGTTTCTTCGCTTGGGCTCCCTCGTACAGCCCACGGGCAGCAGCGGTCCATTTACTGGTAGGCCAAATGGAGGCCCAAATTCCTGCGGCGGCATTGATCGAGGCAGCCCGTGGCAGGCCGGGTTTCTCTTCATGGGCTCCCAATTACGGCCCACGACCACCATCTCGGCCCTCCCCACAAAATGCTCAATTTCAGCAGCCTGACGAGGCGCCTAGACAGATTACTGAGTCTGAAACGAACCAAAGATAACAACGGTCGTAACATACCAAGCAGAATTATTAACAGGAGTGAGTGACACAGCACAATCCATCACTCCAACAGAACTTAAACTGTAACACAAGACTTATGGAGAAGGTCAAACAACTCTGCGAATTTGATATATATTTCAGGAGAAACAGTCTAACCATGAATCCAGGATCATGCCCAGGCATGGCCTGCACACGGCGTTCTCTTCAACATCAACTAGGATTACAATATTTGGGATTCAGTAGTAACCTATTTGAATGGCCAGCTGGCCTCAAATCTTCCTCCCAACTTGGTGTTACTGTTACAACAATTGAGGCACCAAAATGCACCATGCACCATACCCAACAACCTCCCATCTTCTTTCTCAATCCCAAATCATGATAGACTCATAGACCATGCATTGCTGCCTTCCATCTTAAGCTCTCTCTCTTCGTTTTCATTTACTTTCACTTCAGTGGTGACCAAACTCCGCGGTGCCTTTAAGGTCTGAGCTACAAACTTGCTAGATCAGGAATGATCTAATATACAACTATTTCGGTCGATAGGCTTAGTTCTAGATGACGATTTGTTTGGAACAACGAATGAACAAAAAAAGGATGGAGATACAGGGGTGGTGAAATAAGGATAGTAGGAGAGCCGGTGATCCTCCCTCTCTAAATTAGCCGCTCAGATCTGTCTAGTTAATGAATGAACCAGCATTGTACCTAACTGTCTCCAGCAAAAGTCAAAAAAAATTGATCCCGCTCTGTATTTCTATTCTGAATCACTCTCATTGCAAAGAGCCTTCAATCCTCTAGCCCTCTGCAAAAAGTTTTTCCTTGAATTAGCAACCATCAAACTAAAATTTGGACAAGGAGCTAAAAGGAAAATAACAACAAAGCTAGGTTTACCTTTCTAGCGCACTTCTTCTCTCTAACTTCATACCTCTCATGAGACAAATCAGACAGCCATGCTCCTGGACTTACCATCTACAACAAGCCCAACAATGAAACAGAATATGGAAGGGTTAAAAAAAAGTGAGCATGATCACATAAAAGAACAAAATTTTGCAGTAATCTTTGTGAAAGAAGGGATTACAAGCAAGCACTTCTGCATCAACTTTGGCCTCTTCTTCGGCCTCTGTGGGAGCTTGCATCCCTTCATTGCCATGAAGTCCTCTTCTTTCTCCTTGTTGGATAATGAAATGAAGAACCTTGGCAGTGCTGTGGTTCCCTTTTCTTCCATTCCACCACCAAAATCAAACCCATTTCCCTCGAATGGGAATGGAGAACCCCTAGTGGAGTAATATCGATCCTTCTCTGGCGAGAGTGACATGGAGTGCCTGTTATCGCTCACAAATGGCTCGGTTTTCCTGCTCTCAGACAATCAGTTACCTTATATTAGGAAGAATTGCTCGATATTTCCAGTCGATGCGAGTGTGTTCTATGGCATACTGAAGCTACCTTCGGTTCAGCGTGCTCGGGCGCCGCGGCGAACGAAACGGGGCAACATCACCGCCAAGCGGGCGATTCACTCGTGGTATGGTGCGCCTAAGAACATCGGTCCGCGCAGGTGATGGCGAGCCGTCGTCCCTCGTCTTGACACAGCGGAGTCGTTTCCGGCTGCCCCATTGCAGGAAAAGATTTGGTTCGCCGGGAGACCTCGATGGCCTTGAGTCCTTCACCTCTGGATCCATCTATGTCCTGATTCCTGAAGCAGAAAAGGCTGGAAATTTTCAGCAACAAAATCATTGACGGGAAATCAGTAGATAGCCCAAAAAATGGATATTTAACTACAGGGGCGGATCCAACTTGGGACTGAACCACCAAACTTTTGGGTGAACAAATAAACTGAATTAAGAGAGGTTTAAGGCTATCAAATTAAGGAGGAGGAGAAGAGCTTCTTCCAGATCTAGAAGAGAAGCTAGTAGGGGTTCACGAACGCAAGCAAATTCCAGTCCCGGTGGGGTGGAAGAGAGAGATGAATCAGAAAGAGAGAGGACGCGGATGCTCACCAGGATCCCCTCCCCTCCGCTGCTCTGCTCTGCTCGCCAGATGGAGCTCGCCGCCCGGCGCTCCCCTGTTCAGCCGCGACTCGTCTTGGCGGCGGCGCAAGGAGCGGAGGAGACAACGAGAGCGAGACGGCAGATTTCTTTTTCTTCTACGCGATACTCGACTACTCCGCCCTTATTATAGATGCCCACAAGGTCCAAGCCTGACGGCCCGGCCCAAACACGGCACGGCCCGACTGGGGGTTGTGCCCGTGCCGGCCCGGCCCGACCGCCGGGCCATGCTTGGGCTTCCCCACCGGCACGCTGGGCCGGGATGGCACAGCCAAGCCTGGTACGAAGTTCAGGATACATAACGGACTAATTTTCAACCATATGTAAGACACAGTAGGAGCAAAAATAGACGTATTATATGGCACGGCCAAAAGAATATGGACATAAAATATATTTATTTTAGTTATATATATGTCACATCCCAAAGACCCGGCCCGACTGCTAGTGGGTCGTGCCTAGGCCTGAGGTGTAGCACGTGGGCCGGCACGGCCCGGCACAAAGAGCCGACCGTGTCATGCCGGCCTGATTCTTCTTTGGCCGTGCCTTGCTCGTGCCTGGGCCGGGCCATACCAGGAGGGCCAAATGGCCATCTATAGCCCTTATCTCAATATTTTTACTATTTTATTAAAAGTAGTTACTATTTATTTATATAACTGGTGATCCACGTATCATCAATACTTAAAGGAAAATTAAGCGATTGTGTCAACAACAAATTCCTCATACCACCAACAAACACTAACTGTCACTCTACGCACCACCACCACCACTCTTTCTCCATGAGCCATCATCATTCCTCCTCTTGCCTTTACATGCGCAGCCTTACCCTCTAGTAACCGACATGTCTTTTTACCCTCCCCTATCGTGATGCACACTATTGTTATGGTTGTCGTTCAGGTCGGGGAAGTCAGGCTTGCAGGGACTTTGGGAGGCAGGAGCTGACCTGACGAAGCGCGAAGGCGCTATATTTGGGCTCCTTCTTGCTAGATCTATTGGTTATCCAACTGTTGGAGGGAAAAAGAAAATGGAGAGAGAGAGAGAGAGTTAATGTGCAGAGTCATTGCTGAATCACCGGACTTGGATAGAATAAGGTGGTCCAAATTGAAATGTAAAGTTGGCTATTGTGTAAATGAAAAGAATGGTTAAAGGATAATATTATATGAAAACTTTTAAGAATTTTTAAGAATCCATAGTATGTGCTATAATTTACTCCCTTTTGTCCCACAAAAAACACGGGATGATTAATTATGGTTAGATAGATTCCGCTAAAAGATGATAAAAATAATACCATCATTTTTGCTCAATAATAAAGTATTCGACTATGGTCTTCTTTTTTCATTGCATGATATATGATTACTACATTAGTAGGTATTTCCGTAGTTCTTTCATATTGTTTTTTATTTTCTACATATATGTTAATTTGGACTAATATTTTTCTCATAATTAAATAGACAATAAATCATTTTTCCATAATTCTCCTATAAAATGAGAATAGGGCATTTTAAAATTTGAAAATTATATTATAAGTGTATGTAATTTAATGTGTAAGATATGGACTTATAGTGTAAGATTTAACTTTTTTTTCTAAAAAAGCCGCATCATAGTAGATAGGTAGTTAACCGAACAACCATAAAAAATAGAGACAATCCATTGTGTGTCACTGATTTTGTCCCCGGTCTACAATATGTCATTGGGTTGTCAAGTTCTAATATGGCACCGCATTTTGCTTAACTTCTATAATATACCATCATCGTCTAGTTAGCCTCCGTTAGCATTGTACAATTTTATCATACAGATTGTAAAACTTACAAAGTTTGAGATGGGCAACTTCTCTGCCTATTTTATAATATGATATTTTGGAATTTTCAGCCAAATTTTAGAAAATTTTGTCCTAGGGATATTTCAATCATTAGGACAAAATTATAAAGTACTAACAGAATCTAAATGGACGGCGATGGTATATTATAGAATTTAAGCAAAATACAATGACATATTGTAGAACTTAACAAACTCAGTGGCATATTATAGAACAGTGACAAAGTTAGCGGCACACGATGGATTCTCTCTAAAAAATAATCTAGTTAAATTGTTTCTTTTTTATTCAAAACAAAACATCTTTTACCTAAATACGTTCAGAGAACTTCAAAAGAAGTAAGAAAAAGAGGAGGTTAGTCACTAGCCCAAACACATGAGGGTGGTTGCTCACATCCATGGTATGGTATATACTCACATTAATAGATAATATATTAATATTATTAAAATTGTTCTTTGTAGTGAATGGTGTGAAACTAACAACTTTAACCTTATATTCTTTTGTTGTTCCATCTTCTTCTTGTTTTCTCATTCTTATTTATTTTTGATAATAATATTGCTACAGTCAGCACTCAACACTATTACTTGCACATGAATACTACTCCCTCCGTCCCTAAATATAAGCGATTTTGGTTAGATGTGACACATTCTAGTACAATAAATCTAGACATAATCCCTTATATTTAGAGACGGAGGCAGTAGCAGCTAGCTTATGTGTGTGTGTGCTCTGTAATATATATTATCTATGTTTTTTATATGAGAAAATAATAACTATTATCTTTGTAAATGATATTGTATTTATAAAAGGTATCTGACTAGTTTTTTAGTAGAAAGATATTTTTGCTAAATATAATCTAGAATGCTATAAAGTTTAATAATATTAAACGATATAGTCATATAATTTTTTTTGGATGAAGTAGTGATCAACACTTGTTATGAATCCAATGATCATAATGTGATATATATTATTCAAGTGAGTTGTGATATTCACTATTTACTAGTTACATGCCTATGCATTATAATGAGATCTACATATAAAAATGAGATTTAGTTTATCTTTAGTCTATTTTTATAATGTATTGAATTTTTTACATTTCTTTAGATAATTTATTGTTTTATAAATACATTAGTTTAAATACATGTAATATAAAAAATAAATACTTAAGTAAATAAGCGCTACTTTAAATCCAAAGATCTATGTAGGATTTTATAGGATTTCAATCCTATAGAAAATTTTTCAATGTAGCCATTTAATTCAAATGATTGAAACTTTTCAAATCATATGAAATATAAATATCATACATAAATATATATATTGAATTTAATTGGGGCAGCATGGTCACTCATTCCATTTTGTAGTGTGTCGTCTGAATTCAACAAATGCATATTTGATGTCTGTATTGAGCTTATCAATTCAAACTTCCTCAGAATATTTGATGTCTGTATTGAGCTTATCAATTCAAACTTCCTTAGAAGATATATATTTTTTTGGCTTGTTTAGAATTCTTATCCGAGTGTAACACAATTTCAACATTATTTATGCCACATTGCATTGTTTAACTCTGTAAATTATTATGATTAACGACTAATACGCAATGATCATTTAATGATTGAAAAATACTATTTAATCAGTTACCTTGATGAATTTATCATTTACCTTTGATGAATTTGTCATTTCTGACCATAAAAGAATTAAGCTTCTTTCATAGTTATCAGTCCAAATAATTATAAATCGAGGTGATCCAATTACACCGAGAGTACTCCTAGACTCTGCACAGCTAAGATAACCACAGTCAAAATAGCGTATCCGCGAAAATACCGGACTCGCTATATTTCTTTAAATTCGAACGTATAGTTCTCGCCTTAGTCCTCACTACCACCTATTCCTCTATAGAAGAAAAAAGCAAAAAACATGGACGATCAACCAGAAGAGGAAGATCGTACCACTTCATCCATGGGTTAGCAGTACCATTGACATCTCACTCCATCTAGCTCTCACGAGGGAGATGACAGGCTTCGAAAGCACCATGAAGCGGTGACAGAGGAAAACATAGAAGAAAAAAGCAAAAAACATGGACGATCAACCAGAAAAGGAAGATCGTACCACTTCATCCATGGGTTAGCAGTACCATTGACATCTCACTCCATCTAGCTCTCACGAGGGAGATGACAGGCTTCGAAAGCACCATGAAGCGGTGACAGAGGAAAACATGATTGACATGCAAAATAAATAATTGTCAATCACAGCAGTACCATTGACATCTCACTCCATCTAGCTCTCACGAGGGAGATGACAGGCTTCGAAAGCACCATGAAGCGGTGACAGAGGAAAACATGATTGACATGCAAAATAAATAATTGTCAATCACTCCATCTAGCTCTCATTAGGGAAATGAGAGAGGAAGATCGTACCACTTTGCATCCATGGGTTAACAGTACCATTGACATCTCACTCACGAGGGAGATGACAGGCTTCGAAAGCACCACGAAGCGGTGACAGAGGAAAACATGATTGACATGCAAAATAAATAATTGTCCATCACTCCATCTAGCTCTCACGAGGGAGATGAGGGGCTTCGAAAGCACCACAAAGCAGTGACAGAGGAAAACATGATGCACGTGCCGGTAAGTGTCGGTAAGTGTTTTCACTATTCTCTCTTGGTAGAGCTGCTGATAACGTGTTAGAAAACGATAGATAAACAGTGAAAACAGTGAATCCCATTTTATTGATCTCAATATGTCCTCTTTTATATTGAGGATTTGTATGTGTACAAGCCTAGGATTCACTGTTATTGTGATACAAATACTCCATAATATGGCTGTTACAAGTCACTTGATTGATGCCATTGTTGCTCTTTGATGAGCCTTTGATGAGATCAAATATGGCCTCATGATGCTTTTGTAACACAATGTACTCTATTGCTATCTGAGGAGCAGCAAGCTCACAACATACAGTACAAAACTGCCACCCATTTTCATTTAGAAACTCAGTAGAGTGGTATTAGTAAAAACTCAATTAATCTTCAGACAGAAATATCATCTAAAGTTGCGCAAACAAAGGAAAGCAACCTCAGGCTTCTCGTACTCAGGATCAGGAATGATTCCTTGTCGTCCCAGGCTGTGTTTAGATCCAAAGTTTGGATCTAAACTTCAGTCCTTTCCCATCACATCAACCTGTTATACACACACAACTTTTCAGTCACATTATCTCCAATTTCAACCAAAATACAAACTTTGTGCTGAACTAAACACAGCCCGTCTTCTGGCTGCAAACAGTAACATTTTACCGTATTAGTTATGACCTCTGTAAAAATAGAACAGCACAGACTGCCTATTCAGAACAGCCAGTGAATTATCTCTAAATTACCTTCTTGGCTTCAGGATCCTTCTTCTTCTTTGGAGGAAGATTATCACAATCACCATAGATGCTTCCAGTTCGCTTCTCAGTGTTATCAATCAGAATGCTGTATTTGGCGTCAGGACGGATGATCAAGGTGTAGACGTGTGTCAGTTGATCGGTCTCGCATGGCACGTCCTTCTTGATCAGATGGTTATTGCCGTTCTTAGGCTGCGTTCGTTTGGAGAACAAAGGGAGTGAGTTTGTTTCTGTTTTCCGCGCGCACGCTTCCCAAACTACTAAATGGTGTGTTTTTTGCAAAAAAAAAAAAATTCTATAGGAAAGTTGCTTTAAAAAATCATATTAATCCATTTTTAAAGTTTAAAATAGTTAATACTCAATTAATCATGCGCTAATGACTTACCTCGTTTTGCGTACCTTCCCAATCTTCTCTATCTCCTTCTCCTCAAACACACCCTTAGTAAGGATAGCGTGAACCTTCTTGGTGGCATACCCGCAGATATCTGGTCCAAACATGATGCTGCAATTTCAAAAGAAACCGATCAATCAAAGATGTTGCGCTCTGAAATGAGCACACAGAAGGGAATGCAAGGTGATCAAACCATCACCTGTACGGTGTCTCGCCACCAAACTTCTTCTGGTCAACATCGCCGCCAAGCAATTTCACGTAGCCGCCGCCGCAGTCGAGCTTCTGCTCGTGCTTCACCGAGAACTGCAGCACGAGGGTCTTGTCCTTGTTGCTGAACTCAGGGTACTCGGCCGAAATGGCGTAGAATCTGTAGTCCTCTGATGTCTGGATACCTGCACAGAGAAGCAGAGTAACTTCGCACATGCCGGAACAGAAAAGAAAAAACGAAATCAGCAGCGTGGTGTGTGCATCGATCCTCACCCTTGTTGTTGGTGTCGCCGTTCCACTTGCCGGCCGTGTGGTTCCACTCGCCGACTGTGTTGTCCTCCTTCTTCCACTCAGATTTGACCCACCGATCCTCCCATCCATCTGTTTTCACACACAATTCAGAATTCAGAAACCAACCAATTCTAGTTTCTCTGAAAACCATATATGTGTACATCACATTTCAGACAAAGCTGAAAAGGAATGCCGGTACCAACAACAGGATCGAAGTTCTCAAAAAAAAAAAAAAAAGAGGATCGGATTCGATTAACAAAGAACGCACATACACACAAATTTGCAATTGCTTGCTTCCACAAAAAGAAAGAGATCTCCAAACAAGTACCAGAGTTCTCGTACCTTTAGCTAAACACTTTATCTCAACTATAGCTATACCAGTTCCAGACAGGAAATGTACAGGGGCAAAATGGTCAATTCTCAAAGTGAGCAAGTCACTATAATCCTCCTCATCGGCATAACATTGTTGGAAGCAATCGAGCAAAGTGAGTGGTACTATTAAATTCTTTTCGTCCTCTGTCTTCTCTGATCTTAGCATCTCTTCGTTCTCCTCTGTTCATCCCCTCCTTCCACATGATTAGCTGATAACCACGCTTTCCACGTGGTTTCCTTTGGTCAGAGGGGCAAACAAATCCAACAAATTGTGTCATCGAACGGGAGGCAAATGAAGCGTAATGTAATATGATGGTTCCGTATTAGATTGGACCTAATGAATGTGGACAATAGATTTTCTAGCCTCACTATCCCTAATGTTTATGGTGCTATTAAAATCTACTAAGATAATTCTTATTTGCTCCAGCAGTGTATAAATAGGAACCACTTGAAGAATTTCATTTTTTCCATTCAAGTCTATAACTCTCAAAGTTACATTGCCATGTTCATGCTTCTGAACCTGCAAAAGAAATTGGTATTAGTATTTCACCCTGAAAAGGAAAACAAAACAGATAGAGACACAAACTATGCCGGCAAAATTTAAGAAACTACAATAGCTGCCATCCCATTTCAATAAGTACATGCTGCTGTGTGACACTGTTAAAATGCTGAAACTATATTATTAAAAGATTGTTTCTATGTAGCATTATGTAATATTTTAAAGAAAACATGTATGCATGTGATGAAGGAAAAAATTAAACCATCATAACACATGGAATAAATCTAAGTGATACTACCTCCGTCCCAAAATAAGTGCAGTCGTGGATATCCGTGCCCAACGTTTGACCGTCTATCTTATTTGAAAAATTTGTGAAAAAATTGAAAATATTTAATCACACATAAAGGACTATTCATATTTTATCATCTAATAGCAATAAAAATGCTAATCATAAAAAAAAATTCAAATAAGACGAACGGTTAAACGTTGAACGTGAATAGTGCAAAACTGCACTTATTTTTGGGACGGAGGGAGTATTTGTGAAAACTCAGGAGCATTTCAGCTGCAAGAAGCAGTGGCTGCCACATTAAGGTCCTATTAAATTAGAAATTGAGTCTGCAAGTTTAGAATATAGTCTTGAATATTTTTTTGAGTGTAAATATAGTTTTTAATTATTAGAGTCTAAATTGTACAAGTAATGTCAGCTTTTTTTTTGGTTAGAAATCAAGAGTCTATGTATAATGATATACTATGTTAGGGACAAATCTAGAGAAAATACAGAGCATCAGCATCAGACGAGATCAATCAAGAAGAAATATTCAATCCTTTAACACTGCCTCTCAATGCCTCTAGTTTTTCCATCCTAGTCTATAATTATCCCTCTAGTTCTTCCATCCCAGTCAATTTTCGTATCCACCTTCTAATACCTCTGTCCCTTTTGACAAGGTTGTCTGGCCATCCTCAATGTGGTAATATTCCCGATGTGAACCAACACGCAGATCAACTTGATGAATCAGTTTAATGGCAAGTGAAATTCTTTTTATAGTCAATAGAAATGATCAAATTGTAAGCATAAATTTGTGAGATACTAAGTTGCTAACTATTTGGAACAATTAACAAAAGGTAAAAGATGTGTGATTGGTACCAAACTGTTTCTTGAATGATGGAATGGAGTAACCACCAGTACTGTCTCCCAAGCCGTTCAAAATAAACCTAAACTGAAGCTGGAATAGCATCAGAACAGTCTCCTTTTCTGATACCACATAGTACTGGATATTTTTGTCTGGGGGTTGAATTGATGGATAGGCTATCCTCCAAGTGTTTGAATTCTACAAGGATAAGTAATCCTGTCAACAAGACTATGTATGTGACAGACAAAATTCAACCCCAAGGAAACTCCTGGAGTGAATCTGACAAAATGGATATTACCTGTTCAAGAGGTTAGCAGCGTGTAATCCTGCAAAAGGACACTTGGCAAGATATTTTACCCAGTAGACATAAACTAGTTGTATTCATCATTCACCAATAATCTTCACAAGAGCATTTTCCATCCTCAAACTTATGCAAACACTTTGGATCCTTGATCAGTATATGGCGTCCATATTTCTCTGAAACTAGTTTGGCAAAGGTGTGGCAATGGTTACACATCCTTGCAGTTTTGATTATCCTTATGTTTTTGAACTGTGGGGAATTAGAAAGCCCAAATGCAATAGCTAGCTTCTCACAATGGACTCCAACAACTTCTTCCTTTTCTTCTTCAACATCTAGAGTTCCAATGCCAATGTCAAGCATAGAATGTCCCATCTTAAACATCATCGACTTTAATTCTGCTACTGTATCCTCCAAGCCAACATTATCACCATTTGAGAACACATACACCTTATTCCTGATTTCTATTGAACAGCTCTCGACCTCATCTAAATTTCTTCCTTTGTTGGGTGTCATCTCCTCTGGCACATCAACAGTTTTTCCAGTTAGATCTTGCAGACTAGAACCTAACCTTTGGACTCTGGGATCTCCAGGATCAATCGCAGACAGTTCTCTAGCTGCCAGGTGAGCCAGTCTTACATTTCCATGCATTACAGCTGCAGTAAGAAATGTGTCCCAGACTGTTGAATTGGGTATCAAAGGCATCTCGTCAATAAGCTCATATGCTTCTTTTAGTCTCCCTGACCGACCAAGAAGATCCACCATTGCTGCATAATGGTCTAATTCTGGAGTTATATTGTAATCATTGGCCATGTTGAAAAATGTCTGAGACCCTTCAGATACCTTTCCCGTGAGACCATAGGCCTTGATAACAGTGACCAAAGTTGTATGATCTGGCACAACACCTTCTTGCTTCATTTGACAGAAAAGATCCAAGGCTTCATTTGGAGAACCATGCAGCACATGAGCGAGAATGATACAGTTCCAAGAAATAATGTTCCTTGATGAATGCATATCAAACACAGCACACGCACTAGCAAGATTACCAGATTTTGAATATGCATTGATAAGTGCATTTGCAATTTTGCCATCCAGTTCTAAATTGTGGTGAAAAATACAGGCATGGATCTCCCGTACTTTCCAGGACGCAACTAGATTTGTGAATGCTGGAATAATGCTAAGGATGGTAATGTAGTCAGGCCTCCTCAGAAGTGCCTGCATCTGCCGGAATATTCTTATGGCTCTATCATAATAACCATTATGCACTGATCCAGCAATGAGTATGTTCCAGGTTGCTGTATCCCTTTTTACTCCATGACTTTCCATCATCTGGAATAGCTCAAAAGCTCTCTCATCATCCCCATTCCGTATGTACCCTGAGATCATTGTATTCCAGGTTATCACATTGCGCCGAACACCATAGTTTTCCATCTTACAGAAGAGCTCGTATGCTTTGCCACAATAACCTGCTTGTGCATACCCTGAAATCATTGAATTCCAGGAGAATATATCCTTGTCAGGTATCCCACTAAATATTCTCCAAGCTGCAACTATTTCTCCACATTTTGCATACATGTCAACCAAGGAGTTCCCTGAGAGCACGTTGTTAACACTGCCAACCTTAATAGCATGGCTATGGAGCTCCTTTGCCTGGTTTAGTAACTTCAAACTGGCACAAGCTGAGATAGCACATGCAATTGACATGCCGTTAGGTTCAACTCCAGCAAGACGCATCCGAATGAAACATCGAAGTGCCTCATCACTCCTATCCATATGAACAAAGCCAGAGACAAGGCTAGTCCATGTGACGACATCCGGTGCAACTCCAGACTCCTCCATCTGCCCAAGCAATTCCATTGCCACATCAAGATCCCCGAACCTGGCATAGCTCGAAATCAATGTATTCCACGTAACAACCCCTGGCTGCGTACCTTCCTGCCTCATGGAGTCGAGCAGATGCCGTGCCTCCTCCCACTCAGCAGACCGGCAATAACCAAAAATCATCGAATTCCATGTGCCCAAGTCCCTGCACACCATCTTGTCAAACACCTTGCGCGCCCACCCCAAATCTCCACATTTGGCATACATCACAAGCACCGAGTTCCCAACCGGCACATCCTTTACCCTCCCCATGAACCCTCTCCTGATAGCCATGGAATGGAGCGCCCTACCAAGCTCAAGGTCCTCGGCATATGCGCACGCCTGTAAAATCCGCGTGATCAGGAACCTGTCCGGGAGCACCCCTTCCTCGACCATGGTCACCGCGAGCGCGAGGACGTCACTGTACATTCCCCTGATGGCGTACGCGCCGATCATGGCCGACCAGGCGAGCAGGTCCCTGCGGCCCATTCCGTCGAACACCTCCCGTGCGTCCCCGAGCCGCCCCGCGCAGGAATGCACGGTGATGAGTTTGGTCTCCGCGACGAACCGGGGCTCCTCCCTGCTGCTGCTGCGCGCGGGCGGCGTCGGCCTCGGCTCGTCGCGGGGGATACGGATACGAGCGCTTCTCGATTCTTGGAGCGACGAAAGCGGGAGGGGAGGCGCCTGCGGGGACGCCATGACGCGGGGTTCTTGCAGGCGGCCATGGCGGAGCTTGGAGGGGAAGTGGTAGGGTTTGTGGAGGAGGAGGAGGGAGGGGAAGGGAGGAGGATGGAGGAGGAGGAGCTCCATGGGAGGAGAGGGAGCTTCGATTCTTGGGAGGGTTGGGCTTTCTGCATTATCCTCTCGGTTTTTCTTCCGCTTGGAGCCGACGCCAGCGAGCGGTTGGATCCACGGCACGTCCACGCGTCGCCCATCCGGATTTTTTTTCCCCTATATGCTCTGTAATAAAAATCGCCATATGGTTATAGGAATTTTAGCTTTTCTTGGTAGGTTTTATTTTTTTATTACACGGGAAACGCACATGTACCCACACCGTCGGGCACGGACATCACACTATAACAATATGAGTGTACCCCTAACACACGTTTGAAAAGACGGGGGCTAACGACATATTCTTGGCCGAGTCCACTAAATCTTTATGGAAAGTGTGTGCACGTGTACGTGATATTCATGGCCTGTTAACCACTAGGATTTGAACCATAGTGGATGCATTTTCACTTTTGTCGGTCGGTTTTGTTTGCAACTTGATGGTGCATAAAAACTTCTTCATGCTCTAAGACAAACTTTCTTCTTTTTTTTTTCTCTCTATTTAAGAGCGCTCAAGCCAATAAGCTTCCTCACCTCTCCGTTTTTTGTGGCTTACGCTATTGGATCGACTATTGTTTCTCGCCGCCTTGTAACCTGTCCCGATTGACCCTAACATTGATACTATCCACCCACCACTGGCCTTCTTCATGAATAATGGTTACAGTGGCGCTACCTCCACCTCACTGGATTGCTCTCACCATTGCCTATAACATGCGTCGAGATCCTCTACAATATGCAGTACTACTCACTGGTGTGTCAGTGAGCGTGTAGCAATGTAGAGGATATGCATCCTCTACAACATACCTTCGTACCCGCTGCACCAACTAACTTGACCACCCTCACCCTAAACCAGTGACATAATCCTGCCACCTTAGCTTGGGAAGCCATGACAAAATGCACGACATGACATTGTTGTTTGTCGGGACAGTTTGATGAGATAAGATTGTGGTTCATCCAAAGGCTCAGCCTTGTTTTTTTTTTCTGATTGAGATGTAGATTTTTTTCTTTGGTTTTGCTAGCACTTTTCTCAAACTACTATCCGACGTGTTTCGTGCGAAAACTTTCTACGTAAAAGTTATTTTAAAATATCAAATAAATCATTTTTCCAAGTTAGTAATAATTAATACTCACCTAGTCATACACTAATGACTTGTCTCGTTTCGCATACGCTGAAAATGTGATGACCATTTGATTTCAGTCGGATGGCCGAGGTTGATGGCCGAGGTAGTTGGCAGACATATAAGAAAATCTCAGCTGATTATAAGAAAATATAAGTGGTGTTAAACACCAATTAAATTTCGTTTAATTAAATATGTATAAACAAATCAGTTGAATGTTAGATATCTTACAACATAACAAAGTTTAATGGAAAAAAAATGCTCATACCAATTTAAGCGATGCGATTTTTTTGTCATATTCATATTTGAAAAAGTCAAAAAATCCACATGTACATGGAAGAAAGTTTTTTTTTTAATATAAAATTTTGTAGTATTAAATTTCAAGGATCATTTGATTAATTACCAAACGTGCCTGATTTTTATCGAAATAGAAACAACCTTTTATGCAAATACAAATAGTTTTCTGTTCAACTACTGATAGCATTATCTCAATATGAGTGTTTTTTTTAGATAATGGATCTCAATATGAGTGTTAGATACTTAGATATCCTAAGTTCTGAGCTTGAGTAGATCAGCTCTGATGATTAGCATCCCAACCAATCAGAAATTCTGAACATGTTCGGCGAGGTGCTTGCTATTGATTAGACTTCTGCAAGCACATCGTAATGATTAAATTAAAGGAGAAGAAAAGGGTAAGAGAAAGATAAAGAAACTCAAATTTTATTGAACCCCAAGTTCCATTACTCTGAAAACTATATGTGTGTGTGCATCACATCTCAAACAAAGCTGAAAAAGAAAAAGATAAGTGGGTACCAACTGGAAGATCGATCTCGACTAACAAACAACGCATACATACACACATGTTTGGCAATTGGTTGCTTCGACAAAAAGAAAGAGATCTCCAAACAAGTATGAGTCTATGAGAGTCTATGTGAGATCTCGTACCAGCAGAGTCCACTCACTCATGGCGAAGAGCACTGCACTGACCTAACCATTCATCGAACAGCCAGCCTCATGATCAAGACTTGGATACACGGCCAGCTTTTAAGTTTGCTTTACTCAAGGACCAATAGATAGATCATCCAAGAAGATGAAAAATAATACATAGCTCATCTACTTTAGCTATACCAGTTTCAGACAGGAAATGTACAGGGGCAAAATGGTCAGTTCTGAAAGTGAGCAATGGCACTATAAAATCCTCCTCATTGGCATAACATTGTTGGAAGCAATCAAGCAAGGTTATAGTACTAAATTCTTTTCGTCTTCTCTGCTCTTAGCATCTCTTCCTCCTCCTCTGTTCATCTCCTCCATCCACACAGTCTAGGTAGCACGGCAATGGCAATGGCCATGAACAGTGTGCTGGTGCTGATGCTCGGGCTCGCAATGGCGGCGACATCGTCGGCGGCGGTCTACAAGGTCGGCGACACCTCCGGCTGGACCATCCTCGGCAATGTCAATTACACTGACTGGGCTGTCAAGAAGACCTTCCATGTTGGGGACACCATAGGCAAGCTCTCTCATTTCTCACTCTAATTTTCAGTTCTTCCCAAGCAGTTTTTATCTTTTTTTTTTTCGCGAACATGCAAAAGGCTTGCGTGTCAATACACATTTGAAATACATGCAATCTGTGGTTCTTAATGGATTATACACATTGAAATATCTGAATAATGAACCTTTGTTTGCTTTGTATATGTAGAAGTAGAATGTTTGCTCAGTGCCAAGGCTAGTTAATTTTGATCGTGTAAATTTTTCAGTGCTAGATCCAGTGCTAGTAACTTCGGCCTTTTGTTCATTGCATATATTCGCTACAGCTTACTACAAGTAGTTTCTAGCTAGTTTAGCATTTGTATTTCAGTGATTTTCTTTTCGTTGGTGAAATGTGTGAATAAGCCAGCATTGTTCGAGAAAATTAATAAAATTGGACTATTAATATGTTAAGCAGTAATTGTCCATTCTTTCCTTCACCCAAGCTAGCTTACTGCTGCAAAGAGATGGAATGTTAATGAACAGTCACCCTCACCGGTGTACTTTACAACCCACCTTACCTCTTTTGTCTTGCGTTTAGATGAAGAGTCTCACTTTAACCACGCCATTGACAGCGAAATTTGGGTTAAAAAAAGAAGGCCAATTTATCTCAACTTTCTTGCACTTCACAGTTCACACTTCTAGTCTTGAAGGCGTTTCACGAATATTGCGCCGTGTGCTGCTACCTTTGCATAGAACTAGCATGATCCATAAATTTTTCTCATGGACCATCTGAACTGCTATTCAGAAAGCCTCAGAAATGGTAGTGTTGGTGAGCACAATTACTAGGCCATGGCATATGTGGCTGTTTCATTTATTGTGCTCATTGGACATTGGCTACAGGATCTTGCAGATCCTGAACTTGCGTGTACCTGGATGTCCTGTACATGATCCAACAATGCCGGCTGAAATTTTTTAGTTTTATTGAGGTAGTTATTTCAGTTGCCATAGAAATTTTGATCCAAAACTCTAGGAGATAAATTATACTTATGTATCAAATGGCCAGTAGCTCAATCTACTTATCAATATACTATTCATCTGACAGTATGCTATTTGTCAACTACTGATTAGTTGTAAAGCTAATCACTTTTGACACTTTTTTCCTATGAGTAGTATAGAAGCATCCAAATGCATGCTTTGTTCACAACTTGCTCTTGGTGTAAAAAGAGGTGCTTTGTATGAATCCTTTTGACAGGTAGATACAGTACCTTATGTTGCACGTTTTTAGTTTCGTTCCTCACACTTCTCTTCCTGCCGCCTTCGCGTGATCAATTTGGTACCAAAAGATGATGAAAATTTCAAAAGATATATCTTGTTTGAAAAAAGATAAAATTTGCACTACGTCTGTCCTTGTGGACTTGTGATGATCATGGCGTCAAATGGAGCACTTCCTCCGGTTTACATATATTTGACGTTAAGGACAAGGTTCAATCAAACTTTTAAAATCTCAACTACTAATTTTATATTAGAACGAGTTTATAAAATCTAATAGGTTTCGATATTGTGACAGTATTTCGAGCAAATCTACATCGATTTGGCACCAAATTGAGTACTTCCTCCGGTTATAAAAGCTTATAGTTTAGGACAAAATTCTTATAAACCTATAAAATTCTACTCCCTCCGCTTCATATTATAATTCGTTTGACTTTTTTTCATTTAAACTTCTTTAGATTTAACCAAATTTATAGAAAAATATAATAACATTTTCAATACAAAACAAATATATTATCAAAACATATTTAATGTTAAATTGGATTAAACTAATTTGGTGTGGTCGATATATTACTATATATTCCGATAAGTTTAGTCAAACCTTAAGAACTTTGACGAAGAAAAAATCAAACAACTTATAATATCAAACGGAGGGAGTAACCATTAACGATCCGGCATTATGGAAGTACTTTTCGAGCAAATCTACATCGAGTTGATCATGGTGCCAAATTTTAGGCCCCATCATTTAGTTTTTCCCCTAATAAGCCAAAACGGTTTATTAGAAAATAAAATAAATTTATAGGTAAAATTTTTATATATGTGTTTTTGGTGACTTAAAAGCCAATGCTAAAAAAGAAACTATGTTGAAAATATCTCAAAATCAATATCAAAATTAAGTTTGAAAATTTAAAATTTGGCTTTTTCTTTAGCTTATTAGGCCATCCGATGGGAGCTTTTTTTTTTCTAAAAAATGGTTTAATTTAATTTTATTATTTTGGGCAGAGTTCAAGTACCCGCAGGGGATTCACAACGTGGTGGAGGTGAAGAAGGCGGACTACGACAGCTGCACCAACTCGTCGCCGATCGCCACGCACACCTCCGGCGACGACAAGATCGCCATCAAGGCCGCCGGCCACCGCTTCTTCATCTGCGGCGTCCCCGGCCACTGCGCCGCCGGCCAGAAGGTCAACATCCGCGTCCTCAAGCCACAGCGCTCCTCCTCCTCTGACGCCCCTTCCCCGGCGCCCGCCGCCTCCAAGCGCGGCGCCGCCGCCGCGCCGTCCCCCGCCGTCTCGTCGTCGCCGCCGGAGTCCTCCTCCCCCACCACGGACAGCTCGTCCTCCTCCACGACCACCGCTCCGGCGCCCAACGCCAGCGCCGCCGCCGGCGGCGGCGGCGCTAAGGCGGCCTTCGCTGCCGTGGCGTTGGCGCTGGTCGCCGCCACGGCGATGCTACAGTAGAATCAATTTCGATATATGATCCAGTGTTCGTATGCATTGATCGATGCATCTATCTCCGGTTGATGATTCTCTCTCTCTCGCCATGATCGATGCATCTATCTCCTGTCGATTCTTTCACCGTGGTTTGTGTTGATTTTTGATTTCTTGATCGATTTCAGATATATGTGGATTGTGTTCAGACACTCTACTGTTTTCCCGCGGGTTTATAACCGTTTTTTTTTTTTTGTTGTTGTTGTTTTTTTGACTTCGATGTAACCATGGACACATTTTGTACTCAGACTAGTGGTCTTTGAAGCATTTTACTACTCGATCGTTTGGTAAAATAGTGTTGATTCAAACACTCCCATCTGTTGTTGAAGTTGAACTTGCAGACTATCTGGAGAGAAGAAAGATAAGACTGAAAAACAAATACTGAATTCATACCCAGACGAAACTGTTACGTACACACTGAACAAACTTACTACTTTTTTATGACACGAATTGACCAAATAAAACACCACATCTCGCTGGGTTCAGAGAAGTACACACTGATCAAACAGTTGTTCTTTTTATTGCACACTTATGAAGATGATAATTACCACACCTTGCTCTGTTCTTCAGATCTCTGGCTGCTTGTCCAGAGGTTTCCGAGCCAAGACGAAGAAAATGGGCGTGAAGATCCCTTCCCTGGAAATGAAAATCACACTTCATTAAGCAGCGTTGTTTAAAAAAAGATGCAGCATTCATTCAGCAGCATTACTGTTTCGGAGATTGATATAAATTCGGCACAAATTCAAAATTTTCTTGCTTCAGATTTGCTCGAGGCCGATCAACTTACTTGGCGCCCTTCACAAGCCCTTCGGCCGCGGTCTCAAGAAAGCTGGAGACCCTCAGGCTGCCCTGTGGGGCAACATGGAGGCACTCGAGCGTCTTTACCTGAAGATTTTTGAAGGTAAATTAAGACGTCAATTGCACTCTACCAACAATTCATTTACTTCCGTACTCGCTCCGTCTTAAAATGTAGTAGTAACTTATAACTGAATTCGACACAAATAATACTACAAATCTAGATTGGAGTACATGGTATATCAGTAAAATGTTACGAACCAGCATGTGAGTGATGAAGCGGCCGACACGGGTGAGACGGAAGCCATTGAGTGAGAACTGGCTGGAATCAAGAGGCAGGTACCATGGCAACGGCGAATCCTCTGCCAGATCCTTCACCGATACAACCTTCAAACACATCATCACAAAGATAAATCTTGATCTTTGATGATCTAGCTATAAAGAGATGCACTTGATAGTGCAGTGACAACGGATGTGTGGTGTCAACCCTAAGGTTCCGTGTTCAATCCTCAATACGCTCACACTAATAAATGTTTGGAGGGACGTCTCTCTTCAGATCTCATTTAAGATAAATGTTTGGAGGGACGTCTCTTTTCAGGTCTCATTTAAGATCTAGCCCTAAACGATCACAGTTACATGTTGTACAAATGTTAGTCCATTTTTTTAGATTTTTTTTATGATTATTTGAATGTTGTTCGAACAAACAAGGAGATATCTCTTCCCTCAAGAAATTAAAAGAGTTTCTCCTATTTTTAATGTTGTGATGTGTAGTATTTGGAGTAGAGCTCACCTCAAAGCCCGCGTCTTTGAGAGCCTGGATGCACTGTTTGGTGGTTCTGATGTCTGGAAGGCCATTGCCGAGCTCGATCTCGGCCTTGATGCTCCGGTGCCTCGAGTTGCCTGGATCATACTTGTCGGTCATGCACCACTCGTCCAACGCGAACAACTGCCCTGGTTTCAGCACTCGGCAGATCTCCCTGTAGACACCAACCTACATGTACAAGTTAATTCACCAAGATAATAAGTTTTCATGTTACCAACCTAGTACCTCAGTTCCAAAATATAGCAACCTAATATCGTATATTTTAGACTTATCTAGATAGTTATATTTTAGAACGGAAGTAATAGTACTTACCTATATACTTTCTCTATCCTAAAAAATACTAAACTTAGGCGGGAGATGTGATCCGTATAACGAACTTAAACAAAATTCTGTCCATGTTACTTGTACTATGAGGGATCGTATCCCTTTTTAGATTTATTTTTTTTTGGAACGAAATGAGTAGTGATATGATACAGGAAAATAAATGAGCTAAGCATACAGCATCAGGGGCATGGCATGTCGCCTCGATGGCGTAGGCTGCGTCGAAGGTGGCATCAGGGATAGGCATGTTCATGAAGTCAGCCTGCATGACAATTCTTGCTTTTGTCACCTAAAACTGAATTGGTGATTGGAGGGCATGTATATATGTCTCTACCTTGACAAAGTTGCAGGTTTCACTCAAACCGACAGAAAAGTTGAGTTCCTGCACAATGAAGATCAAATTAACTTTTAAGTGTTGATCTAGCTCATGGTGAAAAATCCATGTCTTCATCTTGATAATATATGCATAACATATTTCAAATAATTCACATCTAACTCTGTAAAAGAAATGCACATGGTTAAATAAAATGCAGAACTCGTTACCTTGCCCCTTGATATCTGGTACGCATTGTTGTTCAGTCCAGTCACCGATGCTGAGCTATAATTAGTAGCATTGGAATAATTATAGTTCGCTTGATTTTTATCTCTGAATTTGTGAAATTGGCAACAGGAAATTGTCACCTGAATCTGGCAATCTCTCTCAAGGGTCCTCCAATGCCACACCCCACGTCTAGGACCTGCAATATATGCACAGGGAAAAATGACTCCACTATGAAGATTAGAAACAATCACATTTATAGTTAATAGATTATTCTCTTTTCTTGAACTGTAATTAATAGTAGTATAACATTGACCTTCATGCCCTTCTTGAGGCCGAGTTGCAAGGCCAGAAAATGCTCATGACGCTTAAGGCTTTCGCGTAAAGTTTCTCCTTGCCATCTGAAAGATAATCAGCGAAGAAAAACAAAATCAGAATAACCTAAAGCCCATCCAAACAAACTTAATTAGTGGCAAAATTATGGCGTGGCAAAATTATGGCATGACCTGCTGCCGAAATGGAATGATTCTCCCCAGCCGTATTCGTAGAAACTGGTGACAAGATCATAATACTTGTTTGCCTGATGCATTAAATTTGGCACTAATTAGTTTGGTTATAACCTCCAAAATTCTCGTTGCTAATTCAATTGATCGATTTCACATGAGCTATATGCAAATTATTATGAAAAACAACTACTCCAGCTAAAAAGGTACCAAATCAGCGTAGTTGGATGTCCTTGATTCCACTTCACCTCCATAAATTTCATGATAATTCTCATACCTGACACGATGGAACACCTGAACATTTTAGTGTGTGATTGTTGAACAAAGGGGCAGCATAAACGAAGCGAGAAACGACTGGCGAGTTGGTCAAAACCTGTTAGAGTGAAGTACACCAGTGGTCTGTCTAAACTTAAATGGATATGTTATATAGGTTCCTAAATTTATCATAGGTGTATCCAGATTCAAACGAGTTCTAACAGTCTAACCTGCTACGTGCACTGATATGACATGCCATGTTGACGCATACGTGTTAATGGAGCCTACATGTCATTCATATAAAAATAATAAAATTAAAAAAAAAACATATTTTCTTCTCTCCCCCCCTAATCTCCTGTAGGCCCCGTAAGTGCACTTAACTCAAATTTATTAATTGTTACTATATCACTATAAAATTCAAGCATAATTAATTAACGTATTAGAAGGGTAAATAAAGTATGTGCAGTACTGATCCACGGCCGATTTGACTTGCTCCTTTCTGATCTTCCCTCCTAATCCTGAAGCAAGATCCAGGGCACTCGTCTTCGACATTATACTTCAGTTCAGTCTGCAGATCGATTAGACAACAGCTGCAAATATATATACACCTTCTGAGAGAAAATTGAGATGTGTGTGGGTGTGTTGATCTGCACAAGATATCGCATGCTAAACACTAATCAAAGCTAAGCATACATATCAACTCAAGTTGTCTTAACTTAATCAAAGCTGATTTACTGATTCCTTTTTCTAATATCTCTACTACAATAAAAGAGGAGTCATCCTCCTCTCCGCACCGTTCTTCCCACATGTCTGCAAAAAATTCAGTGGTAGAAACAGATCCTACCCTCGTCCCCTCCAGAAAAGAACGAACGGTTTCTCAAAAAACTAGCCAATTAGAAAAAAAAACAAAAAATTAGGAAACAAAACCAAAACGGTGCCTAAAAAAACACGGCAAAGCGGTCTTAATTCGTTTCCCATGACATGGCATGAGTAATTTGCTAGTATGTAAGAAAAGCATAGAGTTTCTAAACATCACACGTAGTATATATGTTATACATAAGACTAAGAGAGGTGAGAACAATACCTGGAACAGGAGGAATTGAAGATGAAGGTATTATATATGGTTGCCCTTTGAGCATTTTCAGGAGCGTATGTACGGGTATATATAGATGCGTGGTTCCCATGAGCATCTAAAATAGTACTACCTCCATCCCAAAATGTTTGACGTCGTTGACTTTTTTAAAAATATTTGACCGTTCGTCTTATTCAAAAAATTTAAGTAATTGTTAATTCTTTTTCTATCATTTGATTTATTGTTAAATATATTTTTATGTATACATATAGTTTTACACATATTACAAAAGTTTTTGAATAAGACGAACGGTCAAACATGTTTAAAAAAATCAATGGTGTCAAACATTTAGGGAAGGAGGGAGTATTTGTTTTACACGGCGTACCCGTGTAAAACAGAAGCGACTCGATCAGTTTATAAAATGGATCAGCATTCATGGTCGTTGTTGACATTGCATTGCATGGATAGATGTGTCGGCAGCCGATGAATGATGCACCGCTCATCGACCATACCTAGAGATGGACACATACACTTACGGGATAGTGTGTACTACTATTTATTACTAGTTGCTACCTGACATAAACTCCGGCCGTCCGAGAAAACCCTAACATAAAATGATAGCAGACATAACCTAGTATAATAAATCTAGACAGATTTCTATTAAATTATAATATGCTTTTTATAGTTCTTTAGAAAGTACTGAGAGATTAACTTACGTGAGTTATACAATAGTGACATTGTCAACATGTGTGAGTTATCAATACTTGTTTTTATATGTAACAATTTTGCAATCTTGCTCTGTGAGAATGAGGAAGAAGATAAAACTATGTGGTATGAATGTGCATTTTGAGCCTACTTATATGTGAGTATATATAATGTAAAAAATACCATGTATAATAATATAAATGAGTATTTTAATAAATATAAGGTTTCTTGAAATATTCTGTCTCAAAATATAGGGTTTTTGAGCTAATCATAATACCTAGGATTTTGTGTTACACATGGCCTAAAACTTAGGGTTTGTGTGAAATTTATGCAGTATAAATATAAAAAGTCATATTCTAAAGTTTTTTTTATTGCTTTGTACATGTGTCTTCGGCTTGTAAGCCACAAATATTTTTTATAAAAAGAAAACTTCCAAGCAATCCTTAGTTACGTTATCTTAAAAAATTTATTTTTATATCTAAGTACCGTCATCATAAGGATACGCCTCTCGTTTCAATCCAAATCAATCAGTGCGTATTTTCTAAAGATATATACAATGGAAGGTTTATCCATTACAAAGCTAGTCGATAAAATAATGGAAACGATATTTGCTTGACAATCTAAAAGAAGCACAACAATCGTTTGTTTAATCAACAAACCCAGATTTAGAGGGAAGTAGTCATAGCTACTTCTACAACGGATGAGGCGAGAAGAGGCTCCACTCGTGTAAAGTTAGAGGGATATGGTCACTGACATGTGGACCTATAAAGATAAACCCCACCTGTCAGGAGCTCCGTCCTAACGGAGGCGACACTATGGCGAGAGACCAGCCTCTTGCCATCAGCTGAGCTTAGGCCGAATTTGGTCCCACAAGGCATGTCATGGATATATAACCCTTGCTAAACTATGGGCCTATTAGGCAGGCCGGCTACAATGGCTTCGGCTGCGACTGCGTATAATGAGTGCGGTATTGTTCGTGCCCGTAGCTCCAGCAGCCGAACATGCCTTCGTCGTTTTGTAGCTTGCACGGTAAATCTCTCTTCAAATCTTAATATAAAATAACTCGTGACATATTTCTGAAAATAAAATAATGGAAAACCTCCTAAATTAAAATAATCTAAATTTAAAATTTAAAATTTCAAAATCAACTTTAGCTTAAGCACCGACATAGTCCATGAAGTAATCAGCTATGAGCCTATGACACGCAAAGTGCGCGTGCTTATGAAATTGAACAGCAAAAAATGAAAAATCATTAATAACAGCAAGGTCAACCGATCTGAGCTCTTCGTTTGAGTAGTATGGAGTATTGGAGTATATTAGTAGGAGAGCAAAGCACGTGGAAACATAAAATAAGATAGAAATATAAAAATTCAGTTTAATGTTATCTTAACAGCATCTAGAGTTTCCTAACCAATACTCCATCCGTCCTATAAAATATAAAAAGTTTAGTTGGATATGACATATTTTAATACGAGAAATCTAGACAGGTTGGATATGTGTCTTATCCAACTAAAGTTTCTTATATCTTAGGACAGAGGGAATAGTATATACGAGGGAGTAGTATATACATAACGTTAACTTAAGAATATTGTTTTAAAGGCATATTTAAATGCACGGTGCCGTGTTTCAGTAAAATTCAACACTCTTAACTCATGCGTGGCTAGAGTATCTAAAATATTCCTGTCCAAATAAATTTGGTTCAATTAATAAATGGATTAGCATGATGACTGTCGCCATGTGTCGTCGTGACGAAAATAATCAATACATTGCTTAATTATCTCCTTCTATTGCTTAAAAAAGGAAAATAAGAAAAAAAAAAGAAAAACAATGGAAAAAATAGGGGAGTTTGGGAGAGGAAACTGGACAAATGGACCGGGCCGGGCTGTGCCGGTACAACCCACACGATGAGTCGGCTCATGGCATGGCATGTCTGGTCCTGCAATGGTGATGACGTGTTGCCACACCCCGTCTCGACACCACCTAGAACGACATCGATATAACCTTCAAACCATAGTGGAAAAAATGGGTTGTTTGATTCACTTCCAAATATCGCCAAACCTAACCAAATGTGTGGCTTATAAATTGATGGCACATCTTAGACAAGATTTGGCTAAAAGATGATTGTATGACATAAAAGATAGGTGTATGACATGTGGGTCTTTGAATAGAAAAACTTTGTCAATGCCGCAACTTTGAAAGTGAAACAAGTAAAAATCCTAGAAAGTGTGGCAACGTTTGTCAAAGTGAGGGAGTAAACCAAAACCCCTATAATCTTCAGTTCAAACACAACATCACGGGATTAATACTTGATCTTCTGATCTAGCCATAAACGATCACGTAACCATCCGGTCTAATTAAACAGAAGTGGTTGTTCAGTTTACAAAATGGATCAGTATGGTCATTGTTGACATGCATATATCTTAGTCAGCACATACGTATTAATCAATGCATATTGTTCATCTACAGTACGTACCTAGACGGAGGCATACGTACGTACAATTAACACATATCGGATGCACGTACACGAACCAGTGCGTTTTGGACTGCGGCCATACGCTTTCCATGATAAATACACGTACCGCGAGCTGTAAACTGAACAACTGGGAGAGTGTTGAGCACTTGGGCTAACATAAGCCCTGAATTTCGCAATGGGCCGGCTCTGCGCGCAGCAGGCCCGCTAATCTGGACTTGCTTGAACAAAAAGATTAGATTTGGAAATAAATTTGGACCGAGTTTATTTTAAATTTTAAACTATCAGCATGCAGCAGCAGCGCGGCTCCTCTGTTGCAAGTGCAAAGCACATCCTGGCCGTCCGTCCGTCCGTCCATCCATCCATCCCCGGGACAACGGCAATCGCTGATTCGCTGCGGTGCAAAATGCAATGGCGCGTTGAGTTGGGTAGAGCAAAGTTAGAGGCTGTTTGGTTCTTAACTAACATTGTCATAACTCACTTTAGACAATGTTAGACAAGTGTGGAGATGTGGCAGCCTAAAGTGTGGTGTGGCAAGTTGAAGCATTGAACCAAACAGACCCTTAATGTGCAGGGGGAGGGGCCCACATGGCACAGCTGCGTGGTCGCCATGACGGGGGCCATGCATGCGCCGGGCCGCGTGCGTCGGCAGCAGGCAGCAGCAGGGCGTGCAGGGTGCGGGGCTCAATGGCGAGGACGACGACGACGAGGAGACCACCGGCCGCGGCCACTGTTCCCGCGGCCTTCTTCCCCATCCCAGCCGATGACATGCGCCGAACCGGCTTTTATCATCCGGGCCCAGTGCTGCAGTGGCCGCCACTGTCGCCCCTCTCCCTCCGGCTGCTCCTTCCGTCACCGGAATACAGCAATCTAACGTTTTATAGTAATTACTCTGGATAGATACTCTGTCTATCTAGATTGGCAGTGATGTGTTTAATCCAATCCTAAATTATTTATTCATCCGTTTCATATTATAAGTTATTTTTATTTTTTTCTAAGTCAAACATTTTAGTTTTGATCAAATTTATAAAAATATATAATAATATTTTTAACACAAAACAAAAAAGATACTAAAATATATTCAATGTTTGATGTAATGAAACTGATTTGGTGCTATAAATATTACTATATTTTTCATAAATTCCCTCAAACTTTTTAGAAGTTTGACTTTAAAAGGGTAAAAACCACTTATAACATAAATCGGAAGGAACACTAAATTTTGGAAAAGAGATAATACTATGTTTGTTTTTTTATTGTGACGAAAAAAGTATAGGTTATATATATATATATATATATATATATATATATATATATATATATATATATGTTGATTTGTGCTAGCACATATTTTAATGTTAAACGGTCCATCTTCTGCGAAACTTTCTGTATATAAGTTATATGAAACAAATCTACTTTTATATTTATAATGATTAAAACTTAATTAATTATATACTAATACCATTCAATTTTTTTGGTAGAAAAGAACATCTGTGTCGTCCGGCTCCTCTAGCTTTGGATGCTCTCGTCTCCCTTCCCTTGGTGTACACGTACTATACGTAGATGATGCTAGTATACTGCACGTATCTTTGCCTGGGTACAGTGTAGTACTACTAATTAACAAATGTGGCCATGTGATATGTCTGTGCCTTCTCCAGAAGCTCCTCTTCGTGCAAGTGTACAAAGGGCTGCATCAAGCAAATTTCTCCTCGACCCAGTGAGAAAACAGAGACTGAAATACATCTGCTAGATGAAAAATCGTACTAGGTGATATTTTGTTACTGCTAGTACTATACATCTGCTGGTAGCCTCTGTTGCCTTCTGTAAATGTAACACAGTAGAGTAGAGTAGTAACAGTGCTAATGCATGATGGAGTAGTGCTTGCGGTAGCATGTTAATTTCACAGTTTCAGTCATTCATTAGGGTGGATCTAACACTCTAGCAGTAGTAGTATATAGTACTCAGTACTCACATAGGAGTAAATCAGTACATGTCCTATGCAAGTCTGTACTAGTTTGCAGAGCGCGTCAGTAACATTGCGCGGGAACTACACCACAAAACGCGGGAACCATGACCGTGGGCACCCCCCCCCCCCCCATACATTCATTCGCATCAGAAGGGACAGTCAGATATAATAATGCAACAATCTTAACCCTTCTTGTAAATGTGAGATTCACACACTAGCCCTAGAGTGAACGGTTTTCACTATTAGTAATCCTTCTTAGTTTTGTTTTTGTTTCTCACAGTGCAGTCATCAAGCCTGCAAAAAGTCCCAACTAAATATTGATTCACGATTTATTTAGAGATTAATTATATCTATCCAATGAGTCTCTGATGTGTAATTCCGACAGCGTGGGAGGTTCTGTATGCAATTTCCCACTCCTTTTGGTAATAAAGGAGGAAAAAAAATAGAAGGCTGCTTGCTTCCTTGTAACTCTCAGCGTCAGCGAGAAGCAGCCAAAGTGAAAGCGAAAGAGAGCTGAACTCAGTGGAGGCTGGAGAGTGAGCTTACCAATGGAGCTTCCTCGGGGTGCCCTGCTGCTGGTGCTGCTCGCCGTCGCCGCCGCCGCCTCCTCCGCCGGTGCCACACTCGCCGTCAAAGCTCCAGTTCCAGTTCCAGTTCCAGCTCCTGCCCCTGCCCATGCACCTCCTCAACCTAAAGATGCTGAAGGTATGGTTCTTCTCTCAGGTCTCAGCTCACTGTGTTCTCTTCTCTGTCACATCTTCTTGGTTTTTTCTTGGATCCCATTTTCTTGCAGATGTAAATGTTCTAAGAAGAAAGATTCAGTTTTCTTTTAAGCAAAGAAAGATTCAGTTATTACAGTTTCATTTCTGCATTTTTGTTTCAAGTTCAGTATCACATTCATGCAAGCACATTACTACCTCGACCTGTGGAAATGTTCTTGGCAAGAGCCCAAGAATGTGTCTGGCACACTGCATTTTCGTGTCTTGTGCATCACTTATATTCATCTCACTTTTATCCATCGGTTTTGTGACTTTTTGTTGTTGCTCAATCCATTTCCCCAGAATGGTGTGGTACTGTAAATCTGTAATGCATTTGCATTTTGCAAGATTTTGGTTAAGAGTCTTCAGCGCTATATTTAGCTGTTGAATCCTAAAGAAAGCAACAATCATGTAGACATTTGAAGCAAACAAGTGAATTTTGATATATTTTTTTAATGGTGACCCAGGCCTCCTCATCAATGGCAACTTCGAGACGGCGCCGAGGAAGGTGAACAAGACACTCATCGTCGGCCGCCACTCGCTGCCGGGGTGGACGCTGCGGGGGCACGTCGAGTACGTCTCCGGCGGGCCGCAGCCCGGCGGCATGTTCTTCGCGGTGCCGCACGGCGTGCACGCTCTCCGCCTGGGCGGCCGCGCGTCGGCGTCCCAGAACGTGTCCGTGCGCCCCGGCGCGCTCTACGCGCTCACCTTCGCCGCCACGCGCACGTGCGCCCAGGACGAGGCGCTCCGCGTCGCCGTCGCGCCGTCGCTCTCGCCGCCCGCCGACGTCGCCGTCCGCACGCTCTACAGCGCCGACACCGCCGACACCTGGGCGTGGGGCTTCCGCGCCTCCTCCGCCGCCGCGCAGGTCACCTTCTCCAACCCCGGCGTCCAGGAGGACGCGTCGTGCGGCCCCCTGCTCGACGCCGTCGCCATCAAGGAGCTCCCAACGCCATACCCAACCAAAGGTAAGAGAGACCGCATCATTGTCTGAACGATGGATTGCTGCTGGTAATTAATCTGACGAACAAATGGCTGCAGACAACCTGATCAAGAACGAGGGATTCGAGATCGGGCCGCAGGTGTTCAAGAACTCGACGGTGGGCGTCCTCCTTCCGCCGAAGCAGAAGGACGCGACGTCGCCGCTCCCGGGCTGGATCATCGAGTCGCTCAAGGCCGTCCGCTTCATCGACGCGGCGCACTTCTCCGTCCCGGCGGGGCAGTACGCCGTGGAGCTCGTCGCCGGCAGGGAGAGCGCCATCGCGCAGGTGATCCGCACGGTGGCGAACCGCGCCTACAACCTATCGTTCGTCGTCGGCGACGCCAAGAACGGCTGCCACGGGTCGATGCTGGTGGAGGCGTTCGCCGGGAACGTGACGCAGAAGGTGCCGTTCGAGTCCGTCGGAAACGGCGGGTTCAAGCCGGCGAGCTTCCGGTTCGTCGCCGCCGGCGTGCGCACCAGGGTGACCTTCTACAGCTCGTACTACCACACCAAGGTGAGCGACGGCGTCTCGCTGTGCGGCCCCGTGCTGGATCAGGTCAAGGTCCAGCCATTGAAGGCGTGATGATCCCCCTACGATTCAGAGCTCTCCTTTCGGATCATGGTTTGCTAATTGCTCTACTTAGACGTCGTGTCTGTAAAACTCTGCATTGGTGATTTGGGTTTTGGACATTGAACTTTCGTGTGATCTAGCTAAACATTGTGTCATGGTTATTGTTGCCTGTAATGTCGCTATCGATCGTTGATGATGTTATCAACCGGATTGGCCACCATTACAGTTGGTTTCACTGGTGTTTTCCGGCGTGTGGAACATGGGCTCCTCCGAGATCTCGGCGACGCTCGAACAGAGAAGCCATGATTCTGCGGACACAAGCGTCGGCAAAAAAGGTTATTATAGGAAACCATCGATGAGGTCGAAGCTGTTGGCGTCGTTGCTGATGCTGCACATGGTCTGGTCGCTGCGCTGCTGAAACGGGCGTGGGTAATCGGCCGGCCGCCGGCCGACGAAGTGGAATTGCTCGGAGTCGGAGGCGTTTCGCCGCCGCCGGTGAGGTGAGGAACGGGATCAGGGCTCGTTGGCATTGAACGCCGGACGCTGTATTATTAGCAAGCCCAACGCTAGAAGCAAGGCTTCCATCGGCAGCCTAAGGTAAAGCCCAACCGATCAGGTTTGGGCCTCCATTTGGCCCACCAAAGATGGATCACTAGCATGGTCGAGTTTGAAATTCATCCCTAAATTGAAATACTATATATAACGGGCTTCCTCATTTTACAAATTTGGATTATTCGAAATCCTATTTTAGTTGACAGGACAAGCTGAATCAACGTGGGACCCATACTACCCCTCCATATAAGTGGCTAACATTTTCTCTCTCCTCCCTCCCTTGTCTTTCCAATCCCCTGTAGGGTAATGGCCGACAGGAATGACGGCACAGCGGATGACGAGGAGAAGGGCGGTGGCCGATAGGAGAGGAGCTGGTGGCGAGAAGGACGGTGTCCGACGGAGAGATGAGCGGTGCACATTGACGACAACAAGGAGGAGGAGGATGGCTCGGCCAGGCCGGGGAAGGCAAGTAGAGCTGCCGACCCCCTAGGGAGTGGGGATCCGCACGAGTGGAAGCGGAGCCACGCTGCTGCTACTTGTCAAGCTCAGCAAATGGTAATGGGCCTGTTCGGAAGAGCTGGCTGAGATGCATTCTTGATAGACAGCTGAACAACTGGACTATCCAGTGCAGCCATAACAGCTGCAAAAACAAACTACCGAACAGGCCCAATGATCCCGCGGTGGAGGAAGCCGCTAGGCGAAGGCAATTCGGAATGGGCTTACAGGCTAGGTAAAGGCCATTCGTCCCCAATTCCATGGCCCATGCACTTGATGGGCCTGAAACAACTCAAATAGCTACATATTGGGCCGAAGAGGCCCAGCCCACTTGGCCCGCCGCATCCTCACCTCAAAACCCTAGCTGCGCTAACCCTCCCGTATAAATACCCTTCTCCAATCTCGTTCTCCCACTCTTCGCGCCGCCGCAGCAGCCGCCTCCACTCCCCCACCCCCAGAGAACCCTAATCCACACCCTCTCAAGCCAGCCATGGCGGAGCGCGGCGGCGAGCGTGGCGGCGAGCGCGGCGGGTTCGGCCGCGGCTTCGGGCGCGGCGGTCGCGGCGACCGCGGAGGGCGCCGTGGCGGGCGCCGCGGCCCGCGCCAGGAGGAGGAGAAGTGGGTGCCCGTCACCAAGCTCGGCCGCCTCGTGAAGGAAGGCAGGTTCTCCAAGATCGAGGAGATCTACCTCCACTCCCTCCCCGTCAAGGAGCACCAGATCGTGGAGACCCTCGTGCCGGGGCTCAAGGACGAGGTGATGAAGATCACACCCGTGCAGAAGCAGACGCGCGCCGGGCAGCGCACCCGGTTCAAGGCGTTCGTCGTCGTCGGCGACAACAACGGCCACGTCGGGCTGGGGGTCAAGTGCGCCAAGGAGGTGGCCACCGCCATCCGCGGCGCCATCATCCTGGCCAAGCTGTCCGTGGTGCCCGTCAGGAGGGGTTACTGGGGTAACAAGATCGGGCAGCCGCACACCGTGCCGTGCAAGGTCACCGGAAAGTGTGGCTCTGTCACCGTGCGCATGGTGCCCGCCCCGAGGGGTTCGGGTATTGTCGCCGCCCGCGTGCCCAAGAAGGTGCTGCAGTTCGCCGGCATTGAGGATGTCTTCACCTCGTCCCGTGGATCCACCAAGACCCTTGGCAACTTCGTCAAGGTATAACACATCCCTCCTTTTGTTATTTTATATACTATTCTCTGACTATGAGTATTTAGTGTTTGGTACTGAATGATAGATTTATGTGTGCTTGGCAAGTAGGCATAGTATTGTTGATTTCTGATGTGAATTGGGTGGAATATAACTGCATTATGCTATAGTTTCTCACTATATCACAGTTTGTATATTAGCATCAATTGTTCAATGAGACTACTGTTCTTAGTGTACATACACATGCATCTTTGAAGGTGATTCATAGTATTCTACTCATCTAATTCGATACAGTTAAACTGGTTGGGTTCAAAATATTTTACTTTGTTACAGGCTTACTGCCCATCAGTATGGATTTACTATTGTCTGCTGTCAATGAACCATTTCATGGGTCTATTTGATTATTGACACTTACGCTGCTGCTGTAATTGTTTGATCTTTAATCTTTTTGTGCATTGGTCATTACCTTATGCCACAGTGCTTATTAGTGTATCCTGTCTGCTTGATATCGTGCCTATACACACAGCACATTGTATCATCTAATAGAAACTTTTCTTTAAACATTTCGTATGCCCTGTTTGCACATTGATGCCATCAAGTCCTACTCAAACAGGGAGTGTTAATATCTAATATGTAATATGTTTTCATGTCTTCTACACCCAGTCGTTTTTACTTTGGTTTGATTGTGTTATATATACTCTGTGATGGCTTGAGGCCTTCTTATTAGTTTGCCTTGCTTGATTGATGTATTCTTAGTGGTAAGTTTATCCTCTATTAAAACCAAATGATCTGTTTTGTGCAGGCCACCTTTGACTGCCTGATGAAGACTTATGGATTCCTTACTCCTGACTTCTGGAGGGACACCAAGTTCGTCAAGTCTCCATTCCAGGAGTACACCGACCTCTTGGCCAAGCCGACTAAGGCTCTTATGATTGATGCACCTGTCGAGAACGTAGAGGCTTAGGATGGCGGAGTAAAGAGAGTCTTTGCTAGCTCGGACTTGTCTGATGCACTTTGTTTTACAATAGTTAAGAACCGGTTGTCATCCTTGGATTGTGCTGCGTCTGGATGTTTCTATTTCCTGTCAAGTTTTGGATCATGGTACTGTGATACTGCTTTTATCAATGAATGCTGCATAATTATTATGTTATCGATCCATTTTGTCCTGAAAGTATCTGAAGATGACTGGGTGCAGGGTCGTTGTGTTCGGTTATAGATCATGGTCAGTATATGGCTTTATAGCCTTGATCATTTTGTTTTAGAGCATCCTTAATTTTCCATTTTGTTTTCAATTTTCTGATCATGATCTGGCTGTTTTGATATACAGCCATATACTACTACCACCACCACTTAAGTTCAGTGCGGTGATGTTTTTCTTCCTGTTGCATCATTTTAACTTTTGCTCCGACCTGAAGTTGGTAATCATGCTGCCGTCTCTGAATTTGCTGTGCTGCCGTCTCTGAATTTGCTGCTGCCGTTTCTGAATTTGTGGTGGTTTCACTTTCATCGGTTCATCGCTCTGGCTCGTGCTGCTGCGACCAGTATGAACGGAATACTGGGATATCGTTTTCTCTTACCCCCAAAATTCGAAAATCAGAGTTTTCATTTGCTTATGCTGTTGATGACGAGGACGCAACGTGTTTAGACAATGTGCTAATTGTCCTGTATAGCTGTAAGTATATATGATCATTCATTGCTCGTGCTCGTGCTCGTAGTCGTGTGCAGCGATCGCACCACACAAGAAGTTGCCAGAAATCGGTTCCTGTTCCTGCAAGAAAACGCTCATCCTCTTGCTTTTTGCTTGCCGTGGCGAACGTCGCCGTTCCAACTTTGTGCTTCAGGTTCACCGAACCTGCCGGAAACGCGACCGGTTTCTCTCCGTCCATGACACGTGGGGCCCGGCAGTGCCGAATCGCCCTTTGGAATCTTCCCCGCGCCCAATCGCTCGCCGCCGCGTGTCCAGCATTCCGCTGAAAATACCGCGACGACGACGAGCTGTGTAGGCTGTAGCTGCCTCCTGAGCCTCACAAAATTTGGTTGGTCAGAGTTGCATCCCGGCCACTGGCCAGCCACGACGACGAAGCGGCGAGAAGCCGAGGCCAAACTACAATTCAACACCTCTTCCTCTTCTTCTTCTTGCTGCTTCTTCTTCTTCTTCTGCCACTTGGTTGCTATATACACCAAGCTCGATCACGAAACTATCTTAGCTGCTGCTGCTGCTGCTGCGTTGGAGAAGAAGAGAGTGGCAGGGTGAGGATGGCCGGGGTGCAGGTGATGCCGGCGGTGGGGGCGGTGGCGACGGCGGAAGGGAGCTGCAGGGCGGCGGGGCAGAGGAGGGGCCGCGGCGTGAGCAGCTTGTTCGCCGGAGACTGGAGGCGGCGGCCTCGCCGGGCGGCGTGCACGGCCAGGGTCAGGGGCAGGAGGCAGCAGCAGCAGCAGCAGGGCCTCGCCGTCGTCTGCAACCTCGGTGGCACCTACGATGAAGGTTTCGAGGACATCCACGTGGTAATTAACTTATCAGACGTAGCTAAAATTTAAAATTTTAGTTTTAATCTTAAAGTTGATTTTGAATTTTTTTTTAAGTCGTAAAGAATATATGTGTATATAACAAAGTTTTATCGAAAAATTATTCCTTTCGCTATTAAGCGTTGCGGCTTATAATCATTCCCCACATGCCGAATCTAATTAATTAATCCATGTTAGCAGATCCTAACGTAAAGAGTTGAAGTTCTACTGCTGATATATAAAATGCTGTGATTTTGATGAGATTTTCATGGTTGGGATGAGTAGAGGAGATCGATTGATTTGGTTTTTTGTTCATTCTTGTTTGCGCAGCAACTGATTAATGTGTTCACCTACAAAGCCGTCAAGACCGTGCTCACGCAGCTCTACGAAATGAACCCACCAAGCTACCGATGGTTATACAAGTAAGCCACCCATTTATTCCACAAATCAATCAGCAAAATCCCTGTCAGATTACTGAATTTGTGTTCTTGCTTCTCATTGGTTTCAGCTTCGTTGCTGTAAACAAGCCTACCGATGGCAAAGTGTTCCTTCGTGCTCTTGGAAAGGTAAATATATAAACTACTCCACAGTTGTTTAAACTTTCGAACGATACAAATGTAAACTGAAAACTAAAGAAAAATTGCACACGCATGAATGTTCATTTTGGTTTATAGGAGAAGCAGGAGCTTGCAGAGCGAGTGATGATAACTAGGCTTCACTTGTACAGCAAATGGATCAAGGTGATTCCTTTTTGGTACTCTTAGATAATCCATCACAAAGCTCTGAAGTTTGTAACCAAATGAGATTCTGGTTTTGATCTTTCAGAAATGTGACCATGCGATGATGTACGAGAGGATATCTGACGAGAACCTGGCGTTGATGCGAGAGCGGCTCATGGAGACGGTCATCTGGCCAACAGACGACACCAACACTGAGAAGATTGGCTGAAAAATAATGCCTGATCTGTCTGCCTGACGCATACACTTCTTTTTGAGTTGCTCAACTTAATTAAACTTTAGCTCGTTAGGTAGAGCATTCTAAATTATTCCTGCTCGATCGAGTCCGATGTATATGTATGTATATTAAGTGTACAATTAATGTACCAAGCCAGTGTAATGGGTACAAATTCAAGATGCATTCAGGGTTAAGTATAGATTAAGATCTAGCTGATAGCGTGTGGTTTAGTTTGGTCATTTGGTGAGTGAAGTGAAGAAGCTGCAAACTGTTTGGTCCATTTCATCGACAGTGTACAAGTACAACGTAGCAACTAATACTTGTAATTTGGGTCAAGTTCGTCGACACAGTTTATTTCATGAGTTACAACTCTTGCTGTTGGTTCTAGAGAGGATCTGGTAAAGTTTACAACACAAGCACGTCATCTGCTGGCATGTCTGTTGTTATTTTCTCATTTTATCTGTTGATCGCGCGACACAAATTTCATAATAAACTACACTGAAGAAAAGCAGAGCTCTTTTCAAACGCAGGAATAAAAAACACAAACATTAAAAAAACGTAGGAATTAATCGAGGTGGCATATCTAAGTTGATGCTTAGGAATTTTAAAATGTAGGAACTATGTGATTTTTTTGTTTGGATGCTTCATAGAGAAAGTATAGGATTTTGGGTGAGAGATAGACCCGACGAAAGCTTCCCATGAGGTACAACCTCATGTTAGAAATTTTGTAGCAATCTCAAGTGCGCATTCCATTATTTCAAAGGAACACCTGGAAAAATTTTGCATAGGATTTCAATTGTATAAATTCCTCTCTTTTTTCGTTTGTTCGAAAGGATCCCCTTGATATGTTGGAATATGACACATTCATGGCGTGTAAAATTTGATTGTTTCTTAGTCATACATGACGGTGCTCACATTCCCGTTTCTACGTAAAATATTATTCCCTCCGTTTTTTAATATACAACGTTGTGCAAGATATGTATGATTAGTCTTATTGAAAAAAAATTATAATTATCACTCATTTTATTGTGATTTGATTTATATTCAATTGTTTTTAAAAATGAATTTATTTTTATATATATAAAAAGTTTGAATAAAATAAATATTCAAATGTTTTTTTAAGAAAATGTTCAAATGTTTATAAAAAAACAAACGGTATCGTATATTTAAAAACAGAGTTAGTAACTGATCTCAGGGAGCTCGATGTACCGATCCGGCCCAGAGGCCCAACCAGTATAGGCCGCATGCAGCTTGATAAGGAATAAGTTCACTTCGTGACCCTTAACTGTGATCGAAATCTAATCCATGACCCTAAATCACAAAACAAAATATCTCGACCCCCAAACTCCTAAAACCGATGCAATTTGACTCCCTGGGCGGTTTTGGGAGGCGGTTTTGCTGACGTGGCGCCACCCAAAACCGCGCAGGGAGACAAATTGCACCGGCTTTAGGAGTTTGGGGGTCGAGATATCTGGTTTTGTGGTTTAGGGTCATGGATTAGATTTCGATCACAGTTGAGGGTCATGAAGTGAACTTATTCCGCTTGATAAGGGCCACACGCTGCTCACAGTCCTGTTCCGGCCCATAAAATGTGGGCCCAGCGCGTCTGTCGCATTGACGTTCCGGCCCAGTTCGCTTGCCACATAAAATCTTTCGAGTGAGATATAGCAAAATCGCACGCGAAAAGGTGAAAACGTGAGAGCCATGACGTCAGCGGCAGCATGGTACGCACATGCAGTCAGATCACCGATCACGCCTGAGCTGAGCAGATCATGCCTAATCGATCGATCTGTCCACACGTTTCCGCCCTAAGATTCGTGCTTAATTAATTAATTGATTGCGTGTGTGTGACCCTAATCTAACTACGCAAAAATCAAACAAATCTTATCGTGCACGCTGTTTTTTGTATTAATTAAAAAAGAAAGTAGACGACATTCATGAATCCTGACAAATCTAGCTATAAAGCCCCTAAATCTCTCTTTTGTACTGTTGTATCATTGTACCTGTGGATCAAGAGCGAACACGTAATTACGATACATGGATTCGTATGTATATATTTCGGCGCACGTTTTGATTTGAAATTCGAAGGAAATACATATATTTATGCATCCGGGGGGCGTTTACTTGAGTTGCTTGTTTGGCGATCACAAAGTTAATGATTTCGTCCGTTCGCAACAAAAACTAATGATTGCTACGTGGAATTTCTCGTGTGTGATTAATTGCTAGTTAGGCGAAACATATACATATATAATCAATTCAGTGGTTGCAGTAACTAATTAATTAATTAAAGTCCTTTATGAAATATATTTCTCGTCAAATTCCCTGTGACAAATTTACAAACCCAAAACGATCGAGACGTACGTACGTATAGTACTCGAGATAACCCAAAGAAGTCGTCCACGAATTAATTAATTTAACTAACTAACCAACTAAATTATAATCACCAATCATTAACAGTGCATTGCGTCAATTGACAGTTGACGTGTGCCACGTGTCTCGATCAGTTTGATGGTTTCGTTTTGACATCGCGATCTATGATTAGTTGAGGGACAAAGTGACCAATCTATGATGTTTTTGCTTCGAACCAAAGCAGGGAATGTCCCCTTTTGTCCTTAAAAAAGGGATTCCGGGCCCACATGTCAGCCTCTCTCGGTCCTCTCTATCTCAGGTCATCACCATTCACCAGCCAGCCGCTAGCTAGGTCATATCGATCGATCGATCAATCATCTTCCGACTACTAATTAATTTCACTTTTTCCGTGTGTTGGAAAAAGCGAGTGATTAATCGACGCAAGCAGCAGGAAGAGATTAGCTAGATCATTAATTATTAGATTAGCTTAATTAGGTCGGTGTTAACCACGTGGTTTGTGTACGCTTAGCTAGCTTGAGCCGCCATCCATGGATGGAACGCACATGCATGATACGTACGTAGGCACGCATGAACGTACGTCGACGTTAATTAATTTTCTCTTCCGAGAAAGTAATACACACGCATGAAATGCTTTCTTGTTTCTTGTTTCTTTTTATTTTCGCGGTCAGGAAGAGAGATGGATCGAGTAGTTGACCTGATCAGTGATCACATGCAGGTAAGTGCGTACTACACTGCATGCATACAACCAAGACGTACGACACCGGCCGCTAATGTGGATTATAATTTCAGGCACATTTTTTGTTTGTAGGATAGAGTACAGATTAATACACTCATAGTATTATATATATATATATATATATATATATCTTGTGATTGGTGAAATCACCACAACAGATCTTACTGTCATTCGGTATTTTTCGATGGCGGAGTTAGAAAAATATTAAGCCCGGGTAAACTTCATTATAAGTTTATAACCATTATTTAATATAGAAATTTCATTATCAATTCAATTAAAAATATTAAAATTAAATGGAGTTTCTGCTAGTTAACCCGGACGGCGGAGGCTCCCCCTTCAGGGATGAATCCAGAACAATATTTAAGGTGGGACTCATCTCCTTCTTTCTTCTTCAGTCTCCCTACTCTTTATTTTCTCTATATTGTTCTCCTTTCATCTCCCTTTCTATCATTAGTGATCCAGCGGGGTAGGGGGACTCGAGTCCCCCCAGCACCCACGCTGGATCCACCTCTGCTCCCCTTGTACCATTGTATGAATAAAAATAGCTATAGATACACAAACCGGATAGACAGGTTTCACCACGGAAAATTAAACCTAGCTATACGATCACTTCATAATTGCAGGCAAAATTTGTGACATGTGCACGAAGAATCTTTGTGTTCTACCAGGGGTCCTGTGTGTGCGTGCATGCATGGCGACCGATGATACGTACCTACGATGCGTGTGCAGCCACACACGCTTGAAGGCATATCTAGCTACGTACCAAACTTAATTAGGGCTCGAGCTAATTAACTAACTCAGCCATGCATCTCCCTCTTAATTAGCTGCTGCTTCTTTCTTCTTCCGGGGAAGCAAACGCAACATGCACGTACTACGTGTGCTTGCATTGCATGCATGCTAACTCGATCCTTCCCGCCCAATCGCCCATGCAAACCCCGAATCTATAAATACCTCGCCATGGCTGCACCTTCGTCTCCATCGATCGATCGATCCACCATAATCCAATAGCTTAATTCAAAGCCTGAAAACCATACAGCTCGATCTGTAGTGATCAAGTTCTGGCTAATTAACTAGCTAGCTCGTGATCGATAATATACAGTAGCAGAGCGTAAGTGATCGAGAGCGATTAATTCGAGCTTTTGCGTGGAATTAATTCATGGCGTCCGGTGCGAGAAAGCTCGTGAGGTCGTCGTTCATGGCGTCCGTACGCGCCCTGCTCGCGCTGACCTTTCTCCTGTCCGGCGGCGCAGCCACGGCGGCGGCCGCCATGGTCAGAAATGGCGGCTCGCCGAGCATCTATGGCGGTGGTGGTGGAGAGGGAGCTGCAGTGATCGGTAGAGGCGGCAGGTCGCTGCTGCAGGCGGCGGCGGCGGCGGCGGCGACGACGCAGAGCGCGGTTTTCAGCCTCGACAGCTACGGCGCGCACGGCGACGGCGAGCGCGACGACACGGCGGCGCTGGCGAGGGCGTGGAGCGCCGCCTGCGCCTCGGCGGCGCCGGCCGTCGTGCTCGTCCCGGAGAGCAGGAGCTACCTGCTCCGGCAAGTCACCCTCTCCGGCCCCTGCGAATCCACCATCAAGCTCATGGTAAAAAAAATTCAAACAGAATATTAGTTGATTAATCTTCCATATCCAGCTGCAATTCAGCTTGGAACTGAAGCTGATTAAGTGATTAACACGGCCATTAATATTAATCTTTCTGAAATTAGTGTAATTCTGACGTGATTTTTGGATAATATGCAGGTGAAGGGGACGCTGGTGGCGTCGCCGGACATGTCGAACTGGAACGAGAGCAACAGGAGGTACTGGATCGTCGTCCGCGGCGTCGACGGGCTCGCCGTCGGCGGCGGCGGCACCATCGACGGCAACGGCGAGGGGTGGTGGGAGAACTCCTGCAAGATCAACAGGGCACTCGTAAGTGTACTTACAGTACTGATCAAGAAATTAAATTCAAGTTCAAATCGCTATGAATTGGCTTTTCTAGCACGTAGATAGGTGGTTAATTAATAAATTATAACTAGTTCTAGTAGGCGCCGTTTTTCTTGATGTGATGGTTTACTTATGCATGGCGGCTGCTTCAAATTTTCGTTTGCACGTCGCATGGTCCTTGACTTTCTACTCGTGCATTTCGTATTCAAATATATATTCAATTCAATTTATAATTTAGTCAATTGTGATGGCCACGGATCTCTCTAACCTAGTTCATTTTTCCTCTGTACTTTTCAGCCATGCAAGGGAGCTCCAACGGTACGTGCATGCATGCGAAATGCAATATTTTTTTTCTCTTCTTTTTCCAAATTTCATTTACTCAATTTTTGTAGTACCTTTTAATTTGATTCATTTTGTTTGTAATTAATACAGGCGCTGAGTTTCCACACGTGCGACAACCTGAGCGTGAATGGTCTGAAGATGGTGAACAGCCAGCAGATCCACATGTCAGTGGAGGATTGCACCGGGGTGGAGCTGGCCCACCTGTCAATCTCTGCGCCCGGCACGAGCCCCAACACAGATGGCATCCACATCACCCACAGCAAGAACGTCCAAGTCAGCGACTGCACCATTAAGACAGGTAATGCAACTACTCCCTCTATTTTATATTATAAATCGTTTTATTTTTTTAGTCAAACTAGTTTATAAAAAAATTAGTACTCAATTGCCAAATATAGCATCTAAACCATCAAAATTAGTTTCATTAAATATAGCATTTAACATAATTTTGTAATATACTCCCTCCATCCACAAAAGTTATACCTATTATTTTTATCACTAAGACTAATAAGAAATTAATTTGTCTTGGATGTTACAAAATCAAGAAGTAATGCAAGCATGCAACCAATGAGTATTTAGAAGTCTCCTTGGATTCTAATCAAACATTTTATTTATTTATTTATTTAAGTCTTGAATGCATAAAGATTACAAATAGGTGCAACTTATTTGGAAAAGCTCAAATGTGGAATATGTGTAACTTTTATGGAGGGAGGGAGTATTTATTTTATGTTGAAAATATTACTATTTTTTAAAATAAATTTGATTAAATTTAAAAAAAATTAACTAGAAAAAATAAGTAAAAACTATTTATAATATTAAACTGAGCGAGTAATCAATTGCCAAATTAAGCACAGAAACATGATCAGGCCTTGTTTGGAAGGCCCAATAATTCCCTGCCCATAAGCTTGAATAAGCCCAAAAGGGTATGTTTTTTTTTAATCTTCAAAAGGATATGACTCTGATTAGGTTTTTGTTGTTGATCTCTGCAGGGGATGACTGTGTGTCGATCGAGGATGGGACCCACGGTTTACACGTCACGAGACTGGTGTGTGGGCCCGGGCATGGGATTAGCATTGGGAGCTTAGGAGATGACAACTCCAGAGCTGAGGTGTCTGACATCTTCATCGACACCGTGCACCTCTATGGCACCACCAATGGAGCTCGGATCAAGACATGGCAGGTAAATATCCTCCTCTCATCCTGCAGAGATTTGTGTGAACTTACTACGAAATTTTCATCAAACCTTTTGTATTTCAAGTGAATCTGAGAGAGATAGATGTGGATTTTGTCAAATGCAGGGAGGGAGTGGATACGCCAAGGATATCGTATTCCAGAACATGGTCATGAACAGTGTCAAGAACCCAATAATCATTGACCAAAACTACTGCGACTCAGCTAAGAAATGCGAGACACAGGAGGTAACAAAAACATCAACTCTCAAAAACCAATCCTTTATTTAACACCAGTGAGTAATGCTCAACAAAAATCATCCAAATCACACAATTATTGCAAATTTGCCATGAACATGGATCTCAGGGATCAGCAGTGGAGATTAGCAATGTGGTCTTCAAGAACATCGCAGGGACAACAATTTCCAAGAGTGCCATCACTCTGAACTGCAGCAAGAACTACCCATGCTATGACATTTCCTTACAGGACATCAACCTGGAAATGGTGGATGACAATGGTGCCACAGGAAGTACTTGCCAGAATGCAAAATGGAGGAAATCTGGAACAGTTGTTCCACAACCATGCACCAGCACAAATTAGGAGGAACTGGGCCTGATAAAGTTCATTACTGTATAAAGTGTGTATAAAAAAATTCAGAAGGAATCAGTCATATTTATGCATACATTGTGCATACACTCATTGGGGTTTCTACCAGGAACCTGCAATGCAGTGTGCCTACAAGGCTACAGAGTGTATTTGTTAAATTGATTCAAGTTATATACATGTAAATTCTTTCATACAGAGCAACATTGATTTCATATTCCCATTAAGTGCAGCAGAATGTTGTCAGGCATTTTTCAGCAAAGTAGTTCTACTAACTTAATTATCAACAGATGAACAGCAAGGTACCACTTACTACTCCTTAATACATAACAAGCATTCCGGCAGCTAAGATCTTACAGTAGACTATATAGAGTCATCCACTAATAACTTACACAACAGAATGGATAGCAAACTGGCGATTCTTTGCCTACTATCTTGCTCACTCCTAGCAGTTGATACCACATTTTTGGGTATCAGGGCCTGTGACACGGGTGGTGAATGGATCGATACGAACCCACAGCAAGGAGAAGATCGATGCAAGGAGGATGGCCCAAACAACAACAATGGTCGGTGTACGGTTCTGCCGACCCATGAGACCCTTAAGGAAGGGGTACAGGTGGACAATCACCCAGAAGGCAAAGAAGAGCTTCCCAAAGAGCGGACCCCATGACTGGTAGCCACTGTTGATAGCGTAGGAGATACCAGCAACAACACCGACCAGGTTGATGATCAAAATAGTGGTCGGTGGGATCAGAAGGGTTGTCCACTTGAACATGTAGAGCTCAGCGAAATCGCCTTCTTCATCAGAGGCCTTTGAGGTGACAGTGAAGCTGGTATCAATTCCAGCAAGCACCTTCAGCAGACCCTGGAAGACCGCAAATAGATGAGCGGAAATACCTCCAATAACCCAAAACTGCTCATTCCTCCACCATTCATCGATGCCAACACCACTCCACCTCATCTCAAGGATACCAGTAGCAAAGATTGACAGAAAGAGAGAGATAAACCAAATACTCGCAAAGTTGCTAATCTGCAGTCCAAAATAAGTCAGTCAGCGCATGCTGTTCTGCGATTTCGTCTGCAGAAGAGGAAAAACAATTCTACATATTTACCTCTGGTATGATGAACTTCCCAGTGAGAAGACAGATAGCTGGCAATATGCAGTACAAGAGGAGTGGAATCGATGTGAGTGGATAAATAGTGGTGTTGATGTAAGCAAATCTCTCCAGGAACTTAAGCCGTCCTCCGTACCCATACCATATGGGACAATGCCTGCTAAAAAGAATTTCCACAGAACCAAGAGCCCACCGAAGCACCTGGTTCAGACGATCCGAAAGATTAATTGGGGCAGACCCCTTGAATGCTGGTCGCTTAGGCATGCAGTAGATTGACCGCCAGCCACGTGCATGCATCTTGAATCCAGTGAGAATATCTTCTGTAACAGAACCATAGATCCATCCAATCTGCAAGTCACATAGCATCATAAACAAAGTTATAATGGCAACTGAGAGGAGATGCCAATTTAGTCAAGTTTCTTCGCATGAACTCAGAAGTACTTGTGCGAATCAGAACAGAAATCAAATTGCGTCCTTAATTTTGTACAAGAAAGACCACTTGATATCTCGACATTTTCTGTTACATTGTATAATTTGTACTGGTAGGCTAGTAGCATGTAATGCAGAGCATGAATGCCATAGCTTTATTACCTCAGTTCCCCAGTCACTTTTGTCTTCATAGCCACAGCTGATAACATGTATGGCCTCTTTCAGAAGAGATTCTGGAGTTGCGGATTGAGGAACACCACCATATTCCATCAGAGTGGAGGCTACAAAAACACTAGATTGACCAAATCTTTTCTCTAAGCTCATTTGAGACATCAGTAGTGATTTCTCATCATCAAATCCAGAACCTGCCACAAAAATGATGTGCCAGGTCAAATATATAGTGTAAGAGAAAAGTTAAGCCTAGTGTCCCTCCCTTCCTAAGCATATACAGAAATACTGCGAAAAAAGTTGTGGGGTGCAATGCAATGGTGGTGGCCAAATATCACTAAAAATCTAAGAGCAAAAACATGTAATTGAACAAAAACCAGACTCGATGGTACCTTCAATCCCTTCCTCTATATCTTCAAGATTAAAAACTGGCACAGAACTGTCCACATGTTTGTGTGACTTTTTCTTTTCCGTGCTCTTCTCCTTCGACTTTTTTGTCTTCTTTCGTCCCCCACAAAGCGAAGAGAAGTAACCTGGCCTCTTCTGCTTAATGGGGGGTTCATAACCATAAAGAGCTGTTCTGTTGAACACACAACCGGTTCCCACATAAACTGGTCCTTGGAGACCATCGAGACCTCTCAAATTAATCTGCAGCAAGCAGAAATGCAGATAAGTTACTTGACAAACTCCAGAAATGTTCAAATCCATCACATAGAAACATAAATATTGCTGATCCATCAACAGTTATTGATGTTTGCTAAAGCGTGAAGTGAAGCATCCAAGAATCTTAAAGGGAACCAAGCTTACATCGAAAAACACGGTGTTCCTGTTTGCATATCGATCATTTCTATCGATACCGTCAAACCTCTGAGGGAATTGGACATAACAGACACGCCTTCCTAGGTTTGGATCCATAAGGAAGCACATAGCCTCTCGGAGAGCTTTGCTATTGTTGATGTAGTGATCACAGTCAAGATTCAACAAGTATTGTCCATTAGTAAGGACAGCTGATACACGAACCTGCAGTTTCAAATTCCACATATCAAGTAAATGAATTAAACAAGATACTTCTCACTTAAGCAACACCACTCTAGCTGCTACTCACAAGTGCATTCATAGCACCAGCCTTTTTATGGTGTTGGAATCCAGGACGTTTCTCACGAGACACATAGACTAAACGAGGAAGCTCATTGCCTTCGGTATCAAGGCCTCCACTATGACCAAGGAAAACCTGAGCATGACCAGACGTCAAGAGTAAGAAAATTGCTGGATCAATAACCACACCACAATGGCAATATCTAAGTGATATTTACCTGAATCATTCCAGGATGGTCTCTGGTATTGTTACCAGGCCAAGGTGTGCCATCTTGCATAATCCATCCTTCCTCAGGAACTTTCTGTGCCTTGGCGACGAGAGCATTAACACGAACTTTAAATTCTTCATATTCCCTCTGGATTTTGGTTTTGCAACAGACATTAATGCGAGATTACACCAAAAAAAAAACAACAAAAAAGTACACACATATAAACCAAATTTACCTTCATGGCACGACGATCTTTAACAAAAGAAGCCTGAACTTTGTCTTTCAAGTAATCAATTTTCTGTGCAAAGTACCACTCTGGAGCTCTGGGTTCTATGCTGTACTTTTTACAGAACGGTACCCATTTTCTAGCAAATTCTGAAGTCTCAGCAAGCGCATCAAATGTTAACATTGCAGCTCCATCATCAGACACATAGCAAGATACCTTATCAACAGGGTAATCCACAGCAAGGATGGAGAGCACAGTATTGGCAGTGACAAGAGGAGGTTCTTTCATAGGATCCACAGTACTGACAAAAATGTCAACAGGAGCCAATTGAGATGGTTCACCTTCCCGGTCATACCTGAGAGTGCAAGTGATATTTTGTTATTGTCAGTAATCAGTACTACAGTGCTAACGCAGGAATGGTGTATCAGAGGTAAATATTGTACATCACCTTAAAGCCAGCCTATCCAGGTAAGTTTCACGGTTGATTGGGGACCACTTGGGGAACTGATCCAGAATCCAGGATAGAGCAAACCAAATCTCACATATGACAGAGAGCAACCATAGCGGGTATGCATTACGCACAGGATTTGTGATACGGTAGTGCAAGAATATACATAGGACAATCAATCGGAGCACAATAACCATCCTGTACGGATTTATTCTGGATGACGAAATTGGCACTTTTCTCGATAGAGGTTGGCGTGTTTCATCATTCCTGTAATACAGATAGCACAACATTTATAGTGGCAAGCTATATGATAAGTCCGCATTATAAGGTTCAGAGATGTACAACCATTTAGAATCTGATCCATTAAATGTGCATATTGCCTTGCTTAATAGCAAGGTATACTTGTAAACACAAAATAATTATATTTCGAATTATGCAAGAATTTTTCCTATGTTCTTCCAAGTACAAACTAGTGCAAGTTAGTACACCAGATACAAGGAATATTAATTACTGGTAGAATTCATAGATGACTAACGGTGGACAAAAGCATATCAGAACTCACAGTAAGGCGTCCTCCATGTTATAGTCAGTAGATGCATCAATGTCACCAACCCCACGACCTTCTGAAGGAGCAATGCTAGTACCATTAGCCATGGGAATTGCACCTTTATCCTTCATTTTCCAGCCATCTACTCTCTCTTTCCATGCAACATTGCCAAGGCTACCAGAAAACTCCCTTGATGGGTTTGCTGTTGAGCAACAAAGAATAATTAAATTTTCCCAGTCGATGCAACGAAACATGAGATCTTGATGATAGATAAACTTACGTGAATGGTTCACATAGGGAAATGGATGCCCACGTCTGCCAATGTTCCCAACGGGAGACATCATATGATCAGGGGACGCTCCAGGAATTTCACCTGAGATCTATAGAATTAATCGAGAGGAAGAAACTAAATATTAGTTCAATCTTTGCACATACCCTGAAGGGTTAACGACTTCACGCTATCAACAAAAATTCTAACAAACCTGGCTGTGAGTGAGCGATGGGATATATATGCGAGGGATTTCACCACTGTCATACTTGGGATGACCAATCTCACCACTATCATACTTAGAATGGACAATATCATCATTCCTCCCAGAGTTCATGCGCCAGGTGAGCATCCTCTCGGCAATCTTGTGCTTATGGTCCTGGTTGCCGGATGTTGGATAGTTCACATCACTAGCATCATCCGCATCAACATCATCGCTTTCATCCCCAAGTATCGGCGGGCTCCCTGAAGCAAAGATTAAATATCTTGTTAAGCTCAACAAATTCACTCACATTTGCTTCTCTCAATGGAAATAACCCATACAGGAAAGAAATTATGTTGTCACTGGTCACTACCAACTTCGAATACAGCTCACTAAAGAACAGGACTCTGTGCTATTAACTCAGCATATTCACTAAGCATATATATATCTTCTCTACTATTATTGTCTAAATGCAATATGCAACAACCTGATTGGGTTCACGAGATGTTCAGTCCAATGTAGCTGTTCTTAACCAAAGATGAAGTATTTAGGTGAAATCCAAGAGAAGGATGAATGGATAATGTGCAACTTATACCCTTGTGGCGCTTGTACTTGGTCTTGCACTGCGGGCACGCCTGGCTGCCGTCCTTGCGCTCGTACTCGTAGCATGGCCGGCACACCGGGAACCCGCAGACGTCGCAGGCGGTGAAGAGCTCGCCGTCCGCCGCCGTGCCCACGCCGTCGCCGCAGATCTGGCAGACATGGCATTGCTTCCCCGATTTCTTCGCCGCGCATACAACAACACCAAACGAAACAAACAAACAAAGGCAAAAGCTTCAGAGCTCAGACCAACCCAAACATCCACGCAACAAATTAACCAATCTTTGAATCTTTCCCCCCGAAAATGCGACTCACCGCACCGTCCATGGCGCACGAACCAAGAACTCACGGCCAAGAAAGTGTCTCCACGAACGGACTCCCGCCAATTCACCGCATTCCGCGGCCGCCCCGATGAAACCAAGAAACCCCAACTCCCCCCCACCCCAAGTGAGGCAAATCAATCAGTCAGACACCAAATCGCCTCGGATTCAAGGCGCCCCCCGCCACCGCCAAAGCCGACCTCGTAGCTAGCAGCACAAGCTGGATGAGGAGGCTTGCAAGAATCAAACGGGACAAGAAAAGGACGTGGCACCAGCGAGGATGAGGAAACCGCAAGCGTGAGCGTGAAGTGAATCGAATCCGCTCGCGTATCACTCTACTCTACTCCGGGGTTTAGCGGTTGATTGGTAATTAAAACCCCCGTAAAATTTCGAGATTTTTGGCGTGCATTTGAGATGAGATGGTTGGGTTGTTGCTGGGGTTTTGATTACTCCACGGGGTTCGGGGAGAGGAGTGAAGTGAAGTGACGGATGAGGTGAGCTGGGGGTGGGGCCCACCTGGCAGTGACGGGCGGAGTGCGCGTCGGCTGGACCGTGGTCGCATGCAGACAGAAAGTGTGACCGGGATGGGCGTGTGGGGACCGTGGGGCCTACTGTCAGTGAGAAAGGGTGGACAGCTTGTGAGGTTGTGATAGACACAAATGCCAACTGCACGCAGCCTGTATCGCAGTACTCTGTTCTTAAAAAGGAAAAAACAGAGCACTCCTCGCGCATAGTAATCCCTTCTAAAAAAACGTTTGAACCTGAATACAATATAGAATTGGGTTTTTTGACGGGTGAAGTATATGTATTTGTGTTTTAAAAGCAAAATTGTGTTAAATGTTTAAAACTTTGACCGTTAGTTTTGCATTAAAACAAATGGTTTGTAAAATATAAGGAGTTTATAATGCTATGATCGTATTTTTGAAATAAAATTTACGGCACACCATTTTTCTTTCCTTTAAACTATAAGTATTTTATATGAAACTACTCCCTCCGTTTTAGGTTATAAGATATTTTTGACTTTGGTCAAAGTCAAACTGTTTTAAGTTTGACTAAGTTCATGACAAATATAGTAATATTTATAATACTAAATTAGTTCTATCAAATCAATAATTGAATATATTATCATAATAAATTTGTTTTGGGTTGAAAATGTTACTATTTTTTTCTACAAACTTGGTCAAACTTAAAACAGTTTGACTTTGATCAAAGTCAAAACGTCTTGTAACCTGAAACGGATGGAGTATTTGTGATCAAAATATCAAAAGCTTGACTAATTTTATCCAAAACATAAGATATTTATGATGGAAGGAAAAAAATACTGTGGCAATCTGAGAAGCCTAGGTGCGAGCAATCGTTACGCTAGTGATATGAACTCAACCAAGAAAGTATCTCGTAATCACATCCATATGAACACATATAAACACTCGTACTTATAAACGGATCCGCGCACACCTTATCCATATGAACACATTTAAAAGATGGGGCCCCGCATATTTTAAAATCGATAAATATATTATCTACCTCTTAAAGAATAATTAGCCATAAATGTAAATGCATGTGTCAAATCTATAAGTTTAAATCAGATAAACTGATTCCACCACGGTAATCCTAATCAGTTTACACTCAGCGATAGACTGCAAATCTGTAACAGGAGCATCAACAAAGTAGTGCTGAAATGACAATCTCATGATCATACACCACATACATATGGTACGCAAACAACGATAGTTGTCTCCTCGACAGTTTAGGATAGTGTCCCACGCATGCGTCCACGAGTCCTCGACGCAACGTTCCCGCCATCCACGCGACCACGCATGCACGGGGGGCGCGCGCGGTTGATGCACTGGACGTCGAGCGGAAAAACGCCCTGATCGATCTGGTGTCCTGAGCCCCCGAGGATTCACTAGCTCTTGCCAATTGTATCCATGGCCGCCGCCACGGCGGACGGACATGGCGGGAGGCGGCGGCTGAGGGTGTTCTTCCTCCCATTCTTCGCGCGTGGCCACCTCATCCCCATGACCGACCTCGCGTGCCTCATGGCGGCGGCGAGCACTGATGCCGTGGAGGTGGAGGCGACGATGGCGGTGACGCCGGCCAACGCCGCCGCCATCGCCGCCACGGTCGCCGGGAACGCCGCCGTGCGCGTCGTCTGCTACCCGTTCCCCGACGTCGGCCTGGCCCGCGGGGTCGAGTGCCTCGGCGCCGCCGCCGCGCACGACACCTGGAGGGTGTACCGCGCCGTCGACCTGTCGCGGCCCGCCCATGAGTCGCTGCTCCGGCACCACCGCCCCGACGCCATCGTCGCCGACGTGCCGTTCTGGTGGGCCACCGGCGTCGCCGCCGAGCTCGGCGTCCCGCGCCTCACGTTCAACCCCGTCGGCGTGTTCCCGCAGCTCGCCATGAACAACCTCGTCGCCGTCCGCCCCGACATCGTCCGGGGAGGCGCCGACGGCCCGCCGGTGACCGTGCCGGGGATGCCCGGTGGCAGGGAGATCACCATCCCGGTGTCCGAGCTCCCGGACTTCCTGGTCCAGGACGACCACCTCTCCATGTCGTGGGACCGCATCAAGGCGTCCCAGCTCGCCGGCTTCGGCGTCGTGGTCAACACCTTCGCCGCGCTCGAGGCGCCCTACTGCGACGAGTTCAGCCGCGTCGACGCGCGCCGCGCCTACTTCGTCGGCCCCGTCAGCCAGCCATCGCGCGCCGCCGCCGCCGCCGTGCGCCGCGGCGGCGACGGCGACGTGGACTGCCTTAGGTGGCTGTCCACCAAGCCGAGCCAGTCCGTGGTGTACGTCTGCTTCGGGAGCTGGGCCCATTTCTCAGTGACACAAACTCGCGAACTCGCGCTGGGGCTCGAGGCCTCGAACCAGCCATTCCTGTGGGTGATCCGCTCCGACTCCGGCGACGGCGGCGGCGAGCGGTGGGAGCCGGAGGGATGGGAGCGGCGCATGGAGGGGCGCGGCATGGTGGTCCGCGGGTGGGCCCCGCAGCTGGCGGTGCTGGCCCACCCGTCGGTGGGCGCGTTCGTGACCCACTGCGGGTGGAACTCGGTGCTGGAGGCGGCGGCGGCCGGCGTGCCGGCGCTGACATGGCCGCTGGTGTTCGAGCAATTCATCAACGAGCGGCTGGTCACCGAGGTGGCCGCGTTCGGCGCGCGCGTCTGGGAGGACGGCGGCGGGAAGCGCGGCGTGAGGGCGCGCGAGGCGGAGACCGTGCCCGCCGGCGTGATCGCGCGGGCGGTGGCCGGATTCATGGCGGGCGGCGGCGGGCGGAGGGAGAGGGCGGCGGCCATGGCGACGGCGCTGGCGGAGAGCGCGCGCGTGGCGGTCGGCGAGAACGGGTCGTCGTGGAGAGATATCCGCCGCCTGATCCAGGATCTGACGGACGCGACTGCATCTCAGCCTTGACCATGACTTCCATTCCGGCTCATTTCATTATCGTCGCAATCACTTTTTGAAAAATTTTGTAGAAAAAAATCGAGTGAAAAGCTATGATGACCTTTGTATGCTTCTTCCGTTCTGTATCATCAACATTTGTTTGTCCCATCACTCAACTATCTTAAACTTATCGTTACATCAAAATATTTTCTCATTTAGTTCTAATATATGCTAAATTACCTAGAAAATTTCTATTTTAGAACAAAGGATTAGTGTGTGTATATATAAGAAACTCTTTTAATTCCTCAAAAGATATTCCCTTATTTCTTACACGTCATGATTATTAAAAAATAACACGATAAAATGAATGTGAAGAAATGTGAACAAGTGTGGTCATCTAAATGCGAGATTAGAAATACATATCGGGGACATTCGAGATTAGACATTTCAAACCAAGTAACACAAGTGTGACAACTTTTGCCGGGTCCGGTTGGCTAATCTATTTTGGGCCACCTCACCGGCCCATGAAAATATTCTCATTTTTATCGGGCCAAGAAATTCTCTGTCGGACAACGAGGCCTAGCCCACGGCCCGTTCCTCAAGAATCTGGATAAGGACATCAAGAAATGGCCCGTTTGGTAAAATTTCAACTTCGAATGGTCAGTTTAGATTGGTGTCATTTTAAACTATACAATTGCTTGTTAAAATTGATAAATTTATCACTGTATTTAGTTTGTTATCAAATATTGGTAATACATAGAAAATTTTGGCACAACATATTTATTCCGTTCTACCAAAATTTTGGCGATACTGCCAACTTACCAAAAATTTGGCAATGCCAAATTTTAGAAAATCTGATTTTGGTAGTAATATAAACAGACCCTAAAAATCTGATTTTGGTAGTAATATAAACAGACCCTAAATTTAACTATAGGAGTTGGATATGAAGTAAATTATAAAACAGTCTAAACTCAACTCAACTTCTCTATTTAATTTTGTGAGAGCGCTTCAGCCAGTTTCCGTTCTATTTTAAGTGAAGCTAAAACTGTTTGATTAGTAGCTTCAGAAATCAAAATAAATGGAGCTAAAGCTGAAGCCGTGTCAAACTAGCCCCTAAAAGTGGCCGTCGCCATCAAATCGGTCTGGACTCCGGCGGATATGCCAGCGAGACCGACCCCGCCGCGTGGCACCCCCGCCATTGTTGATGCTGACGGCCGCGGCTCGCGAGGAAGAAGAAGAAGATGCCATATTCCCTCGTCTACTCTTGCCGACGCTAATCTCCCCCGGTTCCGTTAATTATCCCCGGTCAAATCCCACCAATCTCTTTCATGCCTCCTCCTCATTCCCTGTATCGAATTCATCTTTAAAAAAAATTCAATGGCGTTATCATGAGGAAAAGGGCGAAACCTACTGACGTGTAGCTCAGGGCGAGTGCTCCCTTTCTCCGTCTCTCTCTCGAGGTTGCCGTCCAACGTCCATCAGTCATCGTGATGATTGAGATTGACATCCAATGTCCACACGTAGTACTCACAGTAATCGAATTGATTTGGTACCATTGCTTTGAGAAATTGAGCTAGATTGATCCATGGAGAGCTGAAGAAAAATGAAGTGCTAGTACTAGTGTCGAACTGAATGTTTGCAAGATTTGAGCAAACAAACCATTTATGCCGTATGGATAATACAAGCCAGGGGAAAAACAAGGGCCACTCTGTGATCACAAGCAGCAGAGGGCAACAGCAGCAACAGCAAATATACAACTTGTTTTAAAATCTTTTTTACAATTAGGTTCTCGGATGCGCACAGCTAAGCAAACATCACACGAAGAACGGCAGCTAGATTAATCCAGCACACAAAAGGCACTGAAAGAAACAGAGCAGCAGCAGATCGATCAAGATCGAAGGTTTGCAGAGGCTGGCTGCAGGAAGCTAGAAGAAGGATCGCTTGGTAGGCACCCTCCCAACAGCCTTCATGAAGTTGGCGAGCTCGAGCACCTTGGCGAGCTTGAGGCCTCTCTTCGCCTCCGCCGACGCCCTCTTCTCCTCCGCCTTGCGCCGCGCCTTCGCGATGTCGTTCTGCGTCCTCTCCAGCGCCTTGGCGCGCTGCTCGTCCAGCTTTCTCTGCGTTAGTTGTTCAGTCATCAAGAACACCTACGTGAGTAACATTTTGGAGTACATAGCAGTTGCTGCTAAGCACTATTCAGTAATCAGATATGCTTTCTAAAAGATAAAACTGCACTATGCAAAAGCATGATTTGCAGAGCATGTAATGGAGAGAGAAAAAAAGGCTTTTAAAAGCTGGATTCTGACAAAGACCGCTCTCCTAACGTTGCATGATTGAGTAGTGGTTAACTCATCTGATGTCGCATGCCTACATCCAAAAAGGATAGATAGTACTAGTGCTACTCTGAACATTTTCTTGCAAGAACAGATACCCTGCTACTCTGCTTTGAGTTAATCACCAAGAACAAAGTTGGATTCCCTTTGCTCGGAATCAAAATCTATCAGCTATAATTTCAGATTTTTGCAAAGCCTAAACGGACAACAAGAATTAGATGAAAAATCTGCAAACTTGAGAGTCATAAATAAATTCATAATCAGTTATTGAGTTACCTCGATCTTCTTGAGCCATGCGGATGCTTTCTCGACCTGCTCGGTCTCCCACCCGTTGATGACAACCTCCTCCCTCTTGAACCGGTTGTTGATCTTGGCCACCTCCGCCGTCTGCCACGCCGACACCTTCGTCTCCACCTCCTCCTTCTTCACCTGCCTCGCCTCCACCGGCGGCGCCGGCGATGGCCCTGCCGCGGGGACAACCTCCAGCTGGGACGCCCTGCTCCTGGCCGGCGTGGCGATCGGGTGGCTGTCCGGCACAATTGCCAGCGGGTTGGTCTCCTCCAGCTCGTCCTCGCCGATGCTGGTGAGCTGGTCACCGCCGTTGTTGCCGTCGTTGGGGCCAGTCTGCATGGTCGTCCCGGCGGCGACCATGGCCGTGAACTCCCGGCTCATCGTCATGAACTGCTCCTCGGACGACACGGACCGGTGGCTGCTGGCCGTGTCCCACGAGTACGCGGCGGACCCGAGCCGCGTGGGTGGCGTCGTCGTCGTCGTCGGCGACGGCGGCGTCAGAGGGTGGATGTCGCGGTACGTGGTGACGACGGTGACCTCCTCGTCGTCGCCTGCAGCGACATCGTCGGCGGCGGTGGCGGGCGCCGACAGCTGTAGCGAAACCTCCGGCTCCGGCTGCGGCGGCGGCGCGTGCTGCTCATGCAACATGTGCTACCCGCGCGGCGGCGATGGCGGTGGTCGTCGTGGAGGCTCCGCCGCCGTGCATCCGAAGCGCCGCCGTGGTTGCTGCTGGCGAGCTGAGGTGGTGCGTCGTGTCATGGAGTATGTGCGCGCGTATTATATGGCGGGAGATGGGCATGGAGGGGGGGAAGCGATGGGGCCGGGTGTGGTTTTGTCCATTGGCGCCAAGGGGGTGACACGTACTTGTCTCGCGGTGCGGTGCGTTCGCCATTGGCGCCAGGTTAAAGCTGGTGCATGCACTGCGCCTGCGCGATGTGGGCTTTGGTCAAGGCGAGAGCGAGTGTTTTGGTGCACCTGGAGATCGGCGAATTTGCAAGTTGGGGCGCTTGTTTAATCCAACAGGATGGGTTGGGGAATGTTTCTTTTGGTTGATTAATTGATTGGCAAATGGCACAGCGTGGCCTCGTAAATGGAGTACGTTGTATTAGTGTTTTATTAGTGTGTGTAGTCTTCAGAAAAAAAAGCAGCAGTTAGTAACTTATGTAGTACTACTCGTGTAGCTCAGCAAAAAGATGGTTTTGATCTGTGCTTGATCAGCTCGAGCCTGAAGGTCTAGTTGTTATCCCTTATAAAAAGTTTTTTCGTAGCATTTCACATGCATTACGCCAGTGCAAATCATCTTATCACGTTACGCGGAGAGCTAGCAAGCTTTGCAAAGGCAGTTTAGTACATGTTCAGATGAGTGCTTCCATACGCAAAAGATACTACTACTACTGGACAACACAAAATCCCAGTATACGTCCAATCCGAAGACTCCAAACACGTACGAAGGCAAGGGTTTGTGAACCAAACTACCAATGACCACAGGTTGCGATCGATTGCGCCCTCAATAATCTCAAATCCAATATCCTCACGTCTTAACCTCTACCGGTCTCTTTACGGTCGAACGGGTCATCCAGTGCAGTACAGGACAATTGCCAGAAGTCGACACGACGAATTACTACCTGTACAGTAGTTCGTCATCTGAACTGGCGATGTTACTATTGGCTGGTCATCGGTTTAATTCGCGAGCAAGTATGCTCTGCTCATCGTCGACGTGTTCATCGTGCAGGACGTGGAAGTCCCGGGTTGGGGATGGACAGCTAAGAGTGGGTGGTGGTGGCGACGCGTCGCTTTCACCCGGATAAGAGCCTGTCCGCTTCCTCCGCCTCAAGCTGATCAAGCTAGCACACATCAGCAAAAGAAAAGAGGAGTACATGCAATCCGCGCCCAAACCCAACCCGCGCCGCGCACCTGTCCCCGCCTGCCGCTTTCGCCCACGTCTTCTCTTCCCCCCCTCCATATTTCATATCGTCTCATTCCCCTCGCGCGCGCGGACGGGCAGCGCGGCGCATACACAGACACAATACAGGGCGCGAGGCCGAGTCGCGCGGCGACGTGACGTGCCTTTCGTTGCGTGGCTTTGCGCACCGTTATCTGCGCGGCACGTGTGCGCGGCGTCGGATTCACGGCTTCTGGAGTACGATCTTTTTTCTTTTTCCTACCCGCAGGCGCAGGCGGCGACGGGGGCGCAGCGGGGCAAATTTGCGGCACGGGTGGATGACTGGATGGTGAACAAGAATACTAAAAGGCACGCGAGGAGATGGGCCGTGGAATGCGTTATGCGTAGCGCGTTGAGGTGAAGAGTATCGCCAGCGGAACGTGATTCAATCTATGTTATTACAATACAACTTCCAAATCTAGATAAGTCTTACAATATGAAACAGAAGAATTAGCTACTTTAGAATGAAATAGAAGGGTTCTATTTACTTAATTTATTATATTTTGGATCGAGTTTAAATTTTATGTAAGTGTTTAAATTTATACGGAGAGATACACACTAACACACGTAGTGAAAATAAAAGGCTATAGCTAAAGTTTTATTTTTACCGGTTCCTAGACACCACCCTCGTACGTATACGCTCTCCGTCCGTCCGATGTGTTGCGCTCCAAGAAAGTGACCCCTCCTTTCGCCATCGATCGATCGATAGAATTGTTTACGTTAAAGGTTGGTTTCAACCAGCCTGTTCCAAAGAAATTTACTACTCCTTGTAACTTGGAAGCAAGAGATTATATAGTAGTATATCTTTTGGTAGGCTTTGTAATCACGCTTGATGGGTTTGTCAAAATCAAACTCAAATCCTATTTATGTTGTGTGGAGGAAATAAAATCTTATCCCTTCTCGTACATGCATGTTAGTAATATGTATGAGTGGCTAGTGCAGAGGATCAGAGTCCACGTTATATAAGTTTATACCTCACAGTCAGCTAACCAGCATGGGTCTGAGAAACCGATGTTACATACACAGCCACCTTCATTTTCCTCTCTAGCAAGTCATACCAGCTCACTTGTAGGTCCTAATCATGCACGTCGTCTTGGAGCTACTGATGAGGTAGCATGTTTACAACTAACCCGACTCCCAACTATTGTACTACTCAATTAGCTAATTAATTCATTCTAGAAACTTGGGGTCATTAGTACTAGTACCCATCAATTAACTTTATCAATACTCTTTTTTTTGTGTGTGGTTTGTGATCTATATATATAGTGGCTGACTAGGGAGCGCCACTAATTAGGAGAAAGAAAACTAAATTAAAAAATAAACAAGATTGATGGGGATGAAGATGCATGGCCATTGGAAGTGCAACCATGCATGGCAAATCAGACAGCCGGTTAGTGCTAGGCAGCTACTATATCACTTCACTTTGTAGCTTTCCCGGATTTTAGCAAGATAATCAACTCTGGCCACCTACTAGAAAAATAAAGAAGGTTAGTTAAGCACTGTGTGTGTGCTTGCTCAACTCAATTAATCGCTGGGATGGTATGAGTGGATTTGCAGAATCCTCGCTATCACGATGTGCTTCGCTTTCTCTTTTCTTTTTTTCTTTTCTTCTTTGTCATAATACACTTTCTTTAGCTTTATGTCTCCATCTCTCTGGCTGGACCAAGTATTGTTATTTTACTCATTTTCGTCCATGTCATACCGAACTTGACAAAATTGTTTTGTTAATTTGGTCCTACAGAGACACGCGTGATTGGAACAACTGGAGCTAATATAATTAATTAACTAGCACCAGAACTCTCATGTGTACAGTAGTGTTATCTTTTCCATTTCTCCCAAGATGATATAGTACCAGTTTTAACCATATACATGAGGTGTCCGTGTCCCCTCCGATTGCGGATCGCTGCCTCCGTCGGTCGGACAAATCGCCGTACGTTGAAGCAAACGAGCCAACCGGTGAGCCCCTTTATAGGCAAAATTCCTCTGTTAATTCCTCCGTTCTCAAATAATTCAGTGTAGGTTATCTGAGATCGGAGGCAGCTCAGCATTAGGCTTATTAGTTTGATTGTTTTGCTTCGATATTCAGGGAAACTATTCTAACTTTCATGAACATTCACTAGTTATTTACATATCAACTAAATGATTTATACTACCTCCTTTTTTAATAGATAACGCTATTGACTTTTTCTCACATGTTTGACCATTCGTCTTATTCAAAAAATTTACGTAATTATAATTTATTTTGTTATGAGTTGTTTTATCACTCATATTACTTTAAGTGTGATTTATATCTTATACATTTACATAAAATTTTTTAATAAGACGAATGGTCAAACATGTGAGAAAAAATCAACGGCGTCATCTATTAAAAAACGGAGGTAGTAATTTTTTTTAACAAGATAGATTAATACTCCTATGTGATAAATTAAATCATTCCACAAACTTGTAAAGTTTTAACGAAAAAAAAAATCAAGGATTCTGAAATTTTCAGGGCTGCAGAGATTCGTGTCAATAGATCGATAGAGAGGATTTGGAAATTTTTCAAGGCTGCAGATTTTCGCATAGCCAGAATGGGCAAATGCAAAGATGGCCCAGGAGAACTAGGGCTGATGCCATATGGATTTGGAATTTATTCGGGCCTTCAATCACACACAAGCTTCTACTAATGTCAGTCCGATTAGTAGCATTTAGCCAATTCAAAAACAGCAGAGCACCCTTTACAAGCGACTGAAGATGCGTTGCTTCAGCTCAGAGAGTCGTGTCTCCAACTACTGTAAGATCTCAATTGAATGCTCTAAAACTAACCAACAATTTCGTGCGCCTCGATCAAATTGAGACAAATATTGCAGAAATTTAAACTATCTACAGCTTGAATCGCAGCCTAAAATTCCGCAGCAGCTTCCTCAGGCAACTCCTCGCCTTCGTCTCGCGGCACTTGGCTCCTCCTCCGCCGCCGCCGCCGCCGTCGCCGGAGAAGATTGCTCGGAGCCGGCCCAGATGCCGCGGGCTCCTCCCCTCGTACGCCGCCGCCTCCGGATTCTCCTGAAACCGCCAAAACAAACGATCGAGGTAAGAACAGCTCACCGAGAAGAAGACATTCGCGATTCGGAAGGATGCAGCAATGGCGGCGCACCAGTATGTAGTTCTTCCAGTCGGCCTGCTTGGCGACGACCACGCGGCGGCGAGGGTCGTAGCTGAACCGGGGGTGGTTCTTGATCCGGCTCGCCGCCTCGAACTCCCGCCGGAACTCGCCCAGCCGCCGCTGGAGCTCCTCCACGGGGAAGCCGGACCCGGTGGCGGCGTTCAGCTCGGCGCGGATGGATGACCAGTCCTCGCCGGTGAGCTCGCCCACGTTCCTCGCGCCGCCGCCGCCGCCCGTGTGGCGCAGCAGCAGGTCGAGGAACTTGGCGTCGTGCTGGCTCGTCCACGCGTCCACCTGCAGCCGCGACAGGATCTTGCGGAGCGCGCGCCGCGACACCGGCTTCCTCTTGATCGCCTTCTCCTCGTCGTCGGCGGCGACATGGACATGCAACTGCTGCTGCTGCTGCTGATGCATTTCTTGCTTCGCCGTCGCCGTCTCCGGCTGCATCAACCGCACATTATGCATCTCCGTCCTGCCATAGATCGATCGATCGATCGGTTCGTCAAAACAAAATCGTAAGAATGCTCGCCGTCGTCGTTGTGAAATTTGCACGTACTGATAGGCGTCGGTGGCGAGGCGGAGGCTGAGGAAGACGACGGAGTCGTGACGCACGCCGTAGTCCGCGAGCGTGCGGTGGTCGTCGTCGAGGCACCGGCCGGCGAAGAACAGCCGCTGCATGGCCACCGCGATGCGCTCCCGGGCCATGACCATGCCCTTGACCTGCGCCACCGTCGTCGTGGCGCCGTCCACGTCGAGCGCCACCCGGTCCCCGCGCAGCGTGCGCACCATGATCCTCATCGTCCCCGACAACGTACACACCGAGCTCACCCTCAGCTCAGGCGACAGGTCTCATCCGGATTCCCGTGCGAGAAAAGATAGCGAGGAAGAGGAAGAAGTTGTTAGGTTGAGATGAGAAAAATAATGGAGATCTAGCGCGAAGAAGAAGGGATTGGCTGGCATGGCAATGGCATGCATGCACGATGGCTACGAGAGGGAATAAAGCGGTTTGGATCGATGATGATGACGACCTTTGGGCGCCAACGTGAAGGAAAGTATTTTCTTCTTCGGAGCGCTGACCTGTGTACCCAACTGTCCATGCAGTTCAGGCGTTGGAAGATCTGGGCCGAGACAGCTAATGGGCTGCTTGTGGGCAATGTCAGAACCTGGCCTGGCCCAGGGATGGCCTGTGCAACCCAATGGAAAAGAACAAAAGTTTTAATCAGCTTTCAACAATTCGTAGGGTTAAAATGATCTTTTTATAGCACTGAACGGAGTGCTGTTAATGAAAATCTAATGACGATGATATTTATGGAACAAAGACGATTGTACAATGACATTTTTAGGAATATATGTTCATCGATGGCATTTCTTGAATTTGGATGTTTATCGGTGGTATTTTCTGGATTTTCTCATATGATAAAGTTGTGTTTTTGAGCTTTTGACTCTCAAATTATTCTCTAGGTTGTACAACTATAGATTCACAAACTATGGGCAGGAATTTATAATGTTTAAAATAGTTGGAGATCATTCAAAAAGGGCATGCGGACTAGTATAGTTGTTGGAAAAAAAATGCAGATGACAAAAAATTGTGGCAAGGGGCATTATGGTTTGATATTCCCTTTTGGATATACGGATTGAATGCAACATAAAGATCAAGTGAACTGAATGCACAATCACATGGACCTCGCAGGCGACGCATGGCGTTTAGCCGCTCGCCATCCGGTCGATTCAATACGCGCCTGCAGAGTTGTTCAGCTTGCCGGAAATGGCGACGAGCATGGTAAAGTCGCGGGAAAGCATTCAGGCGCATCACCAACCTCCTTGACCTCCCCCACCTACAAAAATGGCCGCCATTGCCAACCTCGAGCTCAGCACTCACACACACACTCACACGCAACGCGTTTGTTCAATCGATCGGCCGTCACCGCGAGCGCACGATGGCGAGCGCTCGTCGCAGCCGCGGCGTGGCGGCGGTGGGGATCGCGGTGTTTGTGGCTGTCGTGGTGGTGGCGGCGGGCGCCGGGGGCGCGGCGGCGGTGTCGTGCGGCGACGCGGTGAGCGCGCTGGCGCCGTGCGGGCCGTTCCTGCTGGGCGGCGCGGCGCGGCCGGGCGATCGGTGCTGCGGCGGCGCGAGGGCGCTGCGCGGGATGGCGGGCACGGCGGAGGCGCGGCGCGCGCTGTGCAGGTGCCTGGAGCAGTCCGGGCCGTCGTTCGGCGTGCTCCCCGACCGCGCGCGGCGCCTCCCGGCGCTCTGCAAGCTCGGACTCGCCATCCCCGTCGGCGCCGCCACCGACTGCAGCAAGTAATAATTAAAAAAAAGTTGATTAGATTGGTCTCATGGCGCATTAGTTTGCATTTACTGAATTGTTTGTTCATCTCGGTTCGATCCATTGCAGGATATCCTAAGTGGCAGCGGCGGCGACGACGACGCCGCTACATGGCGTGAGTTCGTCGCGATCGGTGCATGATCGAACATGCATGGTGTTGACGCGGGAGAAGAGTGATTTGGCTTTTGCGCATGGTGTAATCTGATCTGATCTAATCCGTGCATGAATAAGTACTAGACATGCTTGTAATAACTCATGAGCTAAATATCACTCAGATGAGATCTCAGATTTGAGATTTTCTTAGCCACTGTTTAACTGTTACAGAGTTACTCCTACATACATAACATCCACTGAGCAGAGCTGATGCAAGTTTGGATCGCAAACTTGGGCCTTCATGGGCCGCTCGAACATTTCACGGTTGGATCATCAATGCGCGGCCCAGATAGCAATTTATCTGATCATTTTGCACATCTTGGAGATAAACTGGTTCAGATATTTCATCTAGAACAGCGAATGAGAATCGATAGCAACCACCATATATATAGGTCATCATCAGGAATTCAGGACAAGACAAAGCCAAAGCCAAGGAGGCGCATCAGCAGTGGAAATTTCTTGGTTTGTTCTCTTCAGAGGTCAGAGATCTGACCTCACCTGAGACTCCTGTGGCTCTGAGCTAGTATATCGTCTTCTTCTAGAGTGAACAGTTCATGAACCAATGGATGCATGCATGCATCAGCATCTTAATTTGTATAGTTTCACCATCCTGTGGTCTAGAAGATTGAAAATGCAGCTAACATGTTTGTATTCCTGCGCCCTTCAATTTTCTCCTGGGAGAAGAATATGCAACCTGCACGCCGGTTTCAGTTTGCCGTCAGAGAATATAATGGTGACACCGCCAACAACAAAAAAAAAGAAAAGAAAGAAAAACTGGTTTCAGTGCTAGTAGAGCTGGTACAATAGCAGACTATTAGCCAACTATAAATATATTTTAATGAGATAAAAGATGAGAGAGAAGAGCAGCGGGCTGCAACACGGACTCTAAGACGCAATGTGTGTATAACAGGTGGGACCATATATTAATAGTATAGTAAGCAACTATTGTATGAATTGGCTATTAGATCGGCTATAGATGAATTGGAGCTAGTAGTGGGCTGTACTATTAAACTTGCTCGTAGTAGAAAAGAGGGAAAAAAAGATTCTTATGAATTTTATGCGATGTGTCTTATGATTTATGGTAGAACCCAATTTTTTTTAAAAAAAAATAAAAGGAGGGATTAGGAGATTAAAATTCCGACCCCCTTCACCTGTTTTTTTCCTTCACTACTTCAGTGCATGTTTCTCTCTCAGCCACATCCACACATCTCTCTTCTCATTCTCATGCATTCACAACGAACCTAACATGGGCACACATGCTGAACTAATCGATTGATTGTTCAGAACAGTCCTTTTCATTTTCCATGTTCATTCTCTGAAATCTCAACATGTTTCTGCTAACGAAGTGCAAACAGTTTATGAGCCATTTGGTACATGCAGCACCACCATTTTTCGGTTTAGAAGATTGAAATGCAGCATGCTGGTATGCCGGTTTCAGTTTTGCCGTCAAAAGATAGAACGGTGACACCTCCAAGAAAAATATAAAATGGAAGTTCCAGTTTTAGCTGCTAGGTACTTCTCTTTCCGATCGGCACCTCTTCTTTTGGGGGGATAATTTGATCGATAACCACCTTAGAAACAAAAGTTCAGTCCTTTTTCCTTGTTCATTCTCGGAGATCTCAACATTTTCTTTCCAATCAAGCATAATTAGGATTACCATGCATGCGTGCAAACATTCATTTCTGAAGCCGAAGCCGGAGAGCAGAGCTCTGGTCATATCCAAAGGGGGTCGGAGTTTTGAACTCCGATCCCCTTCGACCTCTTTCTTTCTCACGCTCCTGTGATCTAGAAGCTTAAAATGCAGCATGTTGGTAATGCCTGCGCCTGTGCTTTACTGCTTTTCTTCTGAAAGAGGAATATATGAATCAGTTTTCAGTTTGCCGACAGAAAACATAACAATGACACCGCCAACAAAAGGAAAAACAATAGTTTCAGACTTTTAAGTGCTAGTAGAAAGGATAAAAGGAACATTTGTATGAATTTTATATAACATTCTTATGATTTATTTATTCCTTTATGGCAGTAGAACCCAGCATACAAAAAAGAAAAAGTAAACTTCAGAGAGGGGTTCGGAGAGTTAAATTTCGGTGCATGTCTCTCGCTCAGCCACACCCACACACCTCTCTCTGTCTCTTCTCCTTTGTCGTGCATGCTTTGATGCACACACGGTGAACTACTCGATCGATCAACAGTTGAGCTTCAGGACCTTAAGAAGAAAAATGCAGTCCTTGATTCCCTGAAATGTCAACATTTTTCTGCCGACGAAGCGTAAAAAAACATGCAATGCTTGCGAGGCAAACATCGTTTTTCTGAAGGCGAAGACAGAGAGCAGCCGAGCCGTTGTCAGATGCAGAAGGGGTCGGAAATTAACCCCTTTGATTTCGTTTTTGCTCGCTTTCTGCTCAATCTGCATGGTTATCTTATTCTCCACAAGGTTTAGGACGTAAGTGGCGTCGAAGCTGCTGTGTCACTTGGGTGGCAAGCTTGATAACGATAACATATGTAGGCTGTTGTGTTGTCTCAAATGGCAAGCTTGGCCGATGCCTTGTGTCGGGCTCCGTCGTGGTAGCTTAGGATAGGTTAGTTGTTGGTGTGATGTTGTAGTTGTGGTTTTCGCTCAGTTGTCCCTAATTAACTGAGCACTGTGAGGTTTGATCTCGTTTTCTCTTTAAAATAGGATATCTTCTTCTTAATATAAAACATCGGCAACGGCCTGACCGTTCGAAAAAAAAAACGTAAGTGGCATATCTAGAATTTTCAAAATGGGTGATCCAACTTATATGTTTTTTTAAATATTCTAAATATAAGTATAAATTGTTCAAATTTACATCTTAATATACTAATAAGGGAGTTATTTTTTCCAAAAAAAATCTTTTCACATATGTATATCTGTATTGGGCTAATGCTTTTTTGGGTGGTCCCAATACCACCTCTAGATCCGCCTCGTAAGGTTGAGATCGTCTACATGCTCATGCCCGCTCGCCGGCCGGCCACATTTAATTGTTCTTGACCCTCTTTACTTCTTTAGTTGTTGTCAAGCAAATACTAATTAATTAAAGGAAAACGAAGTCCCCTTCTTTTCAACTGAATATCAGAACATATTTATGAATTATTATTATTGTTGTTGTTGTTGTTGTTGTTGTTGTTGTTGTTGTTGTTGTTGTTGTGATAATATCGGACGGTGCAAAAGAACGAGTTCATTGTTACAAATTTTATTAGTTGTTTTTAGAAAGTGTTCTAAGAATCTTATATACACATAGAAAGGGTTTTGCAAACGTTTAGAAGCTTACAACATAATCCGCAAGATGGAAAGAACAGGGCAAGAGCCAAGAAGGCAAACAATTCCATGAACCCATTGGGTACATGCATCTTCAGCAGCTTGAAAAAGAACATATATTATTTGATCGCCTTAATTTGTTCTTCAATCTTGACGTCTTTGTGGTCTAGAATAACTGAAAGTCGCATGCTTTATACCTGCGCCTACTCTTTTCTTCTGGAAGAGGGATACGCAATTGGTTTCAGTTTCCAGTCATAAAATATAATACTCTCTCCGTTTCACAATGTAAGTCATTCTAGCATTTCTCACATTAGATTCATTAACATCAATATGAATGTGGGAAATACTAGAATAACTTACATTGTGAAATGGAGGAAGTAGCAATAGCGCCAAGACAAAGAAAAGAAAAGTGGAAATTTCAGTGGTGATAGAAAAGAAAAAGAAACATTCCATGGATTTTATGCACGTGCTTTTGATTTATGGTAGAACCCAAAAACACAGAATTAGATGAATAAATTGATCCTTGAGTAGTACTCTCTTCGTCTAAAAAAACCTAACCTAGGATTAGGATGATACATAGGCTGAGTTCGGTACTCATGGTTCCCAACTCACTTCCCTCTTTTTCTGCGTGCACGCTTTTCAAATTGCTAAATGGTACGTTTTTTAAAAAAGTTTTTATACGAAAGTTGCTTAAAAATTATATTGATCTATTTTTAGAAAAAAAGCTAATACTTAATTAATCACGCGCTAATGGACCTTTTTTGTGCTAAGGGAATGAGTTCCCAACCGAGAGAATCGCAACCATAGTCTAATATAACGAATCTAGTCAGAAGCATGTCCAGATTCATCGTATTATGTCCTATCCCAATCCTAAATTGAGTTTTTTTGGGAGAGTAGGAAGTACACTACTACTAGTAGGGATTGAGATCATGTTTGGAGTTCAATAAGCTCTTTGCAAAAGAATAGTTCCTGCTAGTGAAGTACCTAAATAGTGCAATCTCTTGCATCGAGAATCATCCTACTGGATAACCTGCTGCAGTGGTAACTACGACTGCAACTTAGGACTGCACGTATCTTCAGCCGTTCATTTTGATGATCAACGGTCCAGTTTTGCCGCTACAGTTATCAAACTACATAATCATAGTAATATTTTATTCTACAGTACTTTTGCTACAGTGCTCTACCTAATCAGTGCCATCTGATTCAGATCAAACGGTAGCTGCTATGACTGCATAAGTTGCAGTCAGTACTACTACTGCAGCTGATCCAAATCCTACTAGTAGATACTAATTTTACCCTATAAACATTTTAAAGCTGGATAAATTCTTTCTTTTTTCTTGATGAGGACTTGCTACTGAATCTGAAAATTGAAGTTTTGGTCTGAATTCTGAAGGCTTAAAGCCTTAAACCCCACAGTGAACTCTTAGAGTTTTCAAGTCTTCTCATTGTAAGAGTAAACCCTGAACTATTTGATCGCCTTCGTTCTTCAATCTTGACGTCTTGTGGTTGTGGTGTAGAGGATTGAAAGCAGCATGTGTTGATAGGCCTGAGCCTGCACCTCTCTTCTGGAAGAGGGATACGCAATTGGTTTCAGTTTCCTGTCAGAAAAATAGAATAGCAATAGCGCCAACAAAAAAGAAAAGAAAAGAGGTTCCAGTGCTGCTGATAGAAAATAAAAAAGAAACATTCCATGGATTCCATGCACGTGCTTACGATTTATGGTAGATTCCAAAACACAAAAAATATTATGAATAAACTCATCCTTGATCTATACTACTACTCGTACAAACATAAGATGAATACATTCTCTCCTCTTTTTTTCTCTGCGGATTTGCTACTGAACCTGATGAAATTTGAAGTTCTGGACTGGTCTGAACTATGAAGGCTTAAACCCCACAGAAACGAAAAAAAAAGAAAATACAGTAATAAACTCTTCAGTTCTCAAGTCTTCTCATTGAAAGAGTAAACCCTGAAGTCTGAACTGAACATGCAATTTCCTTCTAGTTAGTTGATCCTGACAGGTCAAGTCTGAACCGAAGCTTCAGTTTCTATCATCCTCTTCTTCCCCAGGTTGCTGATCCTGTCAAGCAACGCCACGAGCTAGTCAATCAATGGCCAGGGATTAGAATAATCGATGACTAGGTTCCAGTACTGTACCAATCAATTCTCTACTGAATTCCAAATTCTCAATACAGGACGCTTAGGGTGTGTTTAGTTGACGTTAAAATTGGAAGTTTGGTTGAAATTGGAACGATGTGATGAAAAGATTAGAAGTTTATGTGTAGGAAAGTTTTGATGTAATGAAAAAGTTGAAAGTTTGAAGAAAAAATTTGGAACTAAACTCGGCCTAAACTGTAATTTTTTTCTCTCCATTTGTAATTTACTGGGGTGTCATTGTCCTGCTTACCAAACCAACTTTCCAAGCTGGTGTGTTTTTTTTTTCTTTGCCGCTTGTCGCCGTCGCATTTGAGCTCCACAAGTCGTCCGTGCGAGGTTTCAAACGTCAAAGTCCTCTTCACATTGTCCTGCATATATCTTTTATATTCCAAGAAATCTAAACTCAATCAAGAACCGAATTTTAAAACCCCTTTATCTTTTTCGGGGAAAGAAAACCTTTAATTCTTTACTTCTAAAACCCTGTTCAGCCCCACCGTTTAGCCTTTACATTACCAACATAAGCTAAACTTTAAAATTAAATTTAAACTTAGAGTTAATTTTAGGTTTTTTCTCATGTTTATTTTTAAGTATTTGCTTTTGTATCACTAAGAAAATATAACTAATTATTTAATCGTTAATAAGCTGTTCCGCTAATACCCAAACACTAAAATCAAATTGGCAACTTGGCATGTACTCCTTAAAAAGTAGAAATTGATATTTGTGAAAATTATATAATCTGAAATTATAGTATTATGTGAAAAAAGACCGGACACCATACTCCTTAGACAATAACTGTCCAACGGCATCTGCTCTCACTGACTCACTCATCTCTAGAAGAAGCAAACAAACACCAACTACTCCTCCATCTATCTGTACCGGATTATCCTAATCGCGTTTACTAAACTCCGCTAAAATCTCTTGTATTCCCACAAAATTTCCCCAAAATTTTTTACTAAAACTTTTTTCTCAAGATAGAAAAAACTATATATCCTTTTGGTTTGCAAAGGTTTTACTAGGTTATTTGCCCCCCTCTTCTAGAACGCATCCAGAATTCGTGGACTCTGCGACCCAACTCACACGGCGAAGCACACAGAATTTTTTTTCCCAAATCCATTTATTTTCCTCTCTTCTCTCTCTCGAATCGAATCGAATCGCCTCGCCTCCTTTGTTGAATTGAATCCAAGCTCGATTCGCCGCCGCCGCACGCCGCCATGGGCAACTGCTGCGGCACGCCGGCGACGGCGGAGGAGGGCGGGAAGAGGAGGAGGAGGGGGAAGCAGAAGAAGGCGAACCCCTTCACCGTCGCGTACAACCGCGCGCCGTCGTCGGCGGGGGCGGCGGCGGGGAGGCCCGGGCTGATGGTGCTGCGGGACCCGACGGGGCGGGACCTCGGCGCGCGGTACGAGCTCGGCGGCGAGCTGGGGCGCGGCGAGTTCGGGATCACGTACCTGTGCACGGAGGCGGAGACGGGGGACAGGTACGCGTGCAAGTCGATATCGAAGCGGAAGCTGCGGACGCCGGTGGACGTGGAGGACGTGCGGCGCGAGGTGGAGATCATGCGCCACATGCCGTCGCATCCGAACATCGTCAGCCTCCGCGCCGCCTACGAGGACGAGGACAACGTGCACCTCGTCATGGAGCTCTGCGAGGGCGGCGAGCTCTTCGACAGGATCGTCGCGCGGGGCCACTACACCGAGCGCGCCGCCGCCGCCGTCACGCGCACCATCGTCGAGGTGGTTCAGGTGAACGCGTGTCTCCGTGTGGACTGTGGACTGGACAGAGTCCTGTTCTATTTTTTTTTACCTTGTTATTTGCTTAATTAATTTCTAGCATCTGTTGTTATGTTCGTAAATAAATTTGGTTCAGATGAGAGAAATTGGTGGTTATGCCTCAAATAGGATAATTGCTACTACTAGCTGTTATGTTCATGAATTGGCCATGATCTGGTCTTTTATGTAGTGAGGAATTAGAAATCATGGTAGCATCCAACTGGGTATCTGGTAAGATTCTGAGCAAAATTTAATTGTTGAATTTGCTAGGGTTCAACAGTCTGTTAAACCTTGGTGCTTGTTAGAGTCACCCATCATTGTTTAGCCAGAGTGATAATGTATTGACAAAGGAGTCCATGTACTAGTGAAGCGCATTTTGTACTGCGAGTATGGTATATTTTGGCAGCAGTTCTATTTGTAAACGTATAATCACGCTGATTCTAGAATGTATGCTAGCAGTTCTTCATCATGTGCTTTTCATATTAAGTTCTTGCTATATTGGACTTGCTTTTGTGACATCTGACATGTATTGTTGTCCTCTCTACTGAACAGATGTGCCACAGGCATGGTGTCATGCACCGCGACCTTAAACCAGAAAACTTCCTATATGCTAACAAGAAGGATAGTTCTCCTCTGAAGGCAATTGATTTTGGGCTATCTGTGTTCTTCAGGCCTGGTATGCTCTGCAGACTGATGCTCAAGTACATAACTTTAGAATAAATGGAACTGAATCTATTGTACTTGGACAAAACAAGTAGAAGAAGAGCAAATGGGATTGCCCCATTGTACTTTGCTTCAATTCACTGCAAATGGAGCTTACTTCATAGGCACATGCAGCATTCTTTTCAGCAAAACTGAATGCTTGTTGATTTCTAATGATGGATTCAATATGCAGGTGAGCGGTTCACTGAAATTGTAGGCAGTCCATATTACATGGCTCCAGAGGTTTTAAAGCGACACTATGGCCCTGAAGTTGATGTCTGGAGTGCAGGAGTGATACTTTACATACTTCTTTGCGGTGTACCACCATTTTGGGCAGGTGTGTTCTTTCTCTTGACTAGACTGCATGTGTTGCGGGGAAGTTATAGAACACCATTCTTATCATATTATTGTGGTGCCATGCAGAAACCGAGCAGGGAGTAGCGCAGGCAATTATACGCTCTGTGGTAGATTTCAAAAGAGAACCATGGCCCAGGGTATCTGAGCCAGCTAAAGATCTTGTTAAGCGGATGTTGGACCCAAATCCCATGACAAGGCTTACTGCAGAACAAGTACTTGGTAAGCATCGCCAATCACCTGTCCTAACGCGTAGCAGCATACATAATGCTATCTCACTCCTACTTTAGTGGAATATATGAAGGATATGTCTGTACTATATATTATCTATGATGTGATTGATGAGTAATGAACTCACATTATTATAAGAAGATATAAAATTAGCCCAGGGCTATTTATTATTCAGGGACCATCATGCAGGGCTAATCTCAGAAAAGTTCTCCGAAAAATGGCTAGCTGTACCCTTTTTTTTACTGTGTTTTTATCCAGAATGTTTTTTAATGGCACCATGATTAACATTTTTCATGGCTCAGACATTTTTTTCTCATTGTTTTTCTCTGATTTTCGTTGCATGTACAGAACATCCATGGTTACATGATTCTAAAAAGATGCCTGACATTCCTCTTGGTGATGCTGTCCGAGCTAGACTGCAGCAATTTGCTGCGATGAACAAGTTAAAGAAGAAAGCCCTTAAGGTAGCATTTATAATATGTTAGCACCAAAATAGATTATTATTCTTATTGAATAAAAACTTCTACATAGAGATCACATATAATTTGCTTCCTAAATTCTAAACACGAGATGTGCATAAGGATTTTTCTCCTTTTCTTGTAGTTAGCTTATTTGTGCTTAATTGCAGGTCATTGCTGAGCATTTGTCTGCAGAGGAAGCAGCTGACATAAAGGACATGTTTGATAAAATGGATGTGAGCAAGAATGGCCAGCTGACCTTTGAGGATTTCAAGGCTGGCATACGTAAACTTGGGAATCAGATGCCTGATTCAGATCTTAAGATATTGATGGATGCTGTGAGTTATCATTAAAAATGGTCTAAACTAGAATAAAAAGGACTGGTTCTGGTTCTTGGCGATACATATTGATGTTCGCTCATTGCTTTGCAGGCTGATATTGACAAAAATGGGATCCTGGACTATCAAGAATTTGTTGCTGTGTCTATCCATGTGAGGAAAATAGGCAATGATGAACATATCCAGAAGGCTTTCTCATATTTTGACCAAAATAAGAGTGGTTACATAGAAATTGAAGAGCTTAGAGAGGCCTTGGTTGATGAAATAGATGGCAATGATGAAGACATTATTAATAGCATCATCCGTGATGTAGATACAGACAAGGTCAGCTTAATCTTTCCTTAGCAGGCCATTATATTGCATGACATTGTTCTTGGTATCTATGCAATGACTTCAATTATATAAAAGTTATAAGCCCACAGCTAGTGAAATCTATGAATATCATTTGCTAGAAGCTGAATAGTGCCACATACTTGATTACCTGGTAGCCAGGGTTCAAATGTTTCTACCTTTGGCTGCAAGGCAGGGTTTATTTAATTAAAGGGTTGGTGAATGTTATCATTGACCTATACTATCATATAATAAGTTGTAACCGGATGGACAAGGATAGTCTAATTAGACGACATAAAACAAATGACATAACAAACAAACAACTGGGGTAGGCTTACTGGAGATGATTCTAGTGCAATTGTTAGTTGAAAGTAACATTAGCAAAGTATGACCTGTTCAAATTCCGTGTGATTGAACTTGTCGATATGGTCATCCTAACAACAATGCAATGTTTTCTTTTCATTTATTCTTTTCTCAGGATGGGAAAATAAGCTACGACGAGTTTGCCGTCATGATGAAGGCCGGCACTGACTGGAGGAAGGCATCTAGGCAGTACTCAAGACAAAGGTTCAGTAACCTCAGTCTGAAGCTTCAAAAGGACGGATCCATCAGTGACGACACGCAATAGACTGGACAGAGAAAAAAACTACGCTTACGTTTTTTCTTTGCTGTGTGCTGGCTGTTACATTATTTTTTCACACAGTAACTTAGTGGCTTTGTATAGATAGCATTTGTGGTTTTGTGCTTACCAGCAGCGATTATATTTGTCAGTCAGGCGGCAGATATGTATGTACCCAAAAGAGGGCGGGATGGGGAAGCAGATGGTGTGCTTACAGTTTACTAGACCAGAATTATTGGTACAATTGTTTGTAGTTTTGTACGTACCATAATACAAGCGGCGTGAAATTCTCAACTCGTTCATCCTGTTGTCATCCAGTGTATCTGAATCTGAAATTCTGTGTATCTGAATCTGAACTCTGGAAGTTGTGACCTGTTACGGTAGTAGCTTGCATTGAACTTGTTTGGTTTGATACCAATATATACCAAAACAACAAAATGTCTTAGAAAATTTTGTTTGGTTTGATACCTTACCAGTATATACCAAAACAGGTCTACTAACTCCATTTCAAAATGTAAGAAGTTTTAGGGCTGTACATTGATATTAAGAAACAAATGATTGGATTAAATGAGGGAATATTGTGATTGATTAAGAAAAGGAAATATGTATGGAATTTGAATGATGGAAGTCTATGATTAGTTGATAAAAGAATGTAGATGGAGACGTTTTTATATTTTAAGATAAAATTTAAATGCTAGAAGTTATTATATTTTAAAATGGAGGGAGTATCAAATTTAATAGGGTATATCAACTACTGGTACAACTATTTAGAACTAATGTGAGCAAAATTTAACACCACTAATGGTATTAATGGGGAAAAAATCAGACACCAATCCAAACATCAAGATGGTACTATGCTGTTTAAGTAAATACTCCCTCCATCTACTTTTGATAGTCATATTTCCAAATCTGAAAAATTTATTTTTGATAGGCATATTTCAATCCAATAACCTATCATCTTAATGAATTTCTCGGATTTAATGCGTGACTCCATTCTTCCACACAAGATTGGCTACATGGACATCGAGAAATGTAAATATTAATGAATCGTTTGTTTACGAGGAATGACTAGTAGCATGTTTAAATAGATGATAAGTAGAATTACTTATCCTTGGTCCATGTGCCAAGATGAAATATGACTATCAAACTAGATGGAGGGAGTATATCAAAACTTTGCTGGATAAAATTTGGCTCGAATCCAAATCTGCCCGTAGTCCCAAGAAAATTGGCTCCTCTTTCTCATCATTTCGGCTGACATGAGTCAAGTGAAGATGGGCTTGATTTGGGCCAGTCGGAAGTGGAGACTCCGAGAGGAGTCCTAGGGTGCGGCCCGGCATGGAGGAGGTTGGGAACTGAGGAACAGAAGAAGGAATAAGTTCACCAGAGGTCCCTCAACTTAACAGCGAGATTTTCTAAGTTCCCTTAACCACAAAACCAGAAATCTTCACCCCTAAACTATACAAAACCGTCTAATTTGGGTCCCAAGACAGTATAGATGGCTGGTTTTGATGACGTGGCATCCTAGTCAGCAAAAATAATAAAATAAATATGTGAGGGCCCATATCTCACTGAGAGAAAATGATGTGGGCCCCACATCTCTTTTTTCTTTTCTTTTTCTCTGCTCTTCTCAACTTCTCAGTTCGCACGCGCAGGCGAGCAAATGGCGGCCGACGGCGGAGCGGGAGCTGCGGCGCGCTGGGAAGAAGCGGGAGAGGGGGAGAGGAGGCGGCCGGCGCCAGAGAAGGGGAGAGAGGCGCCCGGCCCGATCGCCCATGAGGCCGCAACGGCAGGAGCGGCGGCCGGCGCCGCCTCTCCCCATTCGGAGGCGGGAGCGGGTGGAGCAGGCGGGCGGCGCGCGGGCGGAGCAGGCGGAGCATCGGCGTCAGCGCGCGGCGTTAGCGGGCGAGCGCGGCCGCGGCGGTGGGCGAGCAACGGCTCTGGGCGCAGGCGGCGCGCGGCCGGAGTAGGCGGAGCGGCGGCGTCAGCGGTCAAGCGCGGCTGCAGCGGCGAGCGAGCACCGACTCCGGGCGCGGCCGGAGCAGTGCGGCGGGCGAGCGGCCGACGAGGTAGTCGGTGACGGAGAAGAATACTTCAATAAGCTTCACTAGCCGCCGCCTCCGGAGACGGAGAGCTCCTCGTCGGAGTTCTAATCCAACGTAGCTACTGCCTCACAATTTCAAGCATATATATAACTACTTGTCTAAACGATTGATTATGTTGTGTTTGAGAATTAAGATGGCGGATCCAGTGAGTAGCATGAAGCATATCACGGAGATGGCTCTGAAGATCAAGCATGCGGTGGAGACGGTCCAGAGAAACAAGGAGGACTGCCTCCAGATCAGAAGACGAGTGATGAGAGTGAGTATACTGTCGCTGCTGCAGGAAACGGAGAACATCTTGAGCAACCCGGCAATAAGCGCCGCGTTGGAGGATCTCGCCGACACAAATTTCTCACTGTACTCTTACCTTTTTTGCCTCTGTAACAGCAGGGAGAATGGGCAAAAGTGGGAGCGGCGGCGATGGCATCGGCATGCGGTAGGAGCATCGGCGGTCGTGGCGGCGCGTGGTGGGAGCGGCGGCTCCAGGGGGGGAGGGGAACGGCGGCCGTGGCAACGTGCGGTGGGAGAAGCAGTGGCCTAGGCGACGACGGGGAACATGGGTGACGGTAGGAGCGGGGGAGGAGTCGGCCCGCGGCGGGAGCAGCGGCGGCGTGCGGCGGGAGCAGCGGTGGTCGTGGCGGCGCGTGGCAGGAGTGGCGGCCGCCGCCGCGACGGCGGGAGCGGTAGAGGCGTCAGCGCGCGGTTGGAGCAGGGGAGGCCGCGGCGGCGTGCGGCAACGAAACTGACATGTGGGCCCCACCTACTTTTTTATTTATTTTTGGGACCCAAATTAAACGGTTTTTTTTATAGTTTAGGGGTGAAGATTTCTGGTTTTGTGGTTAAGGGACTAAAAAAATATCGCTGTTAAGTTGAGGGACCTCCGATGAACTTATTCCACAGAAGAAAGGAGATTGGAACAGAGGAAGAAGGTGTGCTGTGGTGTGGCTAGTGACATGTGGGCTTCACAAGTTTTCTAAAAATATTTTTGACTAATATGCCACATCAGCAAAAATAGCTCTCCATACTGCTATGAGATCTAACTTAGGTTGGGATTAAGATTTTCGGTATTACGATGGAGGGATATGATTTAAACTAATTATTTCTCTCCTCTCCCGTCTTCCTCATCCATCTCCCCCCATGCCCGCGGGAGCATCGGGGCCGAAATGAAACCATAAGCTAGCGTTGGCATAAAAACATTATAAACTAGTTTCATATTAATCTATTTGATTTAAAATGGGCTGGTTCAATTCAGCTCTAATCCAAAGATCAAACAACAGGTAGACCCCTTGTTAGCAACAGGACCCGGGATTTGGCCCTGGACTAGCTAGGAGACAACTGAATGTGGCCCGAATCTAGACACGTCTACGTTGTTCCATTAATGTCGGGGTAGGGATATATCATGCCAAAAAGGTAAATCACAGCGCAACAAGCTTTCAAGTTAAGTACACTAGAGTAGTAATTTAGACGAGCTTAATTAGGTTGGTAGATTTCTCGAAGCAGCACGAGCAGAGAGCATGTACAGTTTGCTCGTCTTTTTCTTCACTAATCATCCTACTAGAACATGTGCAATGATACTCTACTACACTCCTTAACATAGAGATGGTAATGCTAATATGTTCAACTGCGAAAATTAACACCGGACGAATAATACACTGCATTACCGTTATTGACATTATAAGTAAATTCAGTATTTCTATCAATTAACGGCATCTTAATTATAAGTTGGCCCTGAATAATCACGCAGCTATGAAGCAATCAACCATGGCGTGCACGACACGAGCAAGATCTGTAGATGTCCTGAGTAGTACTACTAGTTCTGAATTCAAATCTTTATATGAGTGAATTTTAGATTAGGTCATTTTTGATAAGCTAGTCCTGACCTGAGTTTAAATCTTCGTAAGAACGAGATCGGGTAAAAAACACCCTTATATAAAAAAAAAACCCAAAGTGTTCAGCTGATCAGCTGTGTGTTTCATCACAACTACTTTTGCTGGGATGGAACCGATTCAGGCCCATCCTGTGCCCAGCCTGACGTGGATCCGGCACACCGTTGGATTCTTGAACACGGGCCCAACTCGTGCCTGGCCCGGTCACGCTTGGTTAATCCAACCTCACTTTCCAGTTTCCACGTGTTGCTAACTTTGCTATGCTCACATGCAAAAATAATACTCGTTCCGTTTCAAAATGTTTTATACCATTGACTTTTTAGTACATGTTTGACCGTTCGTCTTATTTAAAAAAGAATGTGAAATATGTAAAACTATATGTGTACATGACAATATATTTAACAATGAATCAAATGATATGAAAAGAACAAATAATTACTTAAATTTTTTGAATAAGACGAATGGTCAAACACGTACTAAAAAGTCAACGGTATCAAACATTTTAAAACGGAGGGGGTATAAATGGCTTTGTTTTGGAAGGATTTTTTTTTAACCACAGCTCAATAGCAGTAGTATTTCTTCAGTTGCAGTAAACAGCAACATTACTTATCTGCAACATTGCCCTCAATCATGGATTCATGGTGTTGAGCTGACAGAGAATCAGAGATGGACAATGATTTAACTTAGCAAAGCTCAAACCTTGAAGCCAATCATGGAGTGCTACTGGTAACGTCCACTAACCTATTTGCATGTGTCCATTTAGCTTGTCTTGTTTCATCGTTTGTCTGACATAGCATAACCATGCACTTCAGTGGTGTCTGACATAACTCTTGTCTAGATGAATAGATCGAATTTGCTTTTGTATACCAGTTATGAGTTGGATGTGCTAGCGTATCTTCAACTGTAAAATCGATAGGCCGGTTTAAGCTCTTGGCACTTGCATACAACTCAGACTGTGTTTAGACCAGGGGTAAAAAGTTTTGATGTGTCATCTCAGATATACGGGTACATTTAAAATATTAAATATAGACTAATAACAAAATAAATTACAGATTCCGCTTGTAAACTGCGACATAAATTTATAAAGCCTAATTATCATTAGCAAATGTTTACTATAGTATCACATTGTCAGATCATGTAACAATTAGGCTTAAAATATTCGTCTCGCAATTTACACGCAATCTACATAATTATTTTTTTCCTATATTAAATACTCCATGCATATGTCCAAACATTCAATGTGAGATGGTGAAAAATTTTGTCAAGGATCTAAACAGACCCTCAATAGGTGAAGAAAAGTTGAATTCTTTTCACGAGCAAATGTATGATTGCAGCATTCTAGAAGCTGCCAATTCTCACTCCTGGAAGCATAAGATAAGCACTTCGAGATAAGCTAACAAACAAAAAGGCAATTAATTTTGATATATGAGGAAATACAGACATAAAGTATCATATTCTTCAAAGTATTTGTCTAAAGATATTCTTGAAATTAAAGGTGCGACGGACTGTTATGCATGGATGGAATTCGATTCCAGCTTTCCAGGAAACAAATTAAAGGATCGGTTTGTAACTAAAGTTAATTAGCTGAAATTAGAGGATCAATGAACTGTAACACTCCGAACATGATGTTTAAGATCTTAGAAGTACACTATACGTCAGTAATACAAGTTATATTTTTCTTCCATTTCTACGAGAACTCTTACCAATTTGAGTGATATTCGTGCATTGCAAACGGAGCTTTTGACTTGTTGAACTGAAAGATGATTGATTGCTGAGTTCTTCAGGTGCTATAATATAAGAGCCTTGAGAAATTGAGTTGATAGTTGAAAGATGCATGATTGAGTAATATCCCTCCGGGAAAAGAATGATATTAGTCTTACTGGTGATCAATACAGATTTCTTCTACTATGTACTAGTAATTTGACTTCTAAATATGCTAGTCTGTTAATCTGTTTAAGTTGTCCGTTCATCTTGTTTCATGTAAAATCCCCCATGCTTCACACTCCAGAAATTCAGATAACACTCCCACTACTTTTTAACACACAATAAATCAATAATTAGTGCCATAGGTGACAAAATACATAAAGCAAAAACACAGAAGCAAATCAACAAACACAGACAAGAGACCTAGAATTCTCAAAAATCTGGAACAGATCACACCCTGGAATGCTGGAACATTCACCTCTGGAATCTGGATCCTTCAAGAGACACCAACAACTAGTCTACCAGTATCCTAGATGATCACCTACACGTGAACCTACTCCTCTCCGGGCCCACAAGTCATCCACACACAATCTCCTACTCTCCAACCATCTCCTGAAATCCCCCATTTTCTTCATCATCAATCAAGGCTGATCAGATCAGAAATGAAGATATTTTTCGTCCAGAAACCTCAAAGCTGGAGTGACTAGTGAGCACTTTAGGCCCTGTTTAAATCCCACCCAAAACTTTACACATTATCCCATCAAATATTTGAACACCTGTATGAAGTATTAAATATAGTCTCAAAAATAACTAATTGTATAGATTGCAACTTGTCGGTGACATGGGACCGGGAGTATCATGACTTAGAGACTTGAGGCAGACACGATCACCCACGTGGCCTAACCCCCTCGGGGGGGGGGGGGGGGGTCGGGCCCGAGGGTGATACGGCCGCCCTTCTCTTTGTCTCCCCGAGGGGTCGGACCGCTCCCGTCTCGGCCCCGAGGGCCGAGGCGCCCCGACCCCTTGTGGGTTTTGCGCCGCGTATATGGGGTAGGTGAGCATAGCGGGGCTCACCTAACCACATTTATTGCGGTTTGGACGAGCGCGTCACGCCGCATGTAACGCAGTGCAGCGCGCTCGTTTATCCGGTCTGTGACCAGTCACAGACCGATCAGATCGTGGGTTAGGTGGCGACAGGCGGTCTGACGCACGCCTCGCCCCATCCCGTCAGGATGAGAGCCTCCAAGCACTCGTCCCTAGCCGGAGCCGGCGTGTTAGCTCCTGGAGATGGCACGTTGGTCCCGGTCAGATATATACCAGGCTTCATCCTAACCATTACAAGCAAGACATTGTATGAAGAGGGGCGAACATGCAGATTGATAAACTGACGCGTGGTGGACAAGAATGACCGATTTGTGACCGGTCTGACACTGATCATGTCGTCAGCAGACAGCCATGTTCCCACGTCGCGCCTGCTTCCGGCGGAAGTGGAGGTAGGTATGGGCTGTCCCATCAGAAGGTCATTCGGACGGCAACCATACAAGTCTCCGTCTGTTTATGAAAAGAGAGGATAAGTCCCCACAAAAAAGAGAGAGATGGTGCATGTGGTATCCCCTTGAGGTATAAAAGGAGGACCTTGCCCACTTAGAAGGGGGAGGATTGATTTTCGGATCCAGAACGATCAGAGAGGGAGAGAGTAAGAGCTCTCTGGTTCTCCAGCTCTTTTGTAGCTTCTTCATACATAGATCCACAAAAACACAGGAGTAGGGTATTACGCTTCTCAGCGGCCCGAACCTGTATACATCGCCCGTGTCTTGTGTGTTTCCATTCTCGCGAACCTTCCACACACAGACTAGGAGCTTAGAATCTCACCCAGGGCCCCCGGCCGAACCGGCAAAGGGGGGCCTGCGCGGTCTCCCGGTGAGGAGCCCCACGCTCCGTCATCTGGCGCGCCAGGTAGGGGCTTCTGCGTGTGTTCTTCTAAGCTCTCGCACTCTTTCGTGTGCGCCAAGCTTTTCCTGTTCAGCCCAATGGCTGAACAAGCAAAGGCGCACAACCTCTCTCCGAGTGTTAGCGGTGACGACGGGGAGCCAAACCCACGCCGTCGAGCTCGTACTCCACCGCCCCCTCCACGCCAAAGTCCTAGGCGGGAAGAGGCGCTCGAGAGGGTCGAAGGATCCGCGACTTCGACATCCACGGGTGATGGGGAAGGGCGGCGAGATGGGGAGCGTCGCCTCCTCGTCTACGGCGACGGCAGCACGCCCCAGGGCGCGCTCCAAGCTGCGGGCGCGCTCCTACGTCATCCGCCCATTGTCCCTGACCCGGAGTC